AACCCAAACCCAAACCCAAACCCAAACCCAAACCCAAACCCAAACCCAAACCCAAACCCAAACCCAAACCCAAACCCAAACCCAAACCCAAACCCAAACCCAAACCCAAACCCAAACCCAACCCAAACCCAAACCCAAACCCAAACCCAAACCCAAACCCAAACCCAAACCCAAACCCAAACCCAAACCCAAACCCAAACCCAAACCCAAACCCAAACCCAAACCCAAACCCAAACCCAAACCCAAACCCAAACCCAAACCCAAACCCAAACCCAAACCCAAACCCAAAACCAAACCCAAACCCAAACCCAAACCCAAACCCAAACCCAAACCCAAACCCAAACCCAAACCCAAACCCAACACCATCTCAAATAAAGTGGACTTTATTCAAATTAAATACTTTTATTTCAAGAAATGCATCCAGTAGATAGTACTTGGTGATCTGTCAAAGTGGCTAGAAATCTGAAAGGTCCAGAAGCAAGTCTGTTTTCAAAGAAATTGATATAATGACATATAATCACTCTAATTAGTCATGTGGTATCAATTTACTGAATACCTTAATGTCGACTCAACTTTTAAAACAAGATGGCACTCCATCTCATCCAATTCAATATATGTATTACAAATATCATATATGAATAGAATCCTGAATCGAATACTCTTGATGCGTAGAACAATCTGAGAAAGTATCATACTCATGACTCAATTCCTCTTGATCATTGTTGTACTTTTCATTCATGCGTAGATAAAAATAACGTACATTCAAAAATACTCTCAAAAATTCTACGCATCAATATGAATGACAACCAAATTGATTGAATGTAAGTCCGTCCGCAAAGTGACGCAAAGTAACGGAATATCGAAATCGTTACTACTTTCGAATAGCTTGAAAACAACACATTTACACCACAACTCGATAACTAGATAAGAACTATATACTTTTTTTAAAACTTTACTAAAAAAACCAACAAAATACCCAAACGGCGCTTAATAACCCAATATCAGATCATAAAGACCATGGAGCCACAGAAGAAACAAATCAAAACAACACGTTTCCAAACCCTTCATGATTTCAACGAAACAAGACGAAATAATTGATATGGTACATCTACAATATTGTACTAATAAAAGTTTATTAATGTTTCAAGAAGATTGACTGTACTTTTGGCATGAATCATGATTGGGACCATGAATAACCCGAAGTTGGCAAAAACACAAAATGATGAAAATCTGATAAATATATTGTTTATTATGTATTTGAATAGTAGTGATGAAAGACATTTTCCAAGTTGGTGAAGTACATGTTGAGATATGGTCCATGTACATGTTGAAAATATACATGTACCTATCATCATGATAAACAATAGGAAAACGTTCGGAAGTGATTTTACCTGATGGAATCGACCATGCTGAACAATACTAGATTGAAAGTTTTCCAAATTATCATATAAATCTGGCAGTGATGATGATTTTAGTGAAAATATTTCACTAAAATAATACTATTATCAGATTTATTTCCACAAATATTACTATTATAATGATGATAAATAACAATGATGGTTGGTAGTTGTTCCGATGATGATGTACCAACTTGAATTTTTCCAAATAATAAAATTATTGCCAAATCATGATGAAGGATTGAATTCCAAAAATTACTATTAATAATATTATTTAAATGATGATGAGATGATGTGGTGAAATTCTTGGAGTTAATAGATGTGAAATTACACCAAGAATCAACACAGGCATGATATACCTGATGTTGACCCAATATTGTTAAGAAATATTTCCAAGTCCTTTAATTTTTCAAAAAAGGCAAGTGGTGAAAATTGGAATGGACCTTCACTGCCAAGAATTAAAATTGGAATGGCTACTGTGTGATTAATATTGGCGCATAACAACATCACAACAATGTAATGCAGGAACAAATAGAACAACATCTCTAGAACATATGTTGTTCTTCTCTGGGTTTTATTTTGTTGCTGTTGCGTGCAAGAGGGTTGAAACTTTAATTTTTTTACCGTCACATTTCTGATTACAAGTTCGATCAACAGAGGATTTTATTATTTATTCAATATCTAGCGATTTGTAAAGAAATGTAATGCAGGATTGTAATATATACATCTGATAGGATATACTCTCTTCGAATTGTATCTCCAGAGTGGTAGCATTCCGTGGGAGAGCTTCTCAAACATTAACAGTTTACTTCGTCTTTTATTGCGAGCTACAGTGCCACCTTAAATTGATCAATTCGAACATTCTAGTACAATTCATGTTTCAAGAGTGATTTCTGTGATAAAATTCATGATAAATACCACTTTCACTTCCACTTTTGTAATAAGCTTTGTTCATCCTTTCGATTGTGAGCTATTTTCACATCTATAAGAATCTATTTTTAACTTTATACCGCGTTTTTATGTTTGATATCAAGAGATTTAAAAACCACAAAAAAAATAACAAACACATCAACCTGTAAATAATGGAGAACAGCTTGAAATTGGTAGTTGTTGGTGATAGCAAAGTCGGAAAGAGTTGTCTTTTGATTGCCTCCACCACAAATTCATTTCCCGAAGATTATGCTCCAACAGTTTTTGATAGTGTTAATGTGATATATGGAAATAGAAATTATAATGTTGGATTGTGGGATACTGGTATGTTGGAATTATAAAAATTGTGACAATTTGACAATTGACTAGATTATGATAGATTGAGAGCTCTTTCATATCTGAGAACTGATGTCTTCTTTGTTTGGTATGTTTTTCGGTGGTTGAATTCTTCCTCTAACGTAATGATTAAGTTTTTCAATGGTCGATCGTATTTCCTTTGAGAATGTCGAATCAAAATGGATTCCAGAATTGATTCATCACTGTCCTGATATTCCAGTAAGTTGACCATTCCATGCCAATGAATTCATTGAATATTCCCTTTCTATTCAAATAGATCATTTTGGTTGGGTGTAAGAGTGACCTTGTCTCAAATGCTGATTGTGACTCAATAGTCACTAAGGAAATGATTGAGCAAAAGTTACAGAATTCACTTGCTTCACTATGCATTATTACAAGCTCTAGAGCCATGTACAATATTGATAAACTCTTCAAATTGGCAATTTCAGAAACAATTTACGTGTCCAAATCTTCAAAAAAAGGAAGAAAGAAGGTAGTGATTGGAAACCCTGAAGATATTGAACCAACTCCTCCTATAGTGCCTCCAGCTAGAAAAGCTCCTAGGATTTATGTGGAAAGCTCAAATTATGGCAAGGGTTTTAAAAACCTTTTGGATAGTGATTTTTGCTGTGATACCAAGTTTGTAATTTACAATTCCAAGAAGGACATTGATGTGGAAATTAAGGCCCATTCATTGGTGTTGGCTTGTGTTCCCTCCAAAGTTATTGGAAAATTATTCGATGAAGTATTGGTTTCTAGAGATGCTGGAATGAATAGCTATTCACATGAAGCATTTGAAAAGTTGAGTGCCAAAATTAATGGAGGTAGAGTGAGTGGTTTCTCATCTGTCTCTATTGATGAGAATGAGCCAAATATATTGAAATTCAGACTCTCCAACACTATTCATCATAGGGCTTTCAAATCCCTATTAGAAATTCAATATTATGGAGGATCGGAAACAATGCGGAAAAGGTGTAAAAAAGATCAATTTCTCAATAAGGTCAAGACTGCATCTACCATCCTTGAATGTGAATACACTAACAATATAGTCAGTAATTACCAGATAGTAGAGGAAGATGTGTTCAATGAAAGCATTGAAACATATCTTAATGATTTATTGGGTAGTGAAATTAAGAAAAAGTACTTTGATAAGAAAACTCACTCCGATGTCGAAATTGTCTTTTCCACAACTGATTCTTCCAAGAATTTCCATGGACACAAGCTATTCCTCTCTGCTAATTGTGATGTATTCAGAACAATGTTTGAAGCTAATTTCGTAGAGCACTCATCAAGGCAAGTAGATTTGAGTGGTGAAATTGGTGAGAACGAGAATAGAATAAGTGAATTCCATGCCCTATTCGAATATCTATACTCTGCTCACTCTACCATCAATGAAAGAAATGCTGTTGGATTGTTGAGTTTGGCCAACGAATATGGCAATCTCATTGTGTGAAATTTTCATCTCGAAAAATATTGACAAATCAGTTGCTCAAGGAATTGAAAATGCTGACATTGACACTATAGGTCTACTATTACTAGCTCAAACTTATGAAGCCAATTAATTGCCCAACTTTTGTCTCCATTTCATCTCTACAAATTATGGTCCAATGAAAGCAAGAAGGGAATGGGAACTTTTAACAGGTGAAAATCTGAAACATGTTACTGAAAACAAATGGCCACCAGATTCATACTATAAAAAAGTTGAGGAATATAAAAAAAAGAGGGAAAAATATAGGAAGAAATTGAAGAAGAAACAATCAAAGAGTGGCGGTGCTGATTTGGAAATTGATGATGTAAAGAAAAAATGTTTCATTCAATAAATATGTGTAGGACAGTATACCTCTGGTATATGGAAAGAAAATATTTGTCATCATCTATAAGCAAAATGAGAAGAGGAGGCTCTATGATGGCTCTATAACGCTTGCCCCTTATTCGAAATTGAAAGAATTTGATTTGAATTCATGTACCAAAGTAATGGTTGTTAGTTTTTTATCTGACCAGTTTGCAAGGTTTTGTTTTTTCCAAAAAGCGATTTTGTATGACACAACATGCTCATTGATGAGGAGAAAATAACTTGGTAATTTGAAGATAGAAATTTATATAAATATTTAAAAAAGCAAAACAATAATGGCCAAAATCAAAGCAACAATTAAAGTTGATTTCAATGAATTAACACCATTAACAACCTTTACAGAAGTAGAAGGGGTAATGATATTATCACATGAAACTCTCTTACATGGTTCATTCAAAGTATCAGAACCAGCAACACCACCCATGAAACTCAATGAATAAGTTCTTCCATAGACACCTTGAGCAGCAAAGAGATAGTAATCAGAGAAACCATTGCCATTGGTATACCATGCTCTACCAGTTGTTGCATATTCAGTGGTTGCAGAGGTAATATCTAAAGCAGTTTCAGACATGACTCCATCAGCAGTCAAAGCAAAGGTCTTTCTAGCAGTTGATTGGAGAACAGCTTGATTTCTAATCAAGGCAACATATGCAGAACCAGCTTTAGTACAGACTTCAATATTCTTGTTGACATCAACTCCACAGTTCAAAACTCCATAGAAATCATTATTATCAAAACCGATGTACATGTTAATGGCGTAACCAACATTGACTTGTTTCAACAAGCTCAAAATCTTTTGAATAGGAGCAACCAAACCAGCCTTAGTTGTAATTGCTGAAAATTGATTCAATTCAGGCATTGCAAAACTCTAGAAGCTGGTACAGAGTATGAATTTTCCAAACATGCTGAACATGGTTCTCTAGCATCTCTGTCAACAGCAATAACACCATTACTGAATGATTTGCAGAATGTTCTACCAGAACCACCTGAAGCGAATTGATAAACATCAGTCCAGTTATCAGCCTTAACATACCAACCTTTAGAAACAGTGTTGTAATCATCTGATTCCAAACCAATCCTTTCGGCCAAAGTACCATTTGAATAAACTTGATGAATGACTCTCTTATTGTGTCCATTTGAAGAGTGTCTAATGTAGGCCAAGAAATTATTAGTTCCACAATAAGCATTACCATTGTTAGCAGTGGATTTACAATTCTTCAACAAGAAGAAATTGCCATTGTTCAATCCATAGTAAATATTGACAAAGTATGGTGATTTGATTTTAAGACCAGTGTTCCAGAGGATGGAGAAACCTTCATCCACAGTTGAAGGAATGCCATTTACTGTGATTAAGCTTGCTGTTGGAATGGCATAGCTATTATCTAAACAGTCATCAGCTGCATGAGATAAGGAAACAAGGAGGGCACAAACTAAAAGAATCGCCAATTGTGATGTTGGTTTCATGTTATTTGTTTTTTTGGTTGAGTTATTCACTTTTGTTGAGAGTTGTGAAAAGGTTTTATATCCAATGAAACCAATTCAAATCATTTTTACAATCAAATGAACAGGGACTGAACAGATGTGCATTTCACATGTTATTGTAATCAATAAATAATTACAATTAGTTGGATATAAATAGAAAGATAACAGGTGGATTGAAATCAAGGTATTCCCACCAATGAAATGACCCAGTAAAGTAATTTTCCATATTGAATCTTCAACATAGTAACATTATCATTTAATTAAGGTTGTTAAATTCAGAAGGCCTGGTTTGAAGAGAAAGTCAGAAATTGAAGCATCCAACTCCAAATCACAAATTGAACAATTGAAGCATGATTGGGATAACAAGAATATCTCAATAGAACAAGAAAATTTATTACTCAAATATGTGCTATGATTAGCATGAAGATTTGAATGTGGAACAGTTAGATGGACTGGAAGTGCCTCAAATATTTGAAAAACAGAATCTTTCTCAGCACCTAAGGAAACAACTCAGTCTAGTTTGATTACTTCTTCCATTTCTTAATTATTAGATATCCATCATGATTTTCACAAATTATGATTCAAGCCTCTGTGCATTATTTGTTATTGCTGAAAAATGTCGAAACTTGGTAAATTGACAACGTGATGAAAATCTGATAATAAATATGATAGTAATTAAGGTGGAGTACATGTTAGGTTTGTATATACTTTTTCAACAATCCAACTGATGGTTTTTCGACTCATCAAGTAAATTCCGATGCATAGATGCTGTTTGACTTTAAATATCAAAATTAAAATTAATTTACTACTAAATATTAATTTCCACAAATACCATTATATTTAATTATATTGATGGAAAGAATATGATAAGATGATCCACAACTTTTGAAAAATAAATTCCGTTTTAATAATAATCCACTAATAAATTACTAGAAAAGATCATGTTGAGATGATGCAATAGTCACAAAGGATTATTTGTTTTTGGCCATTATGTACAGCCTGATGTTATTTGTTTCAACCATTCCGCAAGTACTGATGTTGTTTAATTTTTTGAAAAATTATTAAATTCAAAAAATAGGAACAACACACATGCTTCGGGGAAAAGTGATGGTTCTTGGAATGACCTCACATCATCACTCTATCATAGTAGATTAATATTGTTATTTGACTGGAGCACCATCATCAAGTCGGAAACATTTTTACCAGTAGGCAGGAAAATCTAAGATGAAACCTAATCATTGGAACAAACACTAACATCAGTAATGGACAATTCTCATCAAAACAATATATTATTATTTATAATTGTGGAATATTTGGGAATGCCAAAGAGTACTTTTTCAATTAAATTCATCTTGATGATGTACTGCTTTTTCCACTGGATAATTTGGAAAACTATTAATGTAGGATTGTTCTACATGTCAAAATATTGTATTAATGAAAATTGTACAGTGTATTTTGACCAAGTTATCATATCTAGTTGATTCATGCCTCAACAACAAATCAAACAACAGAAAATTCCAAAATATAATTTAAACTCTTGGATGATAACAACCAAGCAAGAACAACTCAATTCTTTCCCATAGAATAATAATAGAATTCAAATGATGAACTGTAACTACTCTTCACCTTCAACCTCATCATGACAATTTTTCGCTCTACAGTTTTCATCTACAGTTCAAGTGCATACTTCACTCTCGCTTTGAATTGGTTTACAATTTATTTTTCCAGTAATTTTGAATTAACATTTGGTGGCACCTTCTTACTGTGAATTACAACTTCATGGTCTTTACTTTAACCGAAAGTGCCAACATTTTATCCTTTAGTTTGAATTTTCCAATGGTTTAGTGCACAATGCAACAAGTTTGGCAATTTAAATTTGATACCAGAATAGTAGGTGACATCCTCTAATGCAATAATTTTTACGAAATTGTAATAAAAACCCTATCGTACTTCCTATTTTGAATGCTAATTCCCACTTTCGAATAGTGAGCACCAATTGCGAAGAATCATTAAAAATAAACAGCTCTTTGCAAATTTACATTCCAATTCATTACCTAAAAAATGTCATTACTTGCCGCTCCACTAAAGAGAAGATGGAACAATACAGGTCTCCTTCTCAAGTCATCTGCCACTACTCATCAATTAGCAAACACTTCAACTATGAAAGGTGTTGGAAGATACTATCATAAAGACACAACAAAAGAATCCTTAGCAACAACAATCCCATCCTCAGGAGGTGCCAAATGTCCATACGGATATGGAAGTGTAACAGCTTCCACCGCCGATGAGAAACCAAAAGTTAAACCTTTCTCTGAAATTCCTGGACCTAAACCTTTACCATTGCTTGGTAATTATCTAGATATTAAGAAGAATGCCACAAATACTCAAGAATTCTTCCTTGATTTATGTAAAGAATACGGAGAAATGGTCAAGTTGACTGCTTTTGGAGTCAATTTGGTTATTCTTTCAGATCCTAGTCTGATAGCTGACGTAGCAAGAGTAGAAGAACGTAGAACAATTTTGGGTCCATCAAGATATTACAAACAAACTCGTGGATTAGAGTTGGTTCCAGTAGAAATGAAAATTGAAGAAAATTGGAATGATATTCGTCAAATTTTCAATCTTGCAATGAAACCTGAATTCCTTGATCGTATTGTTGTTCCTCAATTGACAGAAATGAATAGTGATTATATTAGACAATTGAGAAAGAACTTTACCAAAGTTGGTGAAAACAAATATAGACTGAATAATGGTATGGAAGCAACTTCCAGATATGCCTTCGATGCAATTATGAAAGTTTTCTTTGGTGTCAAGATGACTGAAGAATTAGAAAGAGGTCTACCATTCAAACTTGATGATTTTTCAAAGCAAGCCATGACAGTTCTCGATTTGTGTTCAAGATTAGATTACAAACTTCCAATTTACAAGTATTTCAAAACTAAGGAGTATGGAATTATTGAGAATATGTATGATAGTGTAATTGCTAATACTAGATATTGTGTTGATCGATTTGGTCAACCATTACCAGAAGGTTCTAAACCAAGATTTTTGGAAATTCTTACACAAAGATCAGAAGGAATTGAGAATGCTCAGGATAAGGTCACTACTGTATTGTCAACTTTCTTACAAGGTGGAGTTGACTTGACGTCAAGAATTTCCAATTTTATCCTTTATAGATTAGCTCATCATCCAGAATACCAGGAAAAGATTTATCAGGAATGTTTGGAAATTTTCGGTGAACCAACTGAAAATGAAATCCTTTCCGAAAATGGATTAGAAATCACACCAGAACAATATAAGAAACTCAAACTAACCAAACAATTCGTTGAAGAAGTTACGAGATTCAACTCATTTGCCTACATTACATTCGGTAGACAATTGAATACTGATTTGGAAATTGGTGGATTCAATCTTCCAAAGGAAACTGTTGTCATTTTCATGAATTATTTCCCAAGTATGAAGGATGAATATGTTCCAAATGCTTTGGAATTCATTCCAGAGAGACATGATAAGAAGAGTCCACTCGCTCCAAAGTCAATGTTTTCATCACTTCCATTTGGTGTAAGTTGTTAATTTTCTAATTTTGGATTAATTTAATTCTTTCCATATTTGTTAATTTGTTATATTGATATTTATAGGTTGGTGCCAGAAAATGTCCTGGAAGTCGTATTGCTAATGCAGAGTTCCACTTTTCAATTATTAATGCTGTTAGAAATTTCAAGTTAACTAAGGAACATGCTGAATTCCCTAAAATGGAAACAGACCAAATTACCTTCTATATTAGTACTAAGAAATATCCATTGTACTTCCATCCAAGAGATCACGTAAAGCACCTCTTTGACTAATCATTGAAAATAATGAAATTAAAAATAATTCCGAGCTTGTTAGGGAAATTGAATTACTAATTTTAATAAATAAAATTTCCAAATAGAAATAATTGAGTTTTATCAACACAATATGTTTACATTTGAAATGTTGGTAGTTTTTTGTAAACTATTTAAATTATCTATACAGAAAAATTAATTTTCAAAAAAAATGGAAAATCTAACATCAGTAAAGCCACTCATGGTACGTTGATCAATAATTTATTGAACCTCTAATAACAACAGATTGTTCATGGAGGTGCTTGGTCCATTCCTAAAGATTTGGAACAAGATCACATTGATGGTACGAGGAGTGCCATTGCTAATGTTTATCCAGCACTTTTGAAGGGTGAAATTGATGCTGAGGAAGCTGCTGTGAGAGCTGTAGGTGTTCATCTTTGTTATTTATCCTTTTTGAGCATATCATTCCGATGATGAAATATTTGAATATTTAAATATTATTATATTTAATTGATGATCAAATGATGATGATAAATGTGGATGAGGAAATAGATTAAAATTTTGGAAAATGATGAAACATTTGATGCCGGGAAGGGATCTTTTTTGAATTTGAAAGGACAAGTGGAAATGGATGCAAGTATCATGAATGGAACTAGTTTGAAATCTGGAGCTGTTTGTGGAATTCAAGGAGTGAGGAATCCAATTTGTGTTGCCAGAATGGTCATGAATAGAACTGAACATAATTTGTTGGTTGGAGAGAATGCATTGGAATTTGCCAAATCAAATTTGAAAACAGATGAAGAAAGGAAGGAATTACTAATTGAAAGTGTGGAAGAATTATTGACAAAGAGAGAATTGGAATTTTTGGATAGAATTAGGAATAATGAGGAATTTACGAGTAGAACTGTTTTTGAAGCTAAGGATACTCAACCACCACCTTCAAAGAGAGGAACTGTTGGAGTAGTTGTGTTAGATAGAAATGGAAATATTTGTGCAGCCACATCAACTGGTGGAACTCCTAAAAAAGGTAATATTTAACTTTTATTTGGATTGTTAATATTTCAAAATAGTTCCTGGAAGAAGTGGAGATACTGGTCTCATTGGATCAGGCACATTTGCTGATTCTTCTGTTGCAGGAGCTTCCTCGACTGGTTGGGGAGAAAGTATAATGACCATTCAAATGACAGGAACGTTGATTAGATGGCTCGAGTTTAATAACGTTCCTCAAAGAAAGGAAAATACCACAGCAACAGTCTACACTCACCAATCATTCCAGGAAAAACAAGAACCACTCGAACAAGTTAATTTAGCAACTCAAAGAGTTATTGAATATTTACAAGAAAAAGTGAATGGACTTGGTGGATTGATTGTCTTATCCAAAGATGGAAAATATGCAGTTTCACATAATACAGACAAGATGAGTTTTGCCTACGTTCCTGCAGATTCGGTCGATTTGGTAAATAACACTTTCGAAGTGGTTTCACTCGTCTCTGAAAAGAAGATTTAACACCTTTTGTGCCACAAATACAATATTGTAATAAATCCGTTGTGGCAGTTGGAGATTTACTTTTAGATTTGAAGTATTTAACAAAAAAAATGCGTCAAAGAGATGAGTTAGTATCACTCACTAATCACATATTTGAAGGTGAATCGGAAAAGCTTTTTGGACAACTGGAACTGAGAGGCGAATTTACTCAAAGCAATCAAACTTTCACAGACGATGAATTACATGAAATTCTTACATTCCTTCCTTTTCAAGATATTTTACATAAATATATGCTTGTTTCCGTACAGTGGATGAGAGTTGTTATGAAAAGTGTTCCAATATTTTGGCATTTCAAAAAGCATTATGGAAATGGTCGAGTGAAAAGATTGGTTAGATCACCATTTCTTAGAAATTTGACAGGATTGGATTTGAATTTTTGTAGGATTGGCCTTGAAGGTGTTAAACTTGTTGCTTCACATGAAATGATGGCAAAATTGAAAACACTTTCTTTACAATGGTCTGAAATAGATGCAGAAAGAATTACCTTGATTGCCACAAGTCCTGTAATGAGTCAACTCACAGATTTAGATCTGTATGGAAATTCAATTGGAGATGAAGGAAGTAGAATTATTTCTGAAAGTATCTACATGAAAAATTTAACTCGTTTAAATCTTGAAGGAAATGGTTTGGAAATTGCAGGAATCAAACATCTTTCAGAGAGTCAAAACATGTCCAATTTGAGAGATTTAAATTTGGCTCATAATTCATTACTTTTAGAAGGAATTCAAATTCTTTGCAATAGTATTTATATTACCAAATTGACCTATCTTGACTTGAGTGGAAGTGGAATCAAGCTAGCTGGTATCTCTACAATGTGTAACAGTTCCAACATGTGTGGATTGAAAAAACTCACCCTTGAAAAGATAGATATTGGTGAAGGTGGAATGCAATATTTAGCAGAAAGTAATATCCTCAACAATTTGACCAGCTTGAATGTAAAAGGTTCTCAGATTACTGAAAAAGGCATGTCTTTTCTAGCATCTAGCACTAACTTGCAAAAAGTCAAGTCTCTAATTCTTACTAGAAACCTGGTACTTGATGGTGGTTTGCAGAGTTTGTCCAAATCTACATTGAGAATTACCGAGCTGGATCTTTCCAATAATGGAATAAGTGATAAAGGAGTCAGGCACATTACAACATCTGCTGTATTTTCCCAATTGACCAATTTGAACCTTTCTAATAATGATATAACTGGAAAGGGTGTTTCTACTCTAGTATCAAGCAAAATTATCAGCAATCTCCAAGTACTCAATCTTAATAATAATTATATTGAGAATGAAGGAGCCGAGCACATATCAAAGAGTTATCTGATAAGAAATCTGAAAAGACTTGAATTGACAGCAAGTGGAATTAGTAAGGAAGGATTGAAACATATTGCAGAGAGTCCATTCCTAAGTAATCTTTCGTATTTGAATGTAGCAAGAAATGTCAAGCATTGTAGAGGTTTCTTGCAAAGCTTTGCAATTCCATGGTTAGATAATTTAATTGAAACTGAATCTATTGATTTGTAATAATTTCCAATCCATATTCTTCCTGATATTCCTTTTTCATTTCTTCCACAATCATTTTTAATTCAATTGTTACCTTTTCCAAATCTCCTTCTTTCCACAATACGTATCCTTCATTTCCTAATAAATTATAAATTATAAATTATTATCCAAATATTAATAATTACCTTTTTCTTTTGATTTTCCCATCATGTCAAACAATACACCAGGAACTGGTCCATCCAATTTAACATTGGCAAGATAACATTCTTCAGGATTGCCTCTTCCATACACATGTCCATGAAGAAAGGAAGGTTCTTCCTCTCTACCCAAAATTGTTTCACCTAAGCTTTCATTAAATTGATGAGAATTATTTCCAGCAATGGATATCTGACTAATTGGCATTACCTTGGAATAGCAATCAGACATGAATTGAAGCAGAATACCCAACCCAACTCTTTCACTTCTCGTATATTCTCTATTAAATGTTGAAGCCATATCGGAGGAGTTTACCAATCGAACAATACATCGATAACCTCTCTTATCTGTTGGATTTAAATAAATATAATATTCTGAAACTGTCTGATGATGATGATTACTATTAGAATCACTCGATAATGAAGGCTTTGATGAAGATGGTGGTTTGTAAAAGGCAATGGCAATCAATCTCGGATCATTTGCAGAATAAACCTGTTGTACCCAATGATGAGATGGATAAGAACCAGAAAAGAATTTACGCATTCTAGAATTAAATTACAAATTGATGATCAGAAACTTTAATTTTTTTTGATTAAAAAAATTAAAACAAAGTTTCATGATCGGTGATGATTTTGATTCTAAAAACACTCGGAACTAGTTTTGTAACATGTTCATTCGGTTTGGGTTTCTATTGAGTTGATTAAGGGGTACCTCTTCCCGCCAATCAAATTTCTTGACATTTTTCAAAAAAATAAATATCATGATCTCATCATCACAGAAGCAGTGCTCATTGTGTGGTTCTTCTTGGTTCGGAAAACAATATAAAACTATTAGTCATCATGATGTGGAGCAATTTCAATATATTCTAAAATCTCACCGATTAGTGAAGAATGATCAAGTGTGCTTGGATTGTTATAATGTTTTGTCATCCCGTAATAAGTTTATAACTGGCCATTGTTGTGTAGGTATTTACATTCCTTGTACTAACCCTCTTCATGAATGTCCTATTACTGAATGCTAATGATCATATTTTCATGTGTGTGTTAGTATGATATGAGCAAAGTAGACCTGTCTCAGTTTTGTGATTGCTGTTTAGAAAGACATTCCAATAAACAAAACTTCGAGAGAATGGTAATTAGTAAGAGTGATGCTTCTTTGTACTATCAAAATTGTTTCTCGTTCAACCTTCGTTTTTCTAATAACTTCTGTGTCAATAGTCAAAACATGATGAAGAGAATGAACGCAAGACAGATAGATGTAAGTTAAATAATTGTAAATACATATTACTTATGAGATATGTTGTAACGTATGTAATTGATATCCTGTTGGTATGTGGATTAATTAGATAATTAATAATGAAACTGTGTTGAGAAGTAGTGCAAAATTCCAACCAAATGATTGTTGTAAGTCATCAAAATCTAAAAAAAAAATTAAATTTAAAAAAGCTTTTTTATGTAATACAAACAATCTGAGCTTACTTTTGGAGAACGCTGCTTGCTCAAATTGCTCAAAATCATCACTGACAATTTCATCACATCATACTATTGGTGGACAACTAATTGCAACAATAACATGTAGTAATTGTCATAAGGAAATCAAATGGGACAGTGGTGGAGTTTCTAATATGCCCAATTTTACAGCCTTCCGATTTGTTTTATCATGTTTAATACTTGGACATAATTATGATACATACAGCCAACTTCTTTTATTGAATAATATCAAACCATTTTCATTATCTGCATTCTACAATATCCTAGAAACATTTTCTATTGCCATAGAAATACTCTCCGTAAAGCAGGTAGCTGATGATTTGCAAGAAGCTGCAAAGAAATCACAAAATGGATTAATAATAATGATAGACTTTGGATGGGGACATAAGCGAGAATCATCAAATGGTGCTCTTGTTGTTATTGATGCCACTACTTCTAAAATTGTTTATTACAAAGTGATTGAGAAGTGTCGTTCTTGTAGAGATTCAAGTGATATTATTAATTGCAAAACTGGGATGTTTCATGGAAGTTCAAAGACAATGGAAGGAGAGTCAGTGAAACAGTTTTGTTCAGATATGAAGAGCAATAACATTAATATCTCATGTGTCATTCATGATGAGGATAGTAGTACATTGAAACATATTGTTGATCAATATCCGAATGTAACATCCTATTTGGATATTAATCATATTAGAAAAAACCTCTACAAATCATTAATGAAACCATCAGGTTTGTTTCGTCGTGGTGACAAAGCATTATTGAAGAGATTGGCTCCTAGAATTAATGCATATGTTAGCAAATTTATTTCTAAAGCAACTTCTCTTGATGAATTACAATCTTGGTTAAAGAACATTCCAAATCATTTATGCAACAAACATGATGGTTGCTCACAGGGATGCCCGTTTAAAGATCCAAACCATAAAACTCCCAATAAGCTATGGCTATCTGAAAAACGCCATTCATTTGTGATTAAGTATTTAAAAGAAAAGTTAAACAACTTGGTTCTGAAAGGAAAAGCAATTTTTCACCATTACTCATCAAATCCGTGTGAATCATTTCACAGAATGAGAATTAAATATGTCTCAAAGAATATCAAAGGGACAAGATATTTCCGAACTCGTGTTCAACAAGCAGTTTTGGATAAGAATGCAGGTAAAACTTGGATTATAAGGTTATTTGATTTATTGGATATTCCAGAAGAAGAAATATGGAAGAGCAATATGAATAAGTTGAATGAAAAAAGATCTAAAGTATTGAAACATCATCATACTGAAGAAGCCAAAAAGCAAAAAGCTAACAACAAGAGGAAATTCAAGGAATTATCTCAAACTATGCCCCAGAGCGAGGCCACTTATGGACTATCGTGTGATTGCAGTTTGGGGTGTGATTCAAATACTTGTGCTTGCAAGAAGAGTAAGATGGTGTGTTCTACAGCTTGCAGATGTATTAACTGTAACAACAAACAAAACCAACACACTACCCAATCCACAATACCCATCAAGAAGAAGAAAACACATTATGTTGGTTCCATTATTCCCACCTCAAGGAAGACGAAATGTTGTTCTAATTGCGGAAGTTACTTTACTCACTTAGAAAAGTGTCCCTATTGTACTGTTGAGGTATGTGCAGAATGTAATGGAGATCCGATGTGCAAATGTTGTGTCACTCTAACACAAGAACAAGAAGGAGATGATGGTGGAAAATGAATTAAAATTAATAATTTATTGATGATGCCCATGATGATGATGATTCACCTAGGAAGTTGTGATATTTTTTTTTATTTTTAGAAACATTAAAAATTTAAAAGTTTTGGCGTTTCCTAACAGTCGTAACGACCAGAGGTACCCCTTAAATAATAATATTATTTGATTATTTTAAAAAGGATGAAATTTTAATTATTATTATCGATAATTTAATGCATGGATGTAAATCGGATATCATACAAGTACGACTTTTCATGCAAATCACTATTGAATTGTTTTTTGAGAATAGTACACAAGTTATTCTTCAATACTCCCTCATTGGATGATTTGATGAAAATACAAAAAGTAAAGGCATCAAGAATTTGCAATTCATCCTTGCTTCCGATGAGTCTTCGCATACCTTCGTGTTCAAACCAATTTTTCGATGTGTTTGAAACTCCTTGAGAACCATTCGAAGCTGACACATGGATTGTATTCCACTGATCGACTGCCATGTAAGATTCTTTACCATAAATAGATTTGACTGAAGGTATTGGAAGAGTAATGAGATTTTCATCATTGGCCATCTCTGAGGTTAGATTCAAATTGTGATAGACTTGTCCATCTTGAGTTAGGAAGAAAGCGTTGGAACATGAAATCCACATGGAAGAAACTGGATGATTGATGAAGGTATTCATTTTCGTCCATTCTTGAGCATCAATCATATTTGAGTGAGCTCTTATTCCTGTCACATAGACCATTCCTTCAGAATCCAAACAAACACTAAAGAAAAATCCAGCTTGTACATCAATTATTTGATTATCAGTTTTTGGTCTCGATATTTTCCTAAACTCGTAACAAATTCCACTATCTATTGTTCCCAATTGATTTTGAAAGGAACATCCAGTTCCATACAGATTTCCATCTTTCGAATAGGCAATAGCATGTTGATATCCACATGAAATCTTTTCCAATCCACTCAGTAATTTGGTTTTGATTTCAGTGGTCTCAAAAATACATTCTTTAAAATTGAGAGAACCTCCTCGACCAATTGCTCTCTGACCACATTCATTCTGCCCTGCAGAGAAGATATTTGAACGATCATCACTCATAGCCATCATGAAATACATTCCACAAGCAATATTCGAAAATTTATCCACAACTTGCTTATTAGAAAGTTCAATTGAAATACGTGTAAGGTTTTCATCGGTTGTATCGGTTATGGAGGTTGTTTCTGGTCCAGTGGTTGGGAATGGACACTTTCCACAAACAAATAATCTTTTGTTATTCGAAAATTCAAAGTTTTTTGTAAATTTGTCACTTACCTTCCATCATTTGCAAGGAGAGCAGCAAAGCTCTTTCCGGAACTCACTGATTTTATCGTCATTTTGTCTGTTAAATGTTTAAATCTAAAAATTCGAGTGGCAGCATCTTTCGGATCAAGTTGAGAAACTTGTTCTAAACTATCTTGAGAGAAGGAATGAAATTCTGTATCAAAAGTTAAAAGTACTTCTTGTCTTCCTAGAAGTGAAGGAGCAGAACGTGATGGTCTATAACCGGAGTTGGTTGATTTTGTTGCTGTTTTTCGATTGAATGATCAGTTTAGTTTCTAATAATAAACACAAACCTTTTCTTGATCCACTTTGGCCCATTTTTTTGATTTACTTGCTGTTTAACTTTTCTTTGTGATTCGACATTCAATCTAGAAAGTCTAGGAAAGGAAACACTAAGGTTGCTTTTTGTGTCCTATTGGAAATATTGTTCGAATCTACATCAAGCAACATCAAAAATTTTCCCGCCACCACAAACCGTTAAACAATTTAACTTCAACCATAAAAAAAAATAAAACAACAACAAAATGGAAGCAAATTCCTTCATCATTTCCTTCGGATGAACCAAAGCCAAGGAATGCGAAAAAACCACACGAGCATCAAAAGAACAACAATTAATACGTACACAACCAATCTCCATCATCAATCACTCTACGCAAACATGTTCAATAGATAACTCTCCAATATCCAATTTCCTTTTTTTCTAATTTAATTACAAATCATCACGAATATTCGGTGGTTGAATTTAAAATCTCTCATTGGAAGATGATGTTACATAAATTTTCAAAAAAGAAAAAGAAGAACAAATACACGAAATGGCCCTACAACTCATTCATCCAAATACCATCACAACTCGATCAAGTTTGCTGAGGGAATACAACAAACATTTCATTTCCATTATTCAAGATTTGAAAGAGGAAGAAGAAGCAATTGAGAGTAAGGAACAGCAAGCAGAACAACAACAACATTCAATGGATGAAGTTTCCATGATTAGATTCGATTCAAATCTTTTCAAAAGTTTAACTCAATTATTGGAGCAATACCTCAATAGATTGTACTGGATTGAATTTCCAAAGAATGATCAATGTGCTTCTTATCAGACTGTTTCTAAATGGATTCAAGAGCATTTACAAACCATGATAGAGAATCAGTATGGTGATTTTCATCCACTTCCACATTTACTTGTCAATAATTACAAATGTTTGCTAGAAGTTCAGAGTAATAGTTGTTATCAGACAATGAGAGATTGGATGACACTCAAGATTAAAGAGTTTATCAATACGAATACACCAAATGGAAATGTTTCTGCTTTACATGTTGCTGTTGCAAAGGGACAAGTTGATTTAGTTTATTGGTTATTGTATAGATTGAGATGCAATGTTGATGGATTTGGTTCACCAGGAGTAAGTTGTCATTCATATTATTAATTCTTTTTAACTCTTGAATTCTAACAGAATCGAACACCATTATTCATTGCTTGTTTGAAAGGAAAATGTCAAATTGCAAGGATTCTATTGGAATGTGGAGCTTGTAAAAAGATTGATTGTCTATTCAGTGATGATGTAATAATGGTTTCAGAATATAGTGGAATTGTCAGACAGAGAATTATGTTGAATTCTGAACAGGCAGCTGAAAGATTGCAGTTCACCAACCTGCACCAAATGATTAAGAACTTTGATTTGGAAAGATGTATAATAATGAAGAAATCTAATCTCAAATTCTTTAAACATATGAGGCAAATGAAGGAACAACGAGGATTTTCTGACGTTATTTCTTCTCCCCAACACTAATTCTATCCCATTTCTAAATATGTACTGTTGACACTCCAAGAAAGGCACCAAACTAGGAAATACACTTGTTGTAACAAATAATACTCAACTGTTTCTCCACAGCACTAAACAAAATGAAAATCTTTCAAACCCTCCTCATACTGTGCATTCTTTCTGTTTGGTTTCATCAGATATCTGCCTTTCCAATCAAACCACCAAATCATAGAACAAGCTCGTGTAGAAATATTTACTGCCTCATTCCTTGTAGATATGGATACAAGGTTGATCGATTCGGTTGCCAAATAGCTTGTGATTGCAATCCAGCACCATGTAGAGTATACAATTGTCTTGTAGCATGTCCACACGGATACAAGGTAGATGAAAATGGTTGTCAAGTTGCTTGTGACTGTAAAGAATCTGCAAATGAAAGTACTCCGTGTGAAAACGAAGCAGAAGCAAGTTATTTAGCTTAGTGGATATGAAATTTTGTACATATATATATGAGTCAAACGAATATTACAATTAAATATTAATTTATACAAGTTAATTTAAGGATGAATGTGTTTCTGATATTTAGAAACGGATTCCCATTGACTATAGTTTGAAGTTTCTTGCAATCTTCTGAAGGTATCCATCATGTTCAACACCAAATCATTTCCAAAAACTTGCCACAAGGCAGAGTATTCAACTTGGTGTGTTTTCTCTTGTGCTTGTTCTTTGAGTTTGTAAAATTCTCGTTTACAACTTGAAGGTAAGTTCACTTCATATTTCGAATAATTCTTAATGAAAGTATCATCAATTTCATCCAACTCTTTCTCACTCACCACTTTCTGCACTTTCAATTTCAACATGACTGAATAGAATTCAATATTCTCCAAACTAAACTCCTTTTCAGAATATTCTCTAAATAAATTGAACAAATCTTCGTTTTTCAAAATATTTTCCAAATCATCTGCTGAATTGGTCTTTTGAGATTTTGCATACCTAATTCTTTTGTATATTTCAATCAGCACTACACCTCCTCCATTCATTGTCAAAAATACGAAACACAAAATTGTGTTGAAAATTCCACCAACATTTTGATATTCTTTTTGTTGAACGTCGAGCGAGGCAGTTCCAACAGCAACTAGAATGCAAATAACAATGGGAAAGAGTAAAAGTAACATGTCTACTCTAACATACAATGGATCATCGAAAAAGAAGAATCGTTTCAGTCCAAACTTTCGAATAGTTTTTCCATGGATTATCATATCCCACAAAACTGCAACGAAAACCTAACAATCCACCCAAAATAATAAAACCAACAATCCATGCAGCTCTGTAAATATCAATAGTGGACTTATTCTCTAAAAAAAAGAAGTAAATTCCAGCCGAATTGAATGTCAATGCCAATAAAAATGTCAAGACAACTGTCAGAACGAAACCACTCTTTTCAGATGCCAGAATTTTCATCAATTTCTCACGAGTAGGGAATCTAGTAATCAGGGAATATAAATTTCTCAAGAAATAGAATCTAATCACTGTGGCTGAATAAATAAAGACCCACCAAATCATTACAAAAGTTGAAATATTGTAAAATATGCAAACACAAATTCTTGAGAGAGATGTGAACATGACCATGATGGTTAGAATGAGAATTGGGCAGTAGGGAAGGGCAATTCTTCTTCTCATGGATGGTTTTTTGAATAATCCAAAAGAGAACAATAGTATAAAGTAGCCGAAAATAATGACGAATTGAGGGATTATCCAAAAATCTAAGGTTGGATCAAAGTTTTCTCCTGCGCATGTGGAAGTTTTGCACATGTAGCATGATGATGAGAGTAAAACAGTTTCCAGAGAAGATGAAGAAAATCCATTAGTTTCGGATTATCCAAAGTACGAAAGTATTGCTGGAATATTCGAATTGATGAGTGTGTAATTAGCTAATAATGATGATTTTCCAGTAATTCTTTCAATAATTGCAACATATAGGGATGAATAATTAGAGTATCCTGTCAGCAATCTAAAATATTGAGCATCTGACACATCTGGTTGATTTTCACATGTCAATAATTTTTGATAACCAAACAATTCCTGCATTGGTTCTGATGGATTTGCTTCCATCATTCTCCTAGTGTACACTTCGTATGGAATCAATGGAATTGGTTCAAAATTCTTACTTTGCATCATTGAAGAACCTAAACTAGACGAATCTCTGTAAAACCTCACAAAGAACGCAAATGCATACGGATCTAACAAGACAGCATCGTATTTCTCCAAGTAATTTCGCTTCTGACATGAATCGAAAGATGGAAATATTTTAAAATATATGATTAGATGTCAGTGGAGAATTATTCGAAACTGTTGTACCTTCATAGATGGAAACGTTGAATTGTGAAAATGTGGAAGTTAAATAATTTACTTGGTTTGACATTACACCAATTGAAATGTAATTTGTCTTGAGCCATTCCATTAATAATTTTCTATTCGAATCATGAGCAAAATTAGATGTGAAAGAAGAATTATTAGAAAGTTCTGTCAGATAATTCGCCAGTTTGCTCTTTTCATTCTTGATGGCAAAGAGTGTGAGAAATGTTTTCACACCAACAATTTCGTCATTTGATTTAATATTCGAAAGTAAAGGAGACGAAACAACTAGATCTAAATAACTGGCTTGCACATGTTGATGAATAACAAGCAACAGAAACAAAACCAAGAAGGAAACGAATGTGTGCATGGTCACTTTTTTCTTGTGTTGATCAATGAGAAAACGTGATAAGACATTTGACGTGACGTTTCTGAAATATCGTAATCTAATAAAATCCTAAGATTAAGATGGCTTGTTTTGAAATATTGTGACTAAAATATCCATAACTGACAATTTCAAATTTACTGTGAGTTTCTAATAACAGATTGTTAGATTGTTGTGGTTGGAACATTTTGTAGTTTCTTACACTTGTAGGTGAACTCATGGTGCAACCTGCAAACCTTAATTTCACATCATTAATTATTAAGCTCCTCCTTCTCCTCCTCAGAGTTATTCATTGAAAAAATCTTTTAATTCTATTGCAATGAACACTGATGATCAAAAAGAGGAACAGCACTCGATTAAGAAGACCCAACGATATTTATGTAAGCCTATCTCAAAAAAATTCTGCCGAATAAACTTCTATTAAAACATAAATTGTCCATACTTGTATTCTTATCGATCCTTGAGGTTGAGAGATCTTAGAATTTTGGTCCCTTACAACTTCATAATTTTCCTTAATGCTCGAAAAGTCAATATTCAATTCTCAAAAAGGACGTTGAATTGTCTGTTGAGAGGAAAGTTCCGCATCACAACACATCAAAAAAAAACACCTTACAAAGATGACTTTCCAACCTCAACAACAACAACATGAAGGAAAGAAGAGACTGTCCTCTCTTTGCCTCTCATCGGGAGAAGAAGAAAACGATACACCAAATCAACAACAGGAATCACCACCGAAACAACGGAACCTACCTCCACCACCTCGATCATTTATCAAGACATCTTCTTCACCCTCATTGTCTTTCCGTTTGAAGAAGAGCTCCTCACTCAATGAGGTTTTGGCTATGGAGGCAAAACTGGACATTTACTGCAATAATGATTTAGAGAGGGGAATGTTGTACTTGGTGGCTAATCGAATGAATGTCATGATGGTTATTGGGGGATTGTACTTGCTTGGTACATTGTACTGTTTTGAGACCATGTCGTGGGGGGAGAATGTTCTTAATATTGTTCTCTTCTTGGCTCAAATGATAAATAATAGACGAAATATTGATTTGGCCATGTCCTATGGAGATGCCTTTCGTAAGCTTGATGGTAATGAAAGAAAAAGGGCATTGGTTTCAATACTACTTTACACAACTAGGTATTTGCTTATTCCACATCACAAAATATTGTTCCTTCCCGTAACATTTATGTGGTTTGCAGGCTCTAATAAGCTATATCATTATTCCACATTTATGGGACTGTTGCCAACCTATTACATGTCATGTCTTTATATTGGAACGATTGGTTATCTTGGATATTTTGAATATATGGCAAATGGATACAACGTAAAACTATTGGATATTCTCATAGAGCATTGTGTGCTTTTGGCTTGCATTTGGATGTTTTCTTATTATTGGATCAATGTGACTGGTTTTTTAAAACACAAAGTGGACAAATTACAAGAAACCAGGAAACAGCTAGAGACAGCAATCGAAGCCAGATCCAGATTCATGGCCCATGTTTCACACGAGTTTAGATGTCCAATCATGTCTAGTTTAGGTTGTTTAGAATTATTGAAGGAGACTGAACTGAATGATAAGCAAAATGATTTGGTTGATACCATTGTATCATCAAATGGGATTCTCCTCTTGTTAATTGAAGATATTCTTCAAATTGTAAAGTTGGAGCACAATAATAAGGAACAAAAGAAGGAGGATTCAAATTTGAAAACCTTTAACTTGTTCGAATCTCTAAAATCAATGAAAGGAATCATTCAAGGATACGCATCTAATTTTAAGGTTAATTTGAATTTCAATATTGATGAGAGAATTAAGCAAATGATTGTAAGATCTGATTCTTCCAAGCTTCATCAAATATTGTCCAATTTAATGACCAACGCAGTAAAGGCATCAAAACAAGATGGTGAAGTTAGACTGAAATGTGAAGTGTTGGAGGAGACTGGTGAAAAAGCAAATATTAGATTTGTTTGTCAAGATTTTGGTTGTGGAATTCCACAACATTTGATTCCTTCCATTTTTGAACCATTTGTCCAATTGCAAAATAATTCACAATCCAAAGTTCCCAGCACAGGACTTGGTTTGACAACCGTCTCTCATTTAATCAAGTCACTCGAAGGTACAATCAATGTTGAATCACAACTTGGAAAAGGCAGTACATTCACTGTTGATTTACCATTTAAATTGGTTCATGATGAAGTACCTGCCCAGTCAGAGAAAGTTGAGGGAGAAGATAAGAGAAACTGCACTTGAATGTTCACAAGGATTATCTTTCCATGATGTCCAATTATGAACGAGCAGAGAAAAAGGAGGAAGAGCCGCAACAAACAACAATGAAGGCAAAAATCATTATTGCTGAGGATAATCCAATCAATCGAAAGGTTCTCATCAAAATGATTAACAGTTTGGGGTATGAAACAGATTATGTTTGCGATGGAAAGGAATTGGTAGAGAAATTTAATCCAGATATTCACAAAGTTGTAATTACTGATATGGTAAGTTTTTAAATTCTAATACTCGTAAACTAATCTTATTTAAAGAATATGCCAGAATTGAATGGATTAGAAGCAGCTAAAGAATTGAGACAAAAATATGGACAGGCATTCCAAATATACCTCTTAACAGGAAACGTTACAATCTCCCTTACTGAACTGGATGAAATTGGAATAATAGATGGTATTTTAACCAAGCCATGTTCTAAATTTGATTTGAAACGGTGTTTGGTTTTTGATTGATTTGTTTGACCTATTTGCCAGAAATCAATATTAGAACTACAAATGAAGGAGAGCCACAGCTTCAAAAAAGATAGATCCACAGAAAACTGAACTAGATTAAATTCCAAAATTATTTCAGAAACTCGAAATATTTAATTAAAGAAAATCAGAATCTGATTCTTCCATATAATCTGATGCTTCATCGGTGGTGAGGATGCTATCATCACCGGCATTACTGAGATTTCTGTGATGCATTTGATGGTGGTATTGTTGTTGATGTTGTTGTTCTGACTTTTTATCGCCCACAAAGTCCATATCTTCTACTTCCTCATCGTCCCCTTCATCACTCTCGTCATCCTCATCATATTGTTGTTGTTGATGATTGTAATGTTGAGATTGAGGTTGATAATTGTTTGTGGTTTGTTGTACATTATTTTGCTGTACAGCAGTTGAAACTGGAGGTTTCATAGAGGTCTGTAATTCATATCTAGTCATGACATCTTCTCTATCATTTGAGTGGTCATACTTTCTAGCAATTTCGTCATAGAGCATGTGCCTTATTGCTGGAATACTAGTTGCATCAGCTTCAAAACTATAGTCAAATGATGATGAAGCAAAATCATAATCATTAAATGTATGGATATCTTCAAAATATGGATGTTCTAGAGCTTCAGAAGCACTAATTCTTTGCTTTGGTGAAAAACAAAGTAATTTTTCTAGTAAATCAACAGCATCATTTGTAGCATTAGGGAAAATGCTGGTAAAATCTCGTTTAGGTTTCACTTTAATCTGTTGAAGGATATTGTAACTAGAATCTGTCAATTCAATTCCTTCAAAGTCTGTCTTATCCTTTGGAGTTCCAATAACATCAAAAATTTTAACAAGTTGATCATAATGTGAACTTCCTCTAAACAGTGGTTCTCTTCCTAACAATTCTGCAAATATACATCCAACACTCCACACGTCCACTTGTTTACCATAGGCATTCGATTGAAGAAGTAACTCTGGAGCTCTATACCAACGTGTCACTACGTATTCAGTAAGTTTTGGCTTCATTTGTTTTTGTCCTTTTAATAATCCTTTAAGTACTGACTCGTTAGCATTTGTTCCATCATTGTATCCTCTAGCCAATCCTAAATCACAAATTTTAATATTACAATCACTATTAATAAGTATATTACTAGGTTTCTGTTGTTGTTGTTGTTGTTATTAATCAAATGATATTGTTATGATGATGTTATTAAAGATATATTATTATTCATAAACATTTAATATTCAAATAATAAGAAAAACACTTACCAAATCTCTGTGAATAACATTTCCACTATGTATATAATGTACAGCTTTAAGTATTTGATACATGAAGAATTGGATATGGTCATTAGTCAATTCTTGAGATGATTGTATAATAGTTTTCAAGTCCGTATCCATCAAATCTGTATACATGTATAATTCTGTAAAATTATCTCTATCGGGGAATGGTAATTGTACATGCTTTAAATCAATAACGTTTGGATGATTTAAAAAGCCAAGAATTTTAACTTCTCTTAATAATCTAACAGCAAAAACATGATGATCAAAACATCGGATGACTTTCTTGATGGCTACTTTGGAATTGGTTAATGTATCCTTTGCAGCACAAACAATACCATATGATCCTAAAATTATTATTGTATTAGTAATACAAGAAGTGGAGAGAATATAAAATTTGATGATGATCGTAATAGATTTTGTTGTTGTTGTTATTAATGAAATGTTAATTTGATTAATCATGATGAAGAAATATATCCATTATCAAATAGTTTCAACAATGTACAATAGATTACATAAAATCAGTTGATTATTCAAAAATACAAAATTTTAAAAATCATCATATGATCGGATATTATTAGCATAAATACAATCTACCAATCTTCTTCTTCTTACCTTTACCAATAACATTCAAATCCTGATACCGCTCAGGAACATGAAAGCTAATGCCGTATTGTTGCTCGATCTGTGTACGGTGCATTTTTTTAAAGAGAGATGTGTGTTTTGATGATGGATATTCTATTGAGTAGTTGGCTGTTGTGTGGAAAAATATTCTCTTTAATGACGATAACAATCGATATGGATTCTCTGATGACCTAATTTGAGGAGTACGTTTCCCTTTTGTAACGCTGGTGGGTACCTAAAGTGAAACTTTGAGCCATTAGTGTGTGTGAATTGGGTTTATCACTAATAATACTAATATATGGACATACATGGTTTTTATTATTGAAGATCAGCTGAGGACTGACGAAGGAGTAAGTCGTGAACTAGATGGTTATCAGAATCCAAGTTGAGAGATCTTCCTGAGGGAATACTTAATTGTTCCAAATATTCCTTCATTTTAGTTGATGGAATTGAAAGTCTATTGTTGTTTCTGATTGCATTGAGGAGGTCTGCATTTCTTGGCGATTCTGATGGTGTTGAAATTTGTTTGAATGGGTCGGTTAATTGTTGTTTGCCAAGTTTAAGATTTTGCAGAGTATTGTAAGAAATATTATTGTGCTTGTAGAATAAATCTGGATAATTCAAAACATCTTGAACAGTGACAGTAATAAATGTTTCTACAGTTTCTTGTCCCTTCTTCATGTTGGTTACTCTCTCTGGTACAATAGATCCATTAACAACTGGTACAAAGGTTCTCACAGTTGGAATTTCTAGGTAGGCTTCGAATAATGACTTGACTTCATGGAAACCCTTCTCCAATTCTGCATGTAAAATTCTATCCTTATTGTTGGTAGCTGTTGGTGTTTGAGAGTGGATTATGAGAGAATGCAACTTGACTCCTCTATCACACAATAACAAAAATCTGAAACATCTCTCATTAAGCTTGGTGATAAGGTCAGAGTTTCCTTGTTGAACTTTCCATCTTTCTCTGAATTCTCTATTTAAAAAGATTTCCACAACTTTTTTAGGTCCTTCACCAACCCTTGCTTGAACGCTTCCTTGCAAGATCATTTGTAGAGTGGAGACAGTGTGAGGATTAATGTTCAGATCGTTAAAGTATGGAACAGTACCTAGAGAATTGGTCATGTTCAAATTGATCACCAAATTGGAACCACCTTTGATGGAGTGACGTTTGTTGTAGCCAGGTGTTCCAGTATTATTGCTGTGACTAGATGTGTGGACAGAGTGATTGAACATATTTCCAAGAACGCTATAATTCGCCACGTCACCCAGAGCTGTTGATAATACTGAATTCATGGCAGTCTCTAATTTTTTAACTTGTGTATCAATCATTTCAATTGAATTTTCAATTGGAGAGAGTGTAAATTCCTTTTCCTCAGCTACTTCCAAACGAGTCATGACATTAGGGAAGTACTCTTCAGTGGTGATTAAAATCTTCTTCTTGTAAGTTTGAGTAATGTCTGCTCCTTTGGCAGCAACAGAATATTCATAAAAGAAATGGTTGAGGTTCATATTTCTTTGGAATTCAGAGTCTCTGGTAATAAAGTAGTTGAGTGATAAAATCTTATCATATAAAAATCGTTCCATATCTTGGAAGGCATTTTGGTTGGATTCACTTTGGTTACCTGAATTTTCCTTCTTATTCTTGGATAGATTAAGTTTTGGAATGGAAACTTTAGAAGGAGAACTTGGCGATAGGATGCCATCTCTTGGTGATAGTGGTGAAGCAACTCCTTCCATATTGTAAACTGACAAATTCTCGTCACTCTTGAATTTGATATTTGATCTGAGAGTTGGAAGAGGAGGTTGAGAGTTTGAATTAGAACGATTTCTAGGACTGAGACTATCACTGCTCATTGTTGGTAATTTGCTAGTACTGGAGGTCATTGGACTCTTTTTGAGAATAGTCTTGTAATTTCTATCGGATCCTCTCGTACTAGGAGCACTATTAACACTTGTACTAATATTACTCAATCTATTGAGATCATCAAATTTCTTTCTTAAAATTTTCATTTGATCTACAGTTGGAAGGAATGGCTTGACATGGTTAATTTGAATGACCTTCTTATTTGATTCAGAACCAGTTGAAAGCTCATCATCAGCGGTAACTACTCCAGCTTCATCTTTAGAAACAACTTCTACATCCTTTCCATAAATTTCCAACATTTTGTTCTTCATCTTAAAAAGTTTGAATAGTTTTGGCATTTTGTAAATGTAAACTTTGCCATCCAATTCACCAAATGCTCTTCCAACAAATTTGACACGATAATAAAAGCTATATACTCTACTGTCGGTTTCGTTTTCTGTTGTCTTTGAAGCTGAGAGTGAAGAGATATTGGAGAGGGATAGGGCATTAGTAGTTTCATTATCACTAGGAGAGGTTGGAACTTTGCTATTAGATGTTGATTGGAAGGAGGAGCATTTCTTATAGAGTTGTGTCAATCTGTCGTAAATAATATGCAATTGTGTAAAGTTAGCATATTTAGATTCGAAAATAGGAATCAGTAGCTTGTATAACATGATACAGTGTTCGAAACATTCAGCCAACTCTAAAGAGTCAATAGTTTTGAGTATGTAATTCACAATGGACTGATCGGACATGTAATCATACTTGGAATTTCCTCCTCCTAAAAGTGATTGAGTTTGAATGCCTGTTTGATTCACCTTGAATTCTATCAACATTGGAGAAATGCTGTAGAATTGAGAGAGTGGAAGAATTTCCAATACAGACGTTTCCGTTTTGATACTGTTGGGAGTGAATTTCTTTGTAGCTTGATGATCCAAATAATCGAATACTAGAGAGAGAATTCTCAAATAGCAATGTGCAGACTCCTCATATTGGGCCAATCCTTTGTGATAGGAGGCAAGTTGTTCCAGCCATGCAAGTCTGAGTTCAGGAAGTTTTGAATAATTGTCAGATATTCTATACAATAATTCTTCAGTTTTGAATGGATCATAAGTTACAGTGCTAGTTTCACTTTGCTTTCGCTTGATCATTGTGGCCCTAATTGACATGGTATCTTGAACAAGACTGAGTAACTTTTTAGAAAGATCAGACAATAAATCGTGGAATTGGTCTAACACTTCGAGAACTTTCTGTCCAAATTTCTTTTGATCTGCCTTGTTTTCAATCTTTTTAAAGAACACCATAGCAGTGTGGAATCTTTCTCCTTTCTGTTTTCCATTATTATCTTCGGCTTGGACTTCTCTATCCGTAACATCACCCTTTTGAGCTCCGTACTTGTTTCTAATTTTGAAGAATTTTGAACCTGGAGCTGCCTCATCCTTGATGGCAAAGTAAGGCAACAATTTAATACATTCTTCAATGTGAGCCAGAGCATTAATACCTTCAGAATCATCAAACGATTCATCACCTATAGTATTGTCTGATAAAAAGTTGTGGGTAATTTTGGTATAACTTTGCAATCTTCTTGAAAGGGAGAGAGTTACCATTATTTGTGGAACAGTCATACCTTTGTTTTCTTCAAAGCAAAAACGAATCCACAAGTAGAAACAGGCAGCAGCGTGTTTTCTAATCGAACCAAGCTTGGAGTGACTCAAACGAAGTAGTTCTTCAGAGAATAGCAAACCATATTCTGATTGTGGATTATAGAATATGGCAGTGAAAGGATGTTGAGATAAAACATGTCTCAAATACAACAATACGGATATTGTCAAGCATTCGCTTAGGTTTGATCTCAATAAATTCAAAAGTGTTCTGACAATATTTTCCAAAATCGGTGGTAAATGTTTTGGATCAATGTATGCTCCTGGACGAACAATATTTTGAATAAACTCGGCATTGTCTTCCATGAATTTTAAGAAGAGTTGAAAAATGGTTGAACTTGTCTCGTTGGAAATCAATCTCTCAATGGTTATCTTTTTCTCAATATAATCAGATTTAGAAATTCCACTGTTTGCTCCTTGGCTAGGAGAAGATCTCACTGGAGAATCAACATCCATAGGTCCATCTAAACTCATTTTGGTGAGTGGTTTATCGTCACCTTTCTTCCTGTCACTTGCTGACCTAGAAATTGAAGGGTTTGATTTAGCTGGAGAGAATTTTTCATTGAGAGGTGTGGAGTGTTTCACAGTTTGATTCTGTGGAAGCTTTTGGTAGAGTCTATCAAAGTAGTGATATAAAGGAGAATAGCCGCCATACTCAAAACTCTGTACACACATTTGGAATATCATCAAGAGTTTAGAACTGAAATGAAGACCGTCATCGTGATACATGTTAGAATCTTCTGAAGCTGGTTTAATCTTCCATAGAGATCTAAGCGAGTTCTCATCACAATTTGTTGTTATTTGGACAAACACAGAAAGAAGCATACGTTTTTCAGTTTTGGTTGTTTCAAATTCCTCCAATAATTGCTTTTCTTTTGTAAGCAATAACTGTTTCAAAGTTGTTAATTGAACATCCAAGTGGTTCAACTTCTTTTCTGGTTCCGTTGACTTCTTTGTCTTATTTTGCTTTGCCTGGTTAAGACTGTCTTGGGCTGCAAGAATATCTCTTTCCACTTGTGATATTTTTCTTCTCAACTCCTCAATAGCAGTTGTAATTTTCTTTTGATTAGACTCTGCGTTTCTCTTCCACTCTGGGAAAATCTCAATCATATGTTTGGCAAAGAATTCAAGAAGTAATTGGGAAGTGAATATTCTAGATCGAACTTCGGCCTTTTGTTCATCAGGTTGACTTTCTTCTGATAATTGAACAGTACTACTTTCTCTACTGATCTTTTCTACATATTCTTTGAATAGTAAAATTGCCTTAAGTCTAACTTCTTTCTCTTCAGCCAAGTAAATTGTTCTTACGAAATATTCGGCAAATGAAGAGAAAACAAAGTGATGAATATCTCTAAAGTTTGATATTGGTGCTTCTGCATTTTGACTTTGAGCAATGATACTATCAAGGAGAGAAATTGGTGGAGGTAGAGAAAGTTCAAATGAAGGGAAATGAAGTAAAAGTTCACTAATCATCAATAATTGTGATTCTGATACCAGTGTAGAGATTTCCTTGGATTTCTTAGAGTCGTTATCATTATTCTTCAACTTGTATAGAGAAGGTAAATAACCCATCGACTCTATAAATTTAAGGAGGTATTGGATAATTTCTTGTTTGGAGATGAGTCCTGCAAGTTCAAACCGCTTTTCTGCCTTTATCGAATAAATAGCAATTAGATGGGAATAAAAAGCAGCAAAACTCTTCAAGAATGATTTGAGGATTGTATGCTTTTCATTCTTGAATGAAACTCTTTCCACCATTTCCAAAACCATTACAGTAAATTGTTCTATGGCGTTCAAACTTGACTTAGTCATAATATGAAGATTATCAAACTCATTATCGACTTGGAATGGTTCCACAGTATTATAACTCATTGAACAAACAATACTCTTCAAAAATAACCCAAATATTGTTTGGTTGTTTCTCAAGAAGAGTTCCTCAAATACGTTTCCTTTAGGACTCAGTTTGGAATTCTCAATTTTGATTGAGTCAATAAATGATGAGATCAACTTGAAAATAACATCATCCCCACTCTTGGAGAATCTGAAATGATATTTTTGGTAGATTTTGAGAACAGTTGAAGAAGATGCCGAATGTTGGTTATACTTTTCAATGAAGAAGAGGATAATTTTCCATAATTCTGTTGTGTAATTCTTGTCTTTACCAAAGGTGTCAATAATCCAGTCAAAACAAGTGTTCAATATCATTGGTAAATATAAAGCATGCATTTCAAACCAAATGGTGTTGGATACAACTTGTTTTTCATACTCGTAAGTTTGAATCAAAGTCTTGTAAACATCTGCAATTTCTTCAAATGTTGGAGTGACAGAAACTGTATTGTTAACCAATCTGAAAAACTTGAGAAGGAACAAATTGATAATGTTGGAGGTTGAGTATGGGAAAGTGAGAGCAATATTTGGTAAAATAAAGCTATATGGAATAATTTTAACTTTAAAAGTAGCCGATGGTTTGATATGTACTAGAGAAGGATCCATAATTTGGTCGCATAATCTCAAATAGTTTGCGTTTGGAATGTTAAGAACTGGATAAACTGGCAACTCAAAATCTCCATTAATTAGATCTTTGAGGATGATTTTTCTCTTATCAATTGTTGTTGTTACCTTCTTGTATACTTTCAAAAATGATACACCAATAAGAGTTCTAGATTGAGAAAGTTCTACATCACTAGCTTTCTTTTGAATTGTCTCTTTGTGTGAAACATTGTAAAACTTGAAAACTAAGTGTTGTCTACAATCTTCATCCTCAGTTGGATAACGGCACGGAATAATACATTTGATTTCATCACTAAATTCTGGTTTCTCGTTCTTCAAAGCTACACTAACACATTCACCCTCATTAATACGGTCACTTGAATTATTACTAGTGAAAGGTTTGTAGAAAAGTCCTTTGTTTCTTTGTTCCATATTATTGAGTGAGAAGTTTTGGTCTGTATCATTGTAAGACACTGTTATTTGAATATTCTTATTTTTGACTGCAAATTTGGAAAAGTTGGCACTTTGTGGATAAATGTAAAGCTCATTTCTCAAATTTGTTTGTCTTGTAGTAGATTCTGGCATGGTATTGGAAGAATAGAACTGTTCCATTTCAGTAACAGGTAAATCAGCCTGCAAGGTCTCCTTGCTATCATCTCTATTCTTCTTTTTCTTTTCAACTTGATCGGTGACAGATTCCTTTTGAATGACTAACATATTATTTTCCGGTAAGTATTTTCTCTGTACATATTGATATTGCTTTTCATTTTCAAATAGGGAAGCTCTAAGAGTTTGATTAGATTTTGATGGAGGCAACAGCATTAGTTTGAAGGTAAGCTTGCTAGGAATACTTCTAAGCATTGTCTTCGACAGCTGTTTGATGATATCCTTACCACTGTTGACAACAAGGGTTTTTTCGCTTGTTGAAAGACCTCCAGAAATTCCACTTTCTCCTGCAGATACTTCGGCAACGTTAGGGATGAGATTCAATCCATTGGCAAAATAAACTTCGAAAAGCTTGTCATCTGAAACGTTTCCAACCAGTTTGTCTGGTATACAATAAATATTCTTCACATAAAAATCGTTTGAAAGTCCTTCACCATTCATGTACAAACTAGGGAATTGGAGAGCAGGAAGACTGTTGAGCATTGGATTGAGTTCTACAATAGACCATGCAAAAGCAGAGTAAACATCCTTAAGAGACTCAAAGAATGCTGGTTTAACAGCCTTGATTGCCTTGTAATCTTTAGAGTCATTGACATTGAATGGTTTATCAGAGGAACTCTTTGGCGTATTTTTTCCTTTGATATAGAGCTCGTTAAAGTGTTCCGCATAAGTTCCCTTAAAGTTTCTAAATATTCTCACCAAGACAAACACCTTTTCAGTGTTTGGTGCTGTGCTGTTAGGCAAATTTTGGCTTGACAAGTAGAAGAGAGCTCTCTTACTATTATTGGATGAAGACGAAAGATTGAAGGAAAATGTTTCGCTATATCTTTTAACTGCAGAGATGGATGGATTTTGAGATTCTGTTAGCTTGACAGAGTACAAGGTTAAACTGGCATAAAAATTCTCCAATGGTACTCCATTCAAGTGCTCTTCAACAAAATCCAGCTTGAATTTTTCTATATCAATAATTAGTTTGGCTCTATTATCAACGTCTTGCTTGTTGACATAAAAGTTTTGAAGTAAAATGTCAGATGATCCATCCTTCAGATTTTCGTTTGGTGCATACATGAATGGAAACAGTTTTGTTTTCAGTTCGTGTGTATTCATCAAATCGTCAGATAAAAATTCGAGGAGAGAATGTTCCTTCTTCCAAACTTTGTATTCAGCAACATTCTTCTTCAGTGAAACATTAGTGTTTTCCTCACATGATTCTTTCATATAATCTTTAAGTAGGTCCAATCTAGTAGCCAAGAAACCATGTGGTATTTCTTGAATTATTCTAGGAGAAAAATTGGCAATTTGAAAGCTTTCTTCCTCCTCAGAACTGGAATCGTACCCTTTCATTGAAGAAAGGCTAGATGTATCATCAGTATTTGGTGAGCTTGCATAATCTGATTGTTTTCTTTTAAACATGGATTCGAGTGTTAGAGGACTTCCAACGGTCGGACTGGTTGATGGACTGGTTGAAGGTTTCCCACCAAAATCCGAAAGTGTTTTCAATGTCAGTAAGCCTCCAGAGTCTGACCTGTTTCTGGTTTTGTCGTTCTTTCCAGATGGTAAAATGTAATCCGAAACTGGATTACTGGATGAAGTGTTAGGATCATTGTGAAATCTAACTTCCTTTGAAAGCATGGCATCTTCAAACATTCTCCATTTAGTATCCTCAATTAATTGCTTTTTAGTTTGACTGACAGAGAATTTTTTGAGAGTGCTCCTAGAGAGATGATGTTGTTTCTTAGAATTTGATAAAAGTACAAGGAATGGTGATTCATATTTGTTTTTGATTGTCTTGCGTGCATGTACAGGCAAGTCTGAAACTTCCTGTTCTGACAGTTGAGACAATAGAGGAACTTTCTTGATTTCTGAAAATCCATAGGCTGAATTATCATTATCTTTGTAGTAAAGTGGTTGGAAAATATTTGGTAAACATTGTAATCCAAATAAATTCTTATCTTCACTCGTTGAATTTTTAATGTTAGAAAAAGATGACATGTAAGTGTCAGCATAACCTGTCATGGATATGGTTGGATTATTTTCTACAGAATAAACATGAAATATTTCATCTACATTCATTGGAACTCCATTAACAGACAAGGTATCCTCAGCTGTTGTTCCTTCATCCGAAACTGTGATGTCATTAAATTGTGAATGTGTATCTTTTTGATGATGACCCAAACGGGCAATATTAACATGAGGAGTTGACCTCGCTGAGTCCATTGATGATTGAGAAATAGAATCTATTAGAATATAAATGAGTTAATCAATTATTATCAAGTAAGATAATTGATGAACATACCATCTTGATGATGGACATCCAATAGATGTCTATCCAACATACTCTCCGAAAGTATTGCATTAGAATCTCTTACACTTCCAAAATTAGTTTGACTATTCGAAGCACCATGTAAAAATCCTCCAGGAGGAAGGCTACCCAGTGTCGAATTTGCTGTCATGTTATGAAAATCAAATGTTTTTCTTGATCCTCCCTCATTAAAATTCAAATCATATTGCATCAAATCACTATTCATCACTGAACTTGACAAAATATGTCCTCCAACAACAATATCCGATACTGTACTATCCATTCTTCTACTACCACCTCCACCACTTCCGATAGAATTTGATGTCGAAGTGGTCGTATAATTGGATGAGGATGAAACTGTAGGCTCATGATGATTTTTTTTCTTATCAAATTCTCCCGCCAAAAACGACCCGTTGTTTTTACTGTGATTTGGAGGTGAGTTTGGCGAATCAAAAACAATTGGCTCGAGTTGATGCTGCTGAATATTGTTGTTGTTGTTGTCGTTTTGTTGTTGTCCTCCTCCACTAGTAGCAGCAGCACTACCACCATTATTGGTATTTGGGGAAATTGCCTCGTTAGATGATGTAGTGTTTGAAGTTGTTGTTCCCGTTGTTGTTGAATAATAATTATTAGAATTATTATTATTATTAGGTGGAGAAATATTATTATTATTATTCAATGATGGAGAAACCATCAAAAATTGATTGTTACTATGCCGAATATTATTGATATTCGACGATGAATTTAATGATGGGGAATTAACAAGTGGAGAGGAAGATAATACTGATGATATTTCATTGCTAGCACTACTCTTTCTGGTGAATGATGGAGAGTTCTCGATATTATTGTTATTATTATGAATATGAATAGGAAGAGTGTTGGAACTTGCAGTTTTGGGAAGATTTGGAGAGTTGGGTGATGAAATTCTCGGTTGTAAGGAATTGTTGGGACTAGTTGGAGAAGATGACTTGATGAAAAAGCTTTTGATACGGCTGGGAAAGTTTTTGCTCTTGTCATTACCACCCTGATTTGATGAAGGTGATTGTGTCATTTTTTTTCAAATGACTAGTGACATATTCGTTGGAGAGAGGACAGGTTTATTCCGATATTGTTGCCAAACAAGTCTAGTGAAACTTGTGTACGATATTGGCTGGAAAAGTGGTTCAGTACTTATTACAAAAACATAATTATAACTTGTCTACATGTAAATACTAATATTATGTAGAGTTAACGCAATAAGTTTGTTCCACAACCAAATCCAGAAAGGGTAGCTCCGTTAGTTGTTGTTGCCACCAATTCTTTGTTAGATGGAAGAATTCCAAACAGTGGTCATGGTTGGGATCTTTCTACAACAATCAACAGAAAGTTAATTTATTATACTCTGTTTGTAAATCATCAAGAAACGCTCTCAGATGCAGAGGTTCATGTTGAGCATGATGGACAGGTAGTCAAACACAATGAACACAACAAACAAATTTAGAACAGATATAATATTCATATTGCTTCGCTTTTCTTGTTTTTTAATATAAACTTGCAAAAAGGGTATCTCACTGAGATTGATTTGACTGATTTGCATTGGTAGTGTTTAGATAATAGTTGTAGTGGAGGGTTGTTTTTACGAAGACCCATGAGCACAATCTATTGCCATATTATTAATCCTCTCCGTTTACAATTCATAAAAGGAAAGATTTAAGCAATAAGGGAGGCGAAAGGCTCAACAATAAAACCTCCCTTAATAACGAAAAATTGAATATTTGCAGATGAGTCGTATGATCTAGTTTCTTTCGGAATTAGTTAACTTCATTGTTTATGGTTAACTTGAATATAATATAACATCAGAAAATGATTACAGTAAACAAAATCGTTAGGTCGAAACAATTAAAAACTGGTGACTACCTTCAGCTGGCTAGGAGGATACCTTTCTACCTCTTCTATTGTAAAATACACAAATGGTAGCACTTGATTGGTCCTGTCATTGTAACTTTTGAATTCCCTTCGTGTATGAAACGTCATTGACGAATGTAACTAATTCTAATTATCATTCAAAAAAATGTTCAATACTAAACAATTCCTTGTTGTCATACTCGCATTGCTCGCTTTTGTTGGCACCTGCCAAGCTGCCACATTGGCTTTTTTGAGCTTGACAGTTCCAAACACTGTTACTAGTGGCCAAACTTTCTCTGCAAGTGCCAAAATGTTAGATTCTAGTGGAAACACCATGGCAGCTTCTGGTTCTGTTGTTTTGAGTTGGGAAGGAAGTGGTACTTTGGGTGGCTCAACGGTTGCTTCATTCTCTAATGGTGTTGCTGCCTTCTCAGTTTCCATCACAGTTTCAGCTGCTACTTCTGGCATGTTGAAAGCAACCTATACTTCTGGTGGATCAACCTATTCACAATCTCTCAGTGTTGATGTCCAAATTGGTTCTAATAATCCATCAGGTGATTATACATCTGCTTGGGTTGGCACATGGAAAGTTCAAGACACATGTGATGTCAATTCATGTTGTTGTTTGACAGGAAGTGTTTCTGTCACCAAGTCAAATACCAATGCTGTCTTTTTGACTGGTCCAGTGAAGGGTCAATGCGGCTCTTCAACAAGCATGTCTGCTCAAGTTTCAAACATTAATTCTGACACTACTTTGAGTGCAATAATCTTTAACAATCCTTTCGTCTTGACAAGAAATGGAAATGAATTGACTGTTGTCAATCAAAGAGCAACTCAATGCAGTGGAAGAGCTGTTAAAACAAGTGATACTTCTCTCACCACAAAGTCTTCCTTCTTGATTTGTTTGCTTGTTGTGATTTCTCTCCTCTTCGTTTAACATGTTTAACAATAAAAGCTTGACAAGTTATTCACAAAACTATTGAATCTTGAAAATAATGCATCTCACAATAATGTGGCTAAATTCTTTTGGTACATAACTTGGTTAACTACACATTTGGAAATTCTAGAGTAGGACGCTTTTACAATGGATTGACACTTTCTCTTCTTTTTGGACTCTGCGTTTCATTGTAAATGGTACGTCAGTTGAATTTGATTGGTCCTGTCATTGTAAGTTATGAATTCCCAAAAGGTATTAAGTGACAGCTAGTAAAACTGAACAGTGACTCTCATTGACAAAAAAATGTTTCACACCAAATCTATTCTAGCTGCTATTATGCTTTTTGTATTAATGGCTTGTGCTCAACAAGTTTCTTCTCAACTTTCTCTCAAGGCTGTGGAACAAAACTTGTTCAGAAGCCCAAGACAAAGCTGCTCATGTATTGCATGTACATGTGGGGGTGGCACTTGTCCTCAAAGTGTTGCTGCCCATGCCTATACTAGTTTCTCTCTAACCTGTCCTACCGGCCAAGTTGTATCTTCCTATAGCGTTAATGTTCAGTCAACTGATGGAAGCTCCTTCAAATACTACACTGTTTCTGAAGCTGATTTTGAAAAATATAAACAAGGTCTTCCTTTCAGTTACTACAATGGTCCTTCTTCAGCAAGCTCTGTTACTTGCGTTTATGCTGGTACATACAGATTAGATCAACAAAATGCCAAATTTTTTGTTGAGTGCACCAACGCAATCATGAGTTGTCCATTGAAGTATAGTGTTTCTTATGGTTGTACTACTCCTACAGGTACTGTTGTTGGTTTGGATCTTTCTGCTCCAACAACTGTTAACAGCGGTCAAACCTTCACCACAACAGTCAGATTACTTGACACCAGTGGAAACACAGTTTCTACTTCTGGAGAAAGTATTTCTTTGAGTTGGGAAGGAAGTGGTACACTGGGAGGTTCAACAACTGCAACAACTTCTAATGGTGTTGCTACATTCTCAAATTCTATCACAGTTTCATCCTCAGTTTCAGCTAAATTGAAAGCAACCTACACTACTGGTGGAAATACCTATTCACAAAGTCGTGGTGTTGATGTTCAAACTGGATCTAACCCAGTGGATTATACATCTGCTTGGGTTGGCACATGGAAAGTTCAAGACACATGCGATGTCAATTCATGTTGTTGTTTGACAGGAAGTGTTTCTGTCACCAAGTCCAACACTAATACTGTCTTTTTGACTGGTCCAGTGAATGGTCAATGTGGCTCTTCAACAAGCATGTCTGCTCAAGTTTCAAACATTAATTCTGACACCACTTTGAGTGCAATAATCTTTAACAATCCTTTCATCTTGACAAGAAATGGAAATGAATTGACTGTTGTCAATCAAAAAGCAACTCAATGCAGTGGAAGAGCTGTTAAAACAAGTGGTTCCTCCAATATTAAGCAAGCTTCTTTCCTAATTGTTTGCTTGCTTGTTTTAATTTCATTCTTATTCTAATACTCTACCATTGGGGTACACCCTTGTATTTCATTCTTATTCTAAATAAATGAAAATAATGTTTACATTAGGTTGCAAGAGTTTTGAGAGCTTTCAGAACCTTCAAAATCTTCAATCAGTACCTTGGAATCTTTCTTGATGATCTTCCTAACCAGAGCAAGTGTATCGACTTCAGTAATTCTATCACATTTTCTTGCCAAATCCTCAAAAGCTTCATCAATATTTACAAATTTCAAAGCACTTGATTCAAAGATGGAATAATTTACAAAACCTTTAGATTCTAAAAGGGCTTTAGATTCATTAAATGCCACCTCTCGTCTGTTTGAGTTATTATTCACCAAGTCAATCTTGTTTATCACAAACGCGATTGGTATATTAAGAAAATTCTTTGCTGAAAGAATAAAATCCAATTCCGTTTCACAATATTCAAAACTGTTCCTATCATTCACAGAGCAGACAAGCATTATTCCATCAGCATCTATTATTGCCTGTTTTTTAATCAGTGTTGAAAATGAAAAATCATCACATCCAAACATGGCATCAATTAACTCCATAGTTACTTGCTTTCCATTCAATGAAATAGTTCTCCTAAATGCATCTTCTATTGTAGGATCAAATAGTGTTTGATCTGTTGTTCTCTGTGAATAGGTAAAACAAATTGTCGATTTTCCAACACCACCAATACCAAGCAATAGAATTTTCCTAGTTTTGACCACATCTCGATTCTTACTTTGTTTGCTCCTTTTTAAAAACTTGGTTCTCATCTGTTTCCTATACATGTTCAATATAGCAAATAGTCTCTTGAAAGAAATTGATTTGTTCGGAATCAATTTTTGAATTTCCATCCTAATCAAATCCAACTCTGATCCAAACACAAAATAATTTACAATCAAATGCATGACTAATTCCTTCCAAAATTCTTGATCAATATTTACAACATTCCTAATATATTTACAAGTAAATTCCAAATTATTAAATAAATTAACATTATTAAATAATTTCCTCCTATCCATCGGAATTTGATTATTTTGTGATTTGATGTTTTCAAAAATATTCGGGAAGGAACTTGCTCATATTCGTACTCCAAAATCTTGAGAAGAATTTCTTGTGGTAATTGATTGAGCATTTTTTTGTTTGTAATTACTGAAGAATTTCTTGTGGTAATTGATAGAGAATTTTGCAATTTAAAATTTGAAATTCATTGAAAAACAAAAAAAGCTTAATTTGGTTTTTCAAATAGATCAAGCCTTTCACTTTGGTTTTGTTGTATTCAAATTTTCAATTGATCTCAAAGAAATTCAACTTAGCTCAACTATAAATTCATGCGCTTGTTGCGATTGGCGCCCAAAAACCAGTAAATTTTAAAGCTTAAAAAAAATCCATTACACAACTTGAACATGAAAACAAGGAGAGACAACTGCGAATGTCCACATTAAAATCTCAAGTCATGAGGTGATTCTTGTGATGGTATCTTGTTGTGGTTCTCAAGTAGTTGAGGTTGGAAATCCTTGGTGATTACATAATCAGAAAAAAACAGACAGTATTCCAACTTGAAGAATTTATATTACCCAAATAATAATAATTTAACTTCTTCGTGATGATGATGGCTTCAAATACAATGTTGGAAGACGATAAGAGTATTAATAACAACAACAATAGTAGTAGTGTTAATGAAGAGGAACTCCAAAAGATAATCAACAATAACAACAATACTAATAGTATACACACCAATAATGGAACAAGTGCCTGTTCATCATTGGTAGAATCGAATGGTGATGATAGATCTTCGATGGTATCATCGTCTGATGATGATGGTTCCTTTGAGGGACGACAAGATGACATTTATCATCACCCTGACTTTTCTCATCGGGGAATGATTCACAAGATGAAGAGTAATGATTCGTCGTCTTCGTCAATTCTGTGGCAATTTATCAAACAGTTACAACCTCAGGTTGACCTTTTGAGAATGTGTTCACCTATTTTCATTATGAGACCAATTTCAACACTTGAATTGTATACCTACTATACAGAACCAACACTGGCTTTGAAGGTGTTGAGGGAAATGGATAGTGAGCTAGATAGAATGTTATGTTGCTTACTCTTTTCACTCATTTCGTGTTCAAATACTTTTGGAGATAGCTTTGAAGGTTTAAAACCATACAATCCAATTCTTGGAGAGGAGTTTCATGCAGAGTGGCATTCTTCAGTCAATGAACAACAACAAGAGGAAAAATCAGGAGAAAAGAAAACAGCCATGTGGTTGGAAAATTGGCTCTCCAATCAAACTTCACAAGACCAAGAAAGAATGCAAGAAATGCTCAAAGAATGCAAGACCAAGGTTACAGCAGAACAAGTTTCGCACCATCCTCCAATTAGTGCCTTCTTGATGGAAAATGAAAAGTGTGGTTGGTCCATGAAATCAACTTTCCAAATTCTGGCCAAACTCAAGATGAATTATGTTGATTTGAATATTGCTGGAAAGCATTTACTTCAAGTCGATTTGAAAAATGGAGAAACTGAAGAATACGACTTTACATTGCCTCATGTGTATGCCAATGGTCTGTTCTGGGGTTCTTCTACCATTACAAATGGAGAGTATCTCAAGGTGAAGTGTAAAAAGTCAGGCCTTACTGTCAAATTGAATTTTGGAAGTGGAAATGATGTGTCGGGAAGCTTGACTGATAGAAAGGGCAAAACATTGCTCAATCTCAAAGGAAATATTTGTGGAAAGATTAATATTACCAAAGGTAACAGCTCTGACCTGTATCCTTCCACTTTATTGCCATTGATTTTCAAATCAGACTTGCCATTCTTTGAGGCAGCATTTTGCAAATCATTGCCATTCTCTAATGAGCTTGTAGTAAAGCCACTCCATGAACAAAAAGAATACGAATCAAGAAGAGTTTGGCACGAGGTTACTTACAATATCTTACATGACAATAAGGATAAGGCCTTTGATTGTAAACACGAAATTGAGGAAATTCAAAGAGCCAAAGCATCTAAATTGAAATTGGAAGGCAAAACACATGAAACTAAGATATTCAAGCCAACAGGCCATTTCAGCAAACACCAAAACATTCCACTGTATGAAAAATAAGAAAATGATGATTTATTTCTTTTTGAAAACAGGTTGTGGCCACTCCAATGAGTAGAAATCATAGTCAATTCCCTTCTTTGGTTGAAAGGTTTCGTATTGGTGCTTGCAGAAACCGAAAGCTCTGAAAGGACATTTTACTTCCTCTCCAAAAGGTGTCTTATAAGCAAAAGGCTTGTCTCTATTGTGAACATTTGAGCCAGAGAATGATTGATCAAATAAACAAAGTAATTGTAAATTTTGTAAGCCTGGTTCAGTTTTGAAATATTCTGGATTGGCATGATTAACACACAATACAAATTCATCCAAATCTGAATGTGAAGAGAATGTTATACTCGTCTTGGATAAAACTTCCATTTTCAAATCAGTATTGCAATCTGTTGAAACTAAAAGCATCTTCTCATCATGTTCAACAGAATAGTGCATTCCAGCAACTCCCTTCTTTCTAATAACTCCAAGTAAATTTCTGACTGGTCCCTTAGGTATGGATTCTTCATATTCATTCTTCAATTCCAAATATGAAATGACACTCTCAACAAATGTCTGAGAATTACATGACTTAAAATCAAAAGTCTTGGAGTAATTGTAGTGAGAAGTGATAGAACACAATTTTCCAAGCAAATGTCCAACATTATGCTTTCCCTTTATAGTAGTAAGATTGAGAGAGATGGCTGCCTTTGGAAGAGCATTTCTCACAGTGGCAATTGAATTCTCATCCCATGCAATATACCAAGGTCCAAACATTAATCCACTTGAATACTATTATATTGGAATAGTTTCGATGATAAATTACAATTAAACATTAATCATTTTTCAAATAAAAACAAATTAGAAAGACTTACAACTCCATATTGACGAGCTGGATCTGCATGAGCACCACCAAATTTTCTCACTCTTGCATGAACAGTTCCATCACTAATTTCTGCAATCACCAATTTCACTTTCAGAGTGCATGGATCTTCTCCAAAGATTGATCCTCTCTTTGCTTTTTGCATTTTAAGAGGATTCAGGTACTTGTATCTGAATCTTTCAGGGAATATCAAATCTTGAACAATGGTTGTCACTTTATCCTCTCCAATTCTTGGGATTAAAAATTCCAACTTTTTATGGCAGAATGCAAACACTTGCAAGTTTCGAATAAAATTCAATAAACTACATACTTTCGGTTTGCTTTTCAGAAAACTCATTCGTCCACAATGGAATATCTTTACATCTTTCCTTCTTACTAGCTTTCAACACTAACAATCCAGTTTCCAAATCCAGAATAAATTTTTGTTCATTCTCCATTTCTTGAACTGTTTGGTCCTTGCCAAACGTCAATTGCTTTAAATCCGAGTCACTAATCAAATATTCCTTTTTAAACTTGGTCTCATCAAACACCACATCAATCGGTTTTTTCTTTTCAGGTGTAAGTGGTTCCATCTCCCTTGCTCTATCATGTTCTTGCAAAAATGAATGAATTTCATCAAATGTACTCTTCTTAAAATATGTATTATCCACCAATTGTTCATCTCCTCCTGCCATCCCTTGTCTATTAATATTAATGGCACTACTGGTGGTGGTTGTCTTTCTAGGAGGTGTCTTGGCTACTCCTTCATCATCATAAACTTCTTGAGCTGACGATGATGGTGTGATAATTATTTCAGTACTTGCTCCTGAAATGGTCAATCGATCTCCAAAGTTTGATTCTGAAGATGTTGGTTTCTGTACAATGGTCATGCCACTTTCTGGTGGAAGTAAAATTCCTGATTTTACTTGTCGATGTTTAACTTGTTGGATTTTATGATAAACTGCTTCACAATACTTGTCAGGCACGCCAAGTGTCGACAAATCACTTTGACTTTGATCGATGAGCATGGCACCTGTAACATTCTTCTTTTTAAATACTTTCGAATAGTTAAAATTAGAATAAATTGTTTCGAATAGTTAAAAATTATTAATTTACCTTTTACCACTTTCTTATCGAGACCTTCTTCCGAAAGCCATTGTTTTACATTCTCTGTCGTCCATCGGTTGATTGGTATTTCTGTGAGTGATGGAGCGCCTAAACCAGTGATGGATATCTTGGATGAGAAGACCATTTTTTTTGATTTATCTAATGCCACTGACAGGTCAACCCAAGTAAATTCTCACAAAGATTCCTTCCAAATTGGGTGACCAAATTTCAAAATGTCTTTAGTTGGAAGATTAATGGCTAAACAATTGGAAAATTGATCGAAATATTACAATCAATATCTAATACATTTAAATATCGTCCTACTATTATTATAATATGAAAAAACTGATTAATACCCCTTAAAAATATCTTCTCAAAAAATTAGAGATTGAGATCCAATATATTTATGGAGTCTGGTTGGCGAATAATAGACCAATAATTATTGGTGCTAGTACAATGGAAATTAATGGAAGATGATCCAGGAAATGATCCCAAGATGCATTTCTTGTTAGATGGAGATTGTTATACATTGTAATGGCTTGTGGATTGTTGGCTGCATTCCATCCTGTGAAATTGGGAGGATAAAAGAACATGTCATTAACACTTTTCGAATCGTTATTAGATGTTACAGCTTCCTTCTGTTGTGTAGAATTATGCAAAATTGGCTCTTCTACGTGTGCATTCATTATTGGAATGAATGTTTCATTTCTGAATGAAGCATACTTTCCACCGAGTGGTAAATCACCATCTGCGCATCCATTTGGTTCAATATTCTCCTTCTCCAACAAGTATTCAACGTGTCTAATCCATTTCCTAAACATTCTCAAAGGTTCTTCCATCTCTGGCACCAATTCAAATTGTTGGAAGGGTTTCGAATCGAGTTCTGTAAATTGATCACAATCATACTTTCCTCCCTTGTCAAAAATTGAATATTCCTTCATCCATTCATGATCATTACAATCATACTCGCAAACCGATTTCATTTGATCCATGTGAAAATATCTGTAAATATACACTGTAATCTCTCTACCTCTCATTGAATCAGGCCATTCCAATGTAAATGATCGATCATTACCTTCTCTTCCACCCTCCGTATTCCAATTCAAATCCAACTTTCCAGAATTCTTGCTCTTCACCTCAGTCTCTTCATCAATCATTATAGATTTCATTCCAAATTTCATACCACTCTCGAAAAAGTACTTTCCAATCACATTAAAAGCCTTCGGGACATCCTTCCTCTTTACAGAGAAGTGAATCTTCATATCGGGTGCTCTATGATAACACAAGGCTTGGGCTATCCAGTATTTTCTTCCATTCAACGTAAAAACACGAACAAAATTATTGGAAGCACCAACATAGTACGTTTCATCAGAATGATTCTCTCCATTACTCGAATTGTTATCATCACGATCATCATGATCATCACGATTATTATTATTATTAAATTTAGAGTTTGATTTTCTGGTTATTTTGTGCATCTTACTCCGATCTTTTATTAATTGATCATAATTAAAGACAATGGAGAGGGATTCTAAAGAGCAATCCGGAACGGTATCTTGTTCTGTAAATTCATCATCTTGATGTTGAGACATTTTTTTTTGTAAAGATTAAATTCAATATTTAAAATTTTGTAAGGAAGTTGAAAATGATGAAGAATTGTGAAGGTGAAAAACTGTAAATACTACTGCATAATGTCTCTAAAAGGAAGTCAATAATGTGATGATTTGTAATGGTTGTCATGTCACTATTCAAAATAAATATTAAAAAAAAATGTCAAACATGAGTAGGTACTTTTTCTGTGCGGTTTTATTAGATCACAACACCAACTTTTCACAGCACAAGCTACTCCTTCCCAACCACAAGATTTAGGTCAATTATTGAACAAGATCAAAACAGGAAATTCGTTAGTTAAATTGTCCGCCATTGGAGATGTTTTTAACATGACAAGTGAAGATGCCAATTTGTTTGAAATTCATAGATTGGGAGGGATTCCGATAATAATTTCATTATTAAATGATCAACAGAATGATAAGAGAATTGTAAAGAATGTTTTGGGAATTTTACTGAATTTGGCAACGTTGGATAAATGTAGAAATGAAATTAAGAGTGGAATTTCAATGATTTTCAAGGTTTTGGAGAATCATTCAAGTGAGTTGGCGATTATAGAGTATGGAATTGGTGCATTGGTTAATTTATGTGAGGATAATGATGCCTCAATACGAAAAGAAATGGTCAATCAGGAAAATTCAATCAAAGTTTTTTCAGAAATATTGAAAGATGCCAAATTTACAGAAGAAATGAAACGAAATGTGTTATCACTGATTTCATTCCTGAGTTTGGAACCAACATTTATTACAAAAATTGTAAAAGCAAGTTCAAATTCCACCACAACTAGCTCTACAAGTGCAACCACTGGAAAATACATGGCTCAGAAATTACAAAACTCAGCCAATGATCAATCACTTCTCAGGATTTTAGTGAAACAAATAGATTTAACACAATTGGAACAAATCAGATCGAAAACTGTCTTTTGTGTTTACAATTTAATTGTCAGTGATGATGAGAGTGGTTCCATTCAGAAATTATTGGTAAAGGAAGGATTTGTGGAAAAGATGGTTTCCGTTTTAGAGAATCCAAACAGTGAAAATAATGAATGACTTGCTAACTGTCTAATGTCACTCTCATTTGTATGTGAAAAGAAGGGACAATGTTCTGAAATTCAACTTGTTAGGGCATTGAAAGTGGTAAGCAATTTCCTCACTCATGCAGTTGATTCAATTGCTCAAAGTGCTGCAGGAGCAGTTGGAAACATTGTCCAAAATCCAGAAATTTCCGCTCAACTCCACGAACACACATTCATCATGTCCAATTTGGTGTCGGCCTTCAAAAAGTTCTCTTCAAAAAACAAGACAGCTCTCGAACATGTCCTCTCCTCAGTAGTTTCCCTATGCTATGCTAGTCCAGAAATGTGCCTCGAATTTTCACAATCTAAGGGAGGTTTAATTATTTTGACCAATTTTTTGAGAGATGAAATTAGCATTGCCTCTCAAAAACCATCTTGTTTCAATATGGCCACAAGTTTGTTGGTCAAATTGACCAATATGAGAGAAAATATTGAGGCATTTAGAGAGAGTGGTTTTGTAAAACTCATTGCTGAATGGTTTTCCAAATCTCCATGTCCAATTCCACAACCAAATTTGGAATCGTATAATGCTGCCTTATTTAACATGACCAAGAATGCAGAAAATCAAAAGATTCTCCTCTCTCATGCAATTGTTCCACAACTAATTCGATTTGCCAATGGAAAGGATAAGCAAGTGAGCTCATTCGCAGCCAAATCCTTATGGAACTTATCAGCCACCGATATGAAATGCAGAGAAGATATTCGAAAGGAGGGAATCAATGATGCTACATTGAAACAACTTGCTGGAATACAGTAAAATGAATTTATTATTAACAATTTATTAACAATTACCAAATATGCTCAATTCCATTACAATTTTTAAAAATCAAAAAAAAATGATTAAATCTATAAGCAGAAAACAATTCACCAATTTTTCAAGTAATAATAGAAAAATTAATTATTTGCGTAATTTCTCTGCATCAAGATTTTCTTTTGCTGATAACAATATTTCATCATCATCATCACTCCGAGGAAAATTACTAACTGATCATTTCAAAATTATTCCCTCCGTATCGGATGGCAATTGTCTCTATGATAGTCTTTCGAAAGGAATTAATAATGGAAAGAATCATCAAAAATTGAGAGAGGAAATTGTTGGTTGGATGCGAAATAATTTGGAAACTAAAATTGATGGATTAGAGTTGAAACATGCTCTATTTGTTGAGGAAGGACAAAGTTTTGATGAATATTTGAATAGTTTGAGTAAGAGTGGAACTTTTGGTGATTTTACAAGTGTTGTGGCAGCTAGTAGAGTGTATCCGAATGTTGCCTTTAGAATTTTGATTGTCTCTGGGAAGATTATTCAATCTGAAGTGATTGAAGTCAATCCAGAACATGTGAAAAATGTGAATAAGGAAGTTTGGTTATCCTACGATGAAAAGAAACAACATTATGATCTGATTCAAAGTCTTGAATAATCCTCCTCATATTAATAAACAAAATTGACACAAAAAATTAAATTCATTTGTTTCTGCTTGGTGACAAGTTACAATCAGTTGGATAACCAAGAGTGTAAAATTGATGCCAACAGAACCAGTTCAATGCATTTTGTGACATGAACTCAATTGGTCTATTTTCGACATGATAATCATATTCCAAAGTCTGCATATATGTCCACTTGTTATACTTTAAATAATATGAACCTGAAACTTCACCAGTTCTATTCCACTTGTTAACAACTTTAAATAATATGAAACTCTACATACCTATCCATTCCAGCCTCACAATGGATGTAGAAAACCAAAGCTTTGGCAGATTGAGCATCTTGATTCAAATTATGAATGCTATCTTGAGTGTGAATCCAGTTATAGAGCTGATCGACTCTATCGATCAATTTATCTTCTCTATCCCATTTCTTTTCATAAATAGCAAGATCCTTTCTCAACCATTCAGGTAAATCAGTACCATTGATTGGATTACCAATAATAGTCCAATGAACCAATTCACCAATATGTGGATTAGCTTTGAAATATTCTGTTTCATCCTTCAAATCTTCTTCAAACATATTCAAGAATGATACATCAATCAAATAGAATTCATCAGGCACTTGAACATTATTATTCTTTCCAACCTCTCTGACTAAATCTCTCAACTTTCCAATCGCAAAATTTCCATGTTCAATTGGAGTATTACCACGGAAGAGGAAACGATTTAATTGTGAGTTGGAGTCAATTAAACGAACACGAGATTCCATAATACCTTCAACAACATCAAGCGCCAATAAACTCATCAACACAACAACCATGAAAATGGTCATCACGACGGAGGCAGTAAAGGAATTTTTCATTTTTTTTTTAAAATATTCACAAAAAATAGTGCGCCGTTTTTTTTTAAAGAGTTACAGTTGCAGGATTTTCACTGAATTTATTTGTAAATGTGATGGTATATGGTCATGAGGTCTGTACTTGGTTTTGAAGTAGTAGTAATCATATATGGTGAAGGATGATCTTTAACAAGTTTAATATTTACAAGTATAATAATTCGTATGATTACTACTTGATGATAATGTCCATGAAATAATTCTTTTCAAAATCTGTTTGTCCTTTTTGGAGTGTAATTTTCAGATTATCCTTCAAGTGACCTTCCTTATTGGAGGATAGAATAAAGTACATGTAAAAGCTGAATGCATCGGCGATGAATAGTTGATATCTTCCATTTTTAGGAATGTGTTGTTTGAGGCCATTGTATTCAAACCAACGAGTATCAGATGTTGGTGGTTTAATAATTCCAGAACAAGAAGAGTTTGTGGAGAGATAGATATCCTTAGATTCCGTTACAGCTAAGAAATTTTCCTTTCCAAATATATATTCCACATTAGGTATCTCACTTAATTTTTGCAAATTCTCAAATGGTTTGTTTTCATTGTCATCATTACTTCCCCAATTGTGATAGACTAATCCACTTGTTGTTCGAAAGAATGAATTGGAACAACTCATTGTCATGTATTGAACTGGATCATAAATAAAAGTTTGTAATTTGGTCCATTTCTCTGCAGCGACGAGTCGAGTGTAACTCTCTTGTCCAACTACATATACCATTCCATTAGCGTCAATACATGAACTACTAAAGTATCCACATTGAATATCTACTATTGGAGTAGTCGTTTCAGGAGATACTAATTTTGTAAATTCATAGGATATATCATTTTCAATTGGACCTAATTGACGTTGGTAGGAACACCCAGTTCCAATCATTGTTCCATCTCTAGTCAATATCATACAATGTTGGTATCCACATGCAATTTTAACAATTCCTCTCAATATTTCATTCTTTGAATCTTGTAAATCCTTATTGAAAACACATTCAGAAAAACCTCCCATGCTACTAGCATTTTGACCAACACCTGTCTGTCCACACTCATTAGATCCAGAAGAAATCAATCTATAATCTGACGTAAGAACTACCATAAAGTACATTCCACTTCCAACATGAAGAAAATTCCTCGTCTCCTTCTTACCCAATTCTAAAAAGGTTTCTCCTACACCATTATCACCTCTCCCACTGACTACCTTTACACAAGCCTCCTCCAGACATGTTACATAATCAGGAAGCTTTTCTCCACTCAATACAGAACCCAATGCAAATGTATTTTGTCCCATAAACAACAATCGACCATCCATGGTTAATAATGTCATATAGTCCTTTCCAGTACTAACTTCCTTAATGACAATTTGTGGCTGATTGGTCGACATTTTCCACTCGTATAATTCATATTTACTATGATCGAGAGGAGTATAATTGTCTTGAAACTTTGGATTTGTACTGGAAAATGTATGAGAAAAGCTTGCAAAGATACGATTCACTGTACAACCTTCAAATTCACGACCCGATCTTGATCGGTTGCACAAGGAATTATTTTCTCCCTTCCCTATAATTAATTATTCATCAATTGTTCATCAATCAATTCAGTAATATAAAAATTAAATTATTATTATTATTATTATTAGTATCAGTATTCGTTCATCATGATGATGGTAATGATCATAAACAAGCAATTATTATTATTCTTATAAAAATTCGCAACATTGAAGAAAACTAACTTTTTGCCTGATGATTTGTTAACATTTTTTGGAACTTGGTAATCGTTACAAAATTGAAGAAACAATTAATAAAATTGTTGGTGTTAGTTATTATTCACTACTGGAAAGATTGTTAATTTTCGATATGAATAGAACTTGTTGAGTGCAATTTTCTGTAATGAGCATTACAAAAGGTCGATTCACATCAAAGTAGAATTTGCTTTTAGCTGATTTTCCTCTTCCTTTGATAGTGATGGCAGACGCTTTGGTTCCCTCTTCATTGATTTCAATAACACATTCGTGGAAAATATCAGTGATTGGAAGATGATCATTTTGAATCATTCTTTCAAAGTTGGCATTCTCTGAAAACATGCTTTTCATATTGAATGGTTCAGATTTAAAGACATCGTTCAGGTTGACCTTTTCCTTGATTTTCATTTTGGGAAGTGAAAGTCTGTCCATGGTAATACTTTCAGTTGAGAAGTAATACATTCTTTCCAATTTTTCCACAATCCACTTGTCAAACACATCATTTTCTTCAGTTTTGTCCATTGGCATGATGATTATCATTGAATGTTCACTTCTGTAGGGAAGTTTAATCCAGTGATATTGAGGATTTTCATCCTCATCAGGATCATCATTACCGTAGAGAACTCTTGTATCCTTCTTGATCATCATTTCTATTGAAACGGAATCTGAGCCATCACAAGTGAAGAATGGTTTCTTTTTAGTTTCGGATGGATCAAACTGATCTTTCCATTGAGCTGCAAAATAAATCCCATTCAGTGAAACAATTCGAGTTGTTTTCTGAATGAAATTACAATCTACAATGTTTTGAATCATTCCCTTTGTAAAATCTGAAACAAACTTATTAATCTTTGCAATTTCTCCTTCTTGATTATTCACAAAATCACACGAATCAACTTTAGCATTAAACGTTTGATTGACCAATGAGTGATAGCTCTCTAACAACGTAAATTGATCAGATAGGAAAATAGAATTCACCATACTAAGGGTCGTTCCACAATCATCATCATTCTCAATATTGAAACTCTTCATCATTTGTTCCATCATTGGCTTGACATCTTTCTCAATGATTCCAAAGTAATCCAATCCCTGCTCTTCCAATTCACTTCCAAACATGCCTCTCACCATCTCTATAAATGTTTTTCCACTCGCACCCACCAAAACCATCGAAAGGGCCACAACCACAGAAACAGGTGAGCAAACCACATTTTTCCCGCCAAAATCCAAATCTTCTTCCCTTGCTTTTGCTTGCTTTAATAAGGACGCAAATAATTTTGCGTAAAATTGATGAATATTCGAGTTGTCTACAAGTGCAGCCGTAACTACAACCAGTTGTTCAGTGTTACTTTTCCGCCCGATATACTTTTCTGATTTGATGAATCATTTTTGATTCGAAAATGGAATTTCAAAAATTATTAAAGAATTGATGAATATTCGACAAGTTTAGAATAAATTCATTATCCACATACCTAATGTTACCAAATAAAGAAATAAAAAAAAAATTTCTATTTGGTGAATTATCTTTCTCTTTTTGAGAGTTTGTATTTTTTTCAGGACCTTTCAAAAACTGTAGTTGAAATACTGCGAAAATTGTAAAATGCATTTCTCATCAAATTCGATTGCTTTCCAATGAAGGCTATTCGAATGAAAATTAGAAAGTGGACGATTCATAGTCAAGAAAGAGTTTTTTCACTGACGAAAGGTCAAAACCGGGTTGTTTATGTATTTGGCCAATGCAACGAATTATTTAAGAGTTTATTGCCTTGAATGTACTTTAATAAATTGTAAAATTTTTTGTAAACTTTTCTTTTACTTGCAAAACTAAAGTAAACTAATGATTTCTAATGTGACTTTCATGAATGTAAGGTAAATTTTATTAATGTTTGTTCATTTCCTGTTGTATGGTGCGGCATTATATCCAATTACATTGCAACTTGGCAAAAATGAAAGAAAATGGCTTGACAGTTGACATTAAAGGTTCCTATCATGAGGTAAAAAACGTTACTGTCAGAGAAAATGTTCTTGTGGATGCACTTTTGGGAGCATTTGCATGCTATTCTAATGAAAATGTAAGTGTATTACAAACTTTAAAAAAATCGTCTCTATTAGAAACTGAAATAATATGGACGAATCTTCAAATACAAGGCGAGATGTGGAGCAATCATCCATGACTCGTCGACGTACAGCAATCGTACATGCAGACGAAGAAAACATCATCATATTGGATGAAACGAAACAAAACGAAACTAAACAAACATTAGAAATACCAACAACAGCTCGGGAGCATACCAAGACGAAAACTGTAAATTTTGGAACGCCAGAAATTTATGAAATATCACCGAATACGCCAAATTTATTATATGCCATTGATAATAATGTTGATAATCATCACAAAGTTTACTATTCGAATAGTCTTTCGAATATTGAGATTCCTTCACCGAATTCTTCAACTTCTTCAGACGAAACTCACATTCTAGTGGAAGATGATTATAACATATCTCTGGATTTGTCAAAAATCATTCGAACACATGAAAAACAAATTGAGGAACATTCAATGAAGAAAACTGGTTCGTCTTATTCTATTCGAAAGATGAATTCAAAAGATTCCGCAAAAACTCCAACAGAAACTTTAGTAGATGTTGTGAAAAAGCTAGTTTCTCCCACAAAAGGTTCATTTCGTAAATCGGACGTAGTTTCGTATAGTGAAATTTATCTGGATCAATTCCAAGATTGGAAAAATGAAAAACATGAAACTGGAGCAATTATTTCATGGAGAAATATTTGTTATCAGGTCAAAAGAGAAACTAGTTTCCTCAATGATATCATTTCAAAAAGTTTAAAAAAGGAAGGCGATTCAAAAATGGAAAAACCAAGTAAATTTATTCAAATTTTGAATGGAATTGATGGTATTGCATATCCAGGATCGATATTGGCTATCATGGTAAGTTGGAAATGATTTGAATTGTTGGAGAGAGTGTAAATGTTATATTACCAATTTTGGAAATTAATTTAGGCACCTAGTGGAGCAGGAAAAACTTCACTTTTAAATATTTTAGCTGGACAGACGAAATGTACGAGTGGTGAAATTATTATAAATGGAATGGTTGTGAAAAATAGATTGAAATCATTAGTGGGATATGTCTATCAAGATGATTTATTGATGGGAAATTTGACAGTTAGAGAAACTTTACGATATTCTGCCATGTTGAAACTTCCTTCAACGACTTCTTATCAAGAAAAGATGAAAAAAGTTGATTACGTTCTTCAATTACTCAAATTGGAAAAGTGTGCTGATACCTTAATTGGTGAAGTTGGACTTTCCAAAGGAATTAGTGGAGGTGAAAGAAAGAGATTGGGCATTGCGATTGCTCTACTCACCAATCCTCCAATTTTGATTCTAGACGAACCAAGTACATCCCTTGATTCAAAGACAGCCCTCGACGTGGTTCAAACAATTTCACACGTTGCCAAAACTCATAATATTACAGTGATTATGACAATTCACCAACCTAGATCTGATATTTTGGATTATCTGGATAATTTACTCCTGTTAGCAAGTGGTAAAATTGCATACTTTGGATCAACTAGCAAAGTTGTAAAGTATTTTAAAAAGATTGGTTTTGCAATGAATGACAATTACAATCCAGCAGATTTTGTGATGGATATGATAACAGAGGATTCACATGCTATATTTGCTCATGAAAAGACACATGAAAGTGAAATGGAAAGGATTAATAAGATTGTTGACAGTTTTGAAAAGATTAAGCAACAGATTATTCCATCTGTGCATGACACTTTCGAATTACGAGAATGTACTTTACCAAAAGTGGAGAAATCAACATGGTGGACTCAATTCCTTGTCATGTTTTTAAGAAGTTTCCTCAATCAGTACAGAGATTTCAAATTTACAAAAATTCGAGTTATTCAACAAATTATTTATGCAATTTTAGTTGGATTTATTTACTTTCAGACAAAGAATGATCAAAATTCAGTTCAGAATAAGCTTGGTTTGCTCTTCTTTGTGGTTACTAATCAGTGGTCGAATTCATTTGGTACTCCAATCTCAATTTTCAGAGGAGAGAGATTGTACTTTTTAAGAGAACGAGGTGCTAAATGTTTTTCAATAAGTAGTTATTATTTTGGAAAGTTCTTTGCGGATATGTTGTTGATTATTCCTCATCCAGTGTTTTTTGGAACGATAGTTTACTTGTTGGCAGGATTGACCTTAACTATTGATAGATTTTTAATGTTCATTTTGATTATTTTGGTACTTTCACAGGCAGCTCATAGTTTTGGAATGGTTTTGGCCATTCTAGTGAGGCGTGTAGAAATTGCCACCATGCTTTTACCTCCCATTTCAACAACTTTCCATGTCTTTTCTGGATTTTATAGAAATATCGATCAAATTCCAGTTTACTTGGCTTGGTTCACCTACTTTTCACCATTCAATTATGGATTTAAAGCTCTCATTGTAAATGAATTTGGTGGAAGAACAATAGACTGTCCAACTGATCAAGACGAATCGTGTCCATATCCAAATCTCGACTTTATTCTCGATTATTATGGAATGAACAATGGCCTGATGAATACTTGGGTTAATTTGGGAATAGTTTTGGGTATCTCAGTTGGAATGAGAATCATTGCTTACATTGCCTTAAAGTTCACATTAAAACCAAGAAAGGGAGTTTAATTTTTAATTGTTTTTTTATACTTTATTTTTACGAAGGAGATTGGCGAATTGAGTCTTGATGGAATTCTTCAAATCCTTGTAGGTCACTACGATGAGCGATTGTTCATCTCTGCTCATAAGTAGTACCTTTTCATTGGTTCCAGCATCTAGTTTGTTCAAAGTTTCAACAATATGTCCAAAATCAAGAATGCATTGATTGGTATCTGAGACTTGAACGAATAAATAATCACAGAAGAGTTTGAGCATTTGTCTATCTGTTACTCCTTGCTTGTTTTTGGTGCTAAATTCAAAGCTGTTATGTGAAAATGTAAATTAAATAATGGAAACATGTGAGAAATACTTACTCTTCGTGTTGGGCAACAAAGTTCAATTTGACCAACAATCTAAACAAACGTCCATTTTCTAATTCCTTAGCTAATTCATTTTCAATAGTATCTACATAATTGTACATGGTAGACAATTCATCGACATATCTCAAAGCAATGTTTGAGATGAGTTTGTTCAAGTCAATGTCATCTTGGAGGAGGGTCTTTACAAAGTCAACAAGTTCTGTAGAGTATTTACAAGAAATACTCTGTAATTTCAAATTATTTAATATAATAGTAAATAAGAATATTATTAATTATAAATTAATATATTAATATAAATAATTTAAATTAATTAGAAATTTTAAAATAAAAAACCTACCTCACTATTGTTCAAAACTGACAAAGCATGTGGAGCATCGCTCAATTCTCTAAATGTGCACATTAATTCTACAAGTAAAATACCAAAATGTTTAAAATCTTCCTTTTGTTGTGCAGCAATATCAGCCTCTTCAGTATTTTCCAAAATATCAAGCATACCAGAACAATTCAACTTGAATCTCTTGTTTGTTAACCCTGGAAGAATAATAATCTTGTTGGTGTAAAAGGTTCTGTAGGCCAAATTCTTAGAGTGAATTTCTCTTAGAGCACTGAGACATTGGCAAATAAGACTCCACAATGTAGATTCTGCAGGAGCTCTAGAGGTCTCAATAAAGAAGTGTTCTTCCAAAGTTTCTGCTCCAGGACTATAGTCATAAATAAACAATAAATCATTATCATTTCCGAATTGATCAGTAGAGATGACTTGTTTCAAAGAGACAATATTTGGATGTTTGATCTTGAACCATGGATCGGCACTAGTCAAAGCTTGTTCAATTGAAAGAATTTGATGTTCACTAATACGTCTCAAACAACATGGGGAAGCACTAGCAGAGTCTATTACTCTAAATGATTGACCAAAGGCAAAATCAATTTCTTGGATACTATTGTCGCTCCAAAAGTTTTGATCTAATGGATAGAATGAGTGATATTGATCGATATATCTTGGAATTTGTGAAATTCTCTCAGCAATATCTCCTTGATTCATAGTTTCTTCATCAATATCATCCAAACTTTGTACATAATTCATGAGTCCTCTATTTAACAAAATGTTCCTCAGTGAATCATTAACAAAAAAGTTGTGAATACCACGATAAGCAGATTTTGGATCGGTTGACATGTCAGCAGGTGTGAAAATATATGATCCGTTATTGTTATTATCATTAACATTATTATGATGATGATAATGTGGTGATGATGTTACAGGAGTATTTCTTTTATGTTGGAGATGTTGTTGGTAGAGATCATATTGTAACTTGGATTGGAGCTTTTTGTTATTGAATGTCTGTTGATTTTGTTGCTGTTATTATTGTGATGAAAGTAGATTTGATTGTTAAAGAGCAAAGTTAATCAAAATATTATTGTTTGTTGATCGCCATTATAATATTATCGATCACATATTTACACTTACATGTACAGCAGTAAAGGATGGTGTTGTTGAATTGGAAGATAAATTAATTTGTTGTCCACTATTTTCATTATAATTCTGTCCCTTAGGTTGAAAAACAAATGATGATGAAGATAATTTAGGTGATGATTGAATAGTAGTATTATTATTGTTATTAGCAGCGATATTATTATTAGCAACAACACTGCTATTATTATTATTGGTGATGTTGGTATTATTCATATTGGGAGAAGAGGAGGACGGATTGAAAAACTTTGGATAGAAGGCAGTGCTATTCGATGAAATTCCTTTACTTGGTGAAGTCATTCCCTGGTTACCAGAGGACACAGCACTAAAAGAAGGCGATCCATAATAGAGAGGCTGCTGTTGTCCACCAATACCACCACCCGATGTTGGTTGTTGTTGTGTTGATGGTGTGGATGAGGCGGTTGAATGATTTCCACCACCTTGAGCGTTGTACATTTTTTAATTAAAAAATTGATTAAATATTTGGCGCCAAAAATAATAGATATTGGATTTCAATGACTTTCTGAGCTTTTTCATTTATTATTTACATATTTACAGAGTGCATGTTTAAGGTTATTGAGATTAATAGTAGTAAACTAATTCAGAGACTGTTCTTTGAACATCACCAGAGTACTTGTTCAATAATGTGAGATTTTCACTTGTATTGGTGAATCCCATATCTGAGAGTAATTTCAATTCATTTTCGTAGGATGGTTGTTCTTCATTGGAAGTTTCTGGAATTGTATTTGATGATTCTTCTTCTGCTGAAATAGTTGGATATTGAACTTCAGTTTGGTTGACTTGTTCAGAAGCAACTGATGATTGATCATCAGAGTCGTAATCATCTTCATCTGTAACAATATCTTCTTCCTCATCTTCAATTAAATAATTTGAAATAATTTGTGAAGTGGACAAGAATGGTGTGTCCTTCTTTTCTTCAGGTTGAGATTCTTCCTTCAGCTCTTCTTTCTTTTCTTCAACAGTTGATTCTTGTTGTTGTTGTGGAACACTCTTTTCTTCAACCTTTGACTCTTCCTTCTTGGCTTGCTCTCCTTCTTGATTTCTTCTTTCGGCAAGTTTCTTTCCAAACAATTCAGCAAGATAATCCTCAAATGATCTTGTTTGCTTTTCTTCCTTCTTTTCTTGCTTTTCCTTTTGAGCATTCTTCAACAACTCAGACAATCTAATGGTTCTCACTCTTTGAGTATTGAATTGTGAGTTATTTGGTTGAGGTCTTTCTTGTTTCTTTTCAAAAATTCCAGAAAAAACTGAATCCAAAGCTTGTTCAATTAAATGCTCTTCTTTTTCTTCTTCCTTTTCAAAAATTGGTTTCATAAAGAATGGAAGATTTCTAAATCCAGCTGCACAATTAGTTCTTGGATGAGATCTTTGGCATACAGGTTGTGGTTGTGGAATCTTTTCACAAACAATCTTAATAGCATTTCCCTTTAAAATCTTTAACATGTACTTGAAATCATACTCAGTAGACAAGACAACCAAATCTTGTTCATCATCAACATAATAAAACTTGTGAGATTGAGCAGAAATACCATTACTCTTCAAAACATTCAAAAATCCTTGAAGGGATCTATTTTGAAATAATTCGAATCTGTAAACATTTGATGCCTCACCAAAATTCAATCTACTATTACCATTCAACTTGTCGAAAGCAAAAACTTTGAATTGAAGAGATGGTTCTTGATAAGTGACTTGAGTAGGAACATAAACTTGTTGGTTCAAATATCTTGGAATGGTTCCTTGTTGGGCATAAACAGGAATGTTATTTCTAGTTGGAGTTGATTCAAAAACCAAAGGATTAAACAAAAAGCTCATTTTCTTATTATTTAGTAAGTAAACAGAATACACAGTTAGTATTTTGATTGTTTTTTTTCAAATTGTTGTTGAGAATATTTTGCTTAGTTTGAGCTATTTATATAAAAATAGATTTGTCCTCAGTTGCAAAAAAACAAATAATTGAGTGTAACCTTTGGAAAAGAGAGAAACGAGTTCATCCTCATTTGCACGGAATTGTTTCGGAAATTGGAAATTTTTTATTTTTAGACTCAAAATTATTGTTTTAAGGCGAGCAAGAAATTTGTAAAAGGTTCTTCAACCTGTGTGAGAAGTTCCCATTACTTTGCTCAATTTGTCCTCAATGTTGTGGTGCAAACTCAACACTTTCCATTATCAAATACTTATTGGACTAATGTTCAGTCAATTTCAGAAAATTTTCTAATTACTCTGCTTTCAATATAATCTCCTCATCATTTCTAATGGAATCACTTACATATTCCAGAGCTTGTGAAATAGCAATTTTAACAATTTACTTGTTATTTCTCAACTCTGCTGAGGCAAATTGTAATGAAATTCCTCTTTGTTTAACACTTTCAACAACTACTTCGCTGTTTCCTTGTAATTCCTTAGAGGTAAATCTAACAAGAAACATTCCATCTCTCCTCACATGTTCAAGAATAAATTCTTTATTATTCTGCAAATGTTCTGAAGGATTGCTTTCCCAATTTCATCTGTGATAAACTCCTTCGGCCAACGTGGTTGAAAATACTATCATGTTATTCGTAATCAAATTCAATTCATCTCCCGAAACGTTGCCTCACTCTTCATGAATTTAAACCTATTATACTTCATTTGTTAATTTACTGGCAAGCCTTGCTGAAGTTTTTAAAAAACATTTGTACAACATCAAGATAACACAACAAGAAAATAAAATCTCTACTACATTTCCATCACTTAATATCCTCCACTCGTTATCATGATCTCAACCAATTACTAGTGTTGTTCTAGATCTGTTCTTCATCCCTTTCACCAACAATCATAATTTTTTGAAAATTTAAAAATTAAAAATTCTTGATGAAATTTTTTTAAAAAAATTGCAAAAATGAACGTTGTCCCACAGTCATACATTAGAACCGGAAGAAAGGCAAAGAATTTGGTGGCCAAAATGTTGAACATCCCAGAGCAAATGAAGGGATTTCCATCTAAAGTTTGGAACCAATTTAGCTATTATAGCAAATTGTCTTCTCTTGAAGCTGTTGGTAGAAATGGAGCCGCAACTGCTTTTTACTCTGGAAAATACGATATAAAGTTACAACTCGATAAAAGCGAAGTACCAATGATTGGAAAGGACCAAATTGATATTAAGAAATTACAAAATCAAATTTTGGGTGCTATTGAGGATGCTCGTAAACATAACCACATTCACAAATACTATGAGAAGAGTTTATATCAAATTTCACATGATAATTTACCAAAGGCTGAAACCTTCTCTAAACCTACACAATACGCTACTAAAAGAAGCGAAATCAAACAAGATTTAACACAATTGCAAGAGGATGATGAAAACCAATACATGTTCAAGAAGGTTCTTCAACAAATGCAAAAAATTGATATGGATTACCAAAAGGATATTCAAGAGTATAAGAAGTATTTAATCAAGAAGGATGATTTGGAAAGTGCCCAAAGAGATGAAATTAATTCCCGAGTGGCCTTCTCTTCTGCTTTCACTGATTTGGCTAATAGTCTTCCAGCTTCCGAAGCTAAGAAGAGCGATGTAAAGGATATGACATCAACAATGTCTGATGACTCATCAAGAATTATTGATAGAATCATTGATCCAGAAGGTACAACTTTCCAAAGTATCCATAGTTTGACATATGATTCTCGTTTGGACCCTGATGCTGAACCAATTGGTCCATTTATGCATGAATTGATTGCTTTAAAGCAACTTGAAAAGCAAGTTGAAGAATATGAACAAGCAAACGGAAAGGGAACATTTGCTAAATACATGACTGAATCCGCTGCTAATGATATGCATACTCTTTATGCTAGTTTAGAATCTTTGGAAGAAGCCTTCTCACCAGAAGGACGAGAAATGTGGGCTAGAGTTCTCTTTTCTACAGAAGCTGCTGAAAATGTTGAAACTATCATGAAGGCTGTTGAAAATATTGATCCTAAATTGACAACTTCTTTACCTGAACCTGTTACCATTGTTGAAGATATTGAAGAAGAAGAAAAGTAAATTCTCTAATAATTTTGTAATTTTGGAAATAAAAATAAAAAATTTAAAAAAATAATTATTATTATTTTTCTCCTGGAATTGGAGGAACAATGTCATTAACTGCCATCACAACAACTTGGAAAGCTGTATTCATATCATTTTTAGGGAGCTGACCATCATATCCTCTCAGTATATCTTCAAACTTTTGGAATGTTTCAACTTGTCTTGCAAAGAATTGCTTATAATAATCATAGTACAAGTCATAGGTTTGTTGATAGGCATCATCAAATGGAGCAGATGAAGGAGTGGTAAGTTTTGGAGCTTCTATCACAATTTCCTCATTTTCTTCTTCTTGCTTATTTTCATTATCCTCTCCACCCAATAAATCTCTTTTAAGTTTATCCATTGCACTTTCCATATTCTTGTTATATTTCTTATTGTCAGTAATACCTGGAATTTCAACATTTGATGTCACACCAGGTATTGTTGGTTGATCTGGCATGTGTTGATTTAGTCCATATGATTGAAGTTTGGCAAGGAAAGCAGATTCACCACCTTCTTCTGCCACAACACCTAGTTCAGCATCACTCATACCTTCAATGGTAAAACCTCGTTGTCTTGCTAATTCTCTAAGTTGTTCCTTCTTGAGTTCATTGCTTCCTTCTTCAACAGGAATCAATAATCTCTTGATCATTTCAGCTGCCTTTTCCACAGAATCTTCATCATCAGCAGTGATGAGAACGTGCAAGTTTTCTTCATCTGCAAATGATTTTGTTGGTATTTTACCTGGTTTTACACTTCCTTTACCACGAACAGCAATCTTGGCTCCACTCTCCTTTTCAAGTTTCTTTTGTGTTAAACCTCCAGGTCCGATAATCAAACCAATGAAATTATAGTCAGGATATTCATCTACTGGAATGTAAATCTTTCTATTAATTTGTTTTCCATCAGTTCCATCTTGATCCAATGAATCAGCCATTGACATTTCACACTCTGAGATGAATTGTTTCACATAAACAAAATGATTTTCAAAGGAAAAGAGAGGATTAATTAGTTTTGCGAGTGCAACTAGTTTTTGAACTTCTGTATATAATTTGTGTTTTTCATATTGTTCTAGAGAGGAAAATCCATTATTTTGAACTCCTTGTTCATTAATTTCATTAAGACGAATACGAGCCATTAAAGCATTGATAGCATCCTTACTCAAAAAACTTGGTAAAATAGTCGGAAATGATACATTTGAATTGCCTAGTGAAAATCCATTAGAATTTGGTTTGTTATATGATTGTGATGATTGATTTTCATATGAAGATGACGAATAATGATGATCCATCTTATTCTTTTTATACGAAGATGAAGAATACGAATCATGTTGATGATGATCATCATTATATTCATTATAATTTCTCTTATGCGAATCATAGGATTGATAAGATCCTCTTTCACCACCTCTATCTCCTCTCTCTCCTCTATCACCAACACCTCTTCTATTATTATTATTATTGTATGATGATGAAGGTTGATCGGCGTTATGTTGTCGTTGAAAGGCTGAAATTCCTCGCGATGCCGTTGATGACGATGATGATGAAGAATAATTATTGTTATTTCTATTGTTATTGTAAGAAGAAGAATTGTCCTGACGATAGAGCCCGGAAGGTGGCGGTATGTTTGGCATATTTTTTTTTAAATTTGAATATTTTTTTTATTATTTTTTTTTGATTAATTTAATATTGAATGTGTAGTATTTAATATTTAATTATGTACGGTTAAATAGTTAATACTGTAGATTAATATTGTAATATACAAACTGTACATGAAGAGTCTATAGTGCATTTCCAGCCTTGTCTTCCGGGGATTTCATTAAACTCGAGTTTACAAAAGCGAAAATCTTGGGAGCTGTAAAAAACCAAAACAGAAATCCAACCAAATAAATCACAACTGACAAACACGCGAAAAAACAGTTTTTCAAGAGACCCAAGATTTTCGCTTTCTTTCACAAACAGAACAAGGTCAATTGAACTATTATGGAAGACGAAACAAATGGAGCTAGAGGAGTTGTTCGTACAGGAATTGGAATATTTTCATTCGGACACAAGTGTCATTGTAAACTAGAGTTTAATAAGCGAGATGACACAAACATTCTGTGCAGCAAATCATCAGGCAAGTTTCTTGAAAGATTTTCTCAAGTTTTCTATATTTATCATTGCACAACAGCAGCAGCATTAACACTTGAATTAAAAGAAAAAAACTAGTTAATTATTAGTTGTGTTTCAATATTCACTTTCTTGCGTCTGGATATTTTCTATTAAAGGCCCTTCACACACACTTTACAACTCTACAGTCTTAATCTCACTCAAGAATTTGTTCAAGTTAGCAGTATTCTCAATTATATTATTCTCAAACACAAGCACACATTATTATCTGTCATCCCAGAGATCACAACCATTTTTCTTTATCATATCAACACAAGATTTTTACTTAATAGCAACAACAAGCTCATATTCACTCAACATGCAAATCAAACTTTTCAACAACAATTCAGCAACTGGTCGAGGTCTTAGACAACGACTCTCCCAAATGGCAAACTCCATGTTCTCAAAGAGAAATCTCTTATTCATCGTTTTGGTCATCATTTACTTGATGGGAGGAATGATGAATAATTTGGGAGTGCAAATTATGGGCTACTACATGCCATTGTACAATTCTGGTTTCTTATTGTATGGAACTACCTTCATGTACACCTCCTTCTTTATTGTAACTGAAATTTTCCTTTCCATTGTTGTTCAGAAACATTCATTCAAGCAAATCAAGGAAAGATGGTGTTTGTACTATAACAAGAAGTTGATCATTTGTGTTTTGGCACTTGGTTTCTTTACTGCTTTCAATGGAATTTTCGCACAGAGTGCCATTCCATTTGTTGATCCAGAATTGACTGCCATTTTGACTCAAGTTTCTGCTCCTCTCACATGGATCATGTATCCATTGATTTTGAGAAAGAAATATGATTTGGGTCAAATTGGCTGTTTCCTGCTCATTCTCTCCGGACTCCTCTTTGGTTCCATCTACTCCTATATGAATGGAACTGGCTCAGAAACCACCTTCTCAAACTCTGCCTTCTGGCTCATCATTTCCATTTGTTCTGCCATTCCAACAGCTTTTGAAACTATCTATCAAGAGGTGGCCTATGATTCCTACAAGGCACCTACCTTCATCGTCTTGGTCTATTACAATCTATTCTCATTGATTGTCTATGCTGCATGGATGTTCATGACCATGGTTCCAAACTTTGGCTCATGTAATGTTCCAGCTCACACTCCACTCTCCATGTGTTCCATGAATGCAACCACATGTTCTGCCACTCAGGTATTTGAGCAACAGGGAGAAGCATTCCAATGCTTTTTTGGGAATTATGATGTGTCTTCATGTTGTGGTGGTTGGCAAGCCACATTGTGGACATGTATATTCGTGGCTGGATACTATGTTTATTTCGTGAGTGGATCTTATCTGATTGAAAAGTTTGGATCCAATGTTTTGGCCAATTTGAATGCCTTGTTGTATCCATTGACTGCTGTTTGCTTTTGGATTAAACCATTAGTTGGACAATTTTCTAGTCAACCAACTTGGTGGATTATTGTTTCATTGATTATTATTACATTGGGAAATATTGGATATGAAGTATTCGCTCGAAAGCCACTTTATGAGATGGATCCCAAGTTTTTACCCTGGAATCACTTGAGACATGAGGTTAGTGAGGAGAAGAATCAAACGAAAGGAGGCGAACCCCATTCGAATGTTTCAATTAATGATTCTTCAGAAGTTATTGAACCAATTATTTATCATCAGAGTGATGATATTGTTTACAATGACAATGAAGGTATCACCAGCAATAATACTAATAATTTGGATAATCAACAAGATGAGGAAGAGAAGGAAAAGTATCCATTAATTAATCACAACAATAAGAATTAATGTAGATATCCATATGGAGGAATAATTTCATTCAATCATTAATTTATTAATTTGTATTATATTCAATAAAGAAGAAATTATTCCCTTACTAAATATTAAAGTTCAGATAATTGATAAATCTCAACAAATCTAATTTTGTGAGAAAGTATTATTTACAATATATTCATCAATTGGTGATGAATTATCTCAATAAGTTATTGCCTTAATCAGCAAATCCAGAACTACCTCCATAATCACATCCACCGCCTCCGCCACCATAGTCACATCCACCACCACCACCTCCACCATAATCACACCCACCTCCAGTATTCGAATCCCATCCACCACCTCCACCACTATAGTCAATATCACTGGAATAATAATTTGTACTGGTTGGCTCTTCATAGCTGGAAATATAGCTTGTTGGATTTTCGTATTTGACTTTTGGTTTAGACTCTGAGATAGGTTTGTTTCTTTGTGTTTCTTCCTTATTAGACGAAACAGGTACCTCATCTGGATTTTCTCTATCTTTTGGTTTTTTCTTCTCCTTAAAGAATTGTTTTTTCATGCAAAAATGGACGCAAACTAAACTTGCCGCCGTTACAACAATTAACAAAACAAAAAAACCCACTATACCACCAACCATTCCATATGTAAATGATGAGTCCATCTTGTCATATTGATTCTCATTAGTATTATGAGAAGAATCACAATCTTTTGAGACGAAACTGTTGATAGAAACCATTGGTTGAAATTCAGTATTGGGAGACAAGTTGCTCATGTTAAATGTTACAATTGGCATGGAATTATTTTGAATATAGAGTTGACCATTTGAAGAATTCAAAGGATAGGAATTAAATGAAGAATCGAATAGAATGGTTGTCGAAATGAAAGAGATTGGAGCATTGTCTTTGTAGTGATATCTCAATTGGGAATTGGAATTAATCACTTCAAGTTTTGGGAATGCAGAAAATGACATTCGAATAGATAATTTGGTAATGCTATTCGAAGGTGTTGCAGGACTCAAAGTAGAAACAATAAAGGAAGAGATGCTTCCTAATTCTAATTGAGACGAAATCGAATAGCCAGAATTCAAAACTTCAATTTTCCATGATGAGGAATCAATTTTGGAAAGCACATTGTATGGAAATGCTCTTCCAACTCTTGAGAAACTTCCATTAAACAAATATTCAAGATCTTCAACAATTTTCATGGATGTACATCCATCATTGTTGGTGGTTAATGTCATATTCGAAACAATGGAAGCAATCGAATAGGATTTTTGGCATTGAGTGGATGAAATTAGCATGAAAATGACCACCATCATCAGAGTGATGCTGATCATCATTAAAACACTCATATTAGTATGTTTACACATTTTTTTCTTGATTGGTCTTGTTTACTAGAAATGTGCAATGAATATTTATTAATATTTTGAGTGTTGACTTGGTGTGGGAAATAGCTTCCAAGTCGATGAAAACTTGGAACAGAGATTTCACATGAGATCATTTTGATCATTGGTGGAGGTCACCACCTATGTACTGGTGGGCACATACAGTTATTAAAATATTAATTAAATATTAAAATTCCAATTCCCAACAAGGATATTAATAGTTAATAGTAATACATGTAAAAATGAAGTTGGAACACATTTAAGTAGCTAGTGACATCAGATCTACAGCAGCGCTAGATAATCAATGCAGAATATAATTGTAATTCATGAATATGAAGAATTATTTACTGCTACTACTATTGTATTGTTCAGAGTCAGTGAAAAAGACCATAATCTCTTCATCATCCTTATATTCGTCCAAATTATTTACAAGTTCAAAAAGAATCTTATTAAACAATTCTTTTCTTTTCTCAATAATGTCCTTACTTCTAGTTCCTAACAGTGAATCAATTATTTCCTTGTATGGAAATATTAAAACTTCACCATTTTTACCCACAATCTTATCAGTCTTTCTAACAGCACACATTCTCTGGAAAAGCTTTTCAAATTGGGAATATCTCTTCTTGAGTGTGTAGGTATATGTAGATTCTTCAATCTTCATGGTAATATCAATCAAATAATAGACAGAGTGCTTGTTTTCCATTGAGGCAAAAGAAAAAATATAACCAGTCCAGGAGGCATCATTACCTTGCGCTTGAATACCTTCATACTTCTCAATAACCATATTTTCAAATTGGGTTATTTTCCTCATTTTCATTCTGAAAGAATCAAGTGCCTTCTCCTTCTCTTCTACAGTTTGAATAATTTCCTTCTCTGCACTTTTCTTATTGGAATAATCCAGACCAAATTCTATTGCCTTGTCGAGGACATAACCTCCTGCTGCAATAGGCATCAGGTAAAAGGCGCCAGAAAGCATGAACAGAGCAAAACTACCTGATGCAATTGTAATTCCAGCGCCAAGGGCCAAAATAGTGTTAGCAGTTGCACTGCCATAATCTTGTTCCATCTTGGTGTAGGCTCTGGTTCCCATTTCGAGAGGGATCAACGAGGTCTGTCCAATAATTTTACCAATACCAACCATGTATATGCCAGGAATTGAGAAAAAGTTAAATTCTGAATGAGCCAGTTTGAGATTTTTCAGAGAAATAGATTTTTGAATCGATGAATACTCTAACAAATAGTGATAGAGAACTCCTGTTGGATTATCAATTGATTGTTTCCATTTCTTATTTACAAGTCTCAATCTCAAAATTGATTTTAGCATGTTAGCAATATCGTTAGTTTTCATATCATTAGTGGTATTTAACAAGTTTGGATAATATACAAATGAAATAACCCTGTTGAGTATTGGGACCTCAGCAAGTAACACTCTCAACTCTATGAACCTTTGCCAAGAGGTGATCTCTTCTCTACAAGCAGCAACTCCAAGTTCAAATTCTTCAAAATCATGATCTCTATGTTCATTATATTCATTATTAAATAGGTGGTGATTCTGGTTATTATATTCAAATGAGCTACTGCCACCGCCACCTGTTGCATATTCAATATCAATATCATCCTCCCCATTCAAATTCCAACGAGGAGTAGTCAATCCAGACAATGCATCTTCATTAGGTGATGAACCATAATAGTATCCAGTGCTAACTATTCTCTTATTTGTTGAGACATTACTATTGGATCGACTGGATCTATTCGATGAATAACCATGAGCTGATGATCGAGGTGTGAGCACAACCTCATTCAATCCATCCAGATTCTGATTACTAGTAGGAGTTCCAGTACTAAAACCTTGTATTCTTTCCACAATAGGTGATTGAAAACCAGTAGTATGAATTGCTTGTTGATCAACAAGTTTCGGAGATGATTGTTGACCAAGTGTCAATTCTTCTTCTTCCTCTTCTTCATCATTGTCTTCCATAATTACTGGATGAAATCCCTCATCACGAATCAACAATACACTGGCACCCAAGTTATTAGTAGCCATAGCATTCACAGTTGATTCCAAATTCAAGTTAGGATAGAGCCTTGTTTGTTGTTGTTGTTGATCGGTAACAATAATAATATTTGATAATGATGGTGATGGTGTTTCTTCTTCATCGTGTGCTCGGAACATCTTTTATCGGTTAAAAGTTGATAAAAATCGAACAAAATTGAAATCGGTTTCTTTTGTTTCTATTGATGTAATAATTCTTTGAAGAAAGTTGACCTATTTTTTAATTGTTCCTAATTTTAGATTTTAATTAGTTTAAAAAATTCAATCCATCTCAAACAACGCGATGAAATGTTGAATTGGATGGAACGTGATGTACATCTTGTAATTTTTTTTCCTTAAAATCATATGCTTCTTAAAGAATATAAAAGGTTACAGCGAGCGGGGCTTGAACCCGCGACCTTAAGCGTGTTAGGCTTACGATCTAACCAACTGATCTATCGCTGCTTTCATTTTCATTCAATTATTTCACAATAATCTTACTGGATTGAAATAATAAGAGACTCTTGTAATTTTTCACTTTTCAATGAAGTGGGATAGCTCCATTTCTGACGGACAGTGCAATGTCAGATTGAAACTAACAAAAGTGTGCAATTAAGCACAACTCTGGACCCTACAAAAAATTGAGTTAATAGTAATATTGCATCCTCTAGGGGACTCCATAAAGAGGTTGTATAACAATCCTCCATTGGGTAAGTGAAATAAAAAGACTACAGCACCACAGGTTCCCAAGTTGTCTCCAACCTCAGTACTGATGTGGCTCGACGATACTTAACTTCTCAAATCGGACGGGATGAGGTGCATGAATCGTGATATGGCCGTAGCCATTAACTATTGCAAAATGTGAAATTTCTTTCAATTCCCTTGATATTTGTGCCAATATATGTATTGGATTACATGGGAATCTTACAATGATCAGGGCCTTATTTTAAAAAAGGTTATCTCACGAGCCATCTCAATAAATATCAATATTAAAAAAATTCCTTCACATTTTAAACGAAACTAAATGCAGGACCAAACTATTTGCCTTTCACATCTTCCCAACGAAGTTATTTTTCATCAAATTCTTCCATATTTCGAATATAAATGGGTATTGAACACGGCAAGATTAGTTTGCAAATATTGGAATTTAAATTACAAGTCAATTAAAACATTTCACTTTCCGATCAAATATACAGGAGATTCGAAAGGTTTAGAATTAATATTAAATGATCATTCCGAAGAGCTAGATAAAATAACGAGTTTATTCTACATTCCACATGTAATCAAGAGAAAGCTTTCTCCTAATTATTTAGAAATAGAAAGTCAATTTATTTCTAGATTGACCAACTTGAAAGAATTGATATTAGCAGATTTTTCTGAAAAATCTTTGATTAGTTACTTTTCTAATATGAAAACTTTAGAAATTGTTGACCTACAATGTTTAGAATATACTCAGGTGGTTGAATTTATGAAATGCTGTCAATCAAAAATCAAATCATTCACCATTTCCTTTAGAGATTATCGAGGTGAATTGAATTTTAATGTTGATTGGCCATTGGAAAGATTGGTAATTGGTGGCCTCAGTTTTGATTCATGGATTTCAATATTGAATAGCAAATTTTCTAAAACTTTGAAGAGTTTAAGACTTGTCCCTTCAAAAACAAAAATTGAAAATTCAGTTTTGGAATTATTTGGAAATTTGGAATCTTTGATTGAATTGGAATGTGGTGCTGTGGAGATTGAACAGGGATTGAAGGAACTCTTCAAAATTGGTGCATTGAAGAGATTAACATTACATGGTGTACATGGTCGCTCAATTGAGGAAATTGATGTACATTTACCAAAATTGGAATATTTGTCTGTTAGACATAATAATATAAAAGGAGAGTTGGATCGGCTGGGGAATTTGAAAAATCTGACAAGTTTAATTTTGAGTGATAATGATATTTTCGATGGTGGATGTTATTTGAGCTCAATTACAACTTTGAAATACTTGAATCTTTCGAATAATTCAATTGGTGATAGTTTCTTAATGGATTTCAACAAGCTCATCAATCTAACATACTTGGATTTGAATGGTAACAATATTGGCAATATTGGTGCTAATTATCTATCATCTAATATCAATATTGAACAGTTAATTCTTTCGTATAATTTAATTGGAGAGGAAGGTTTGAAAAATTATGGAACTTTACGTAAATTAAGAATTCTCAATTTGAATGGTAATAATATTAGAAACGGGTTGAAATACCTCTCTGCTTGTGAATCCTTGGATCGGCTCTCTATTTGTGCGAATCATATCAATGCCCAAGCGGTCATTGAGTTTTGCCAACTTTCTTCACATGTGAAAATTTTGCATATTTCAGACAATCCAATTGGTGATGGATTTTCTCATTTTCCATTGTTGAAACAATTAACAGAATTACTGGCAAATAATTGTGAAATTGGTGATTATGCAATTTCAGAATTTATCTCAACTGCTGCAAAGTATAAATCAAAATTCACAACAGAAATTCAACTTTCCATTACTGGCAATAATTTTACAAAACTTGCTGTGCAGAAATTTCTCAAATTTGAAAATAGAGATTACAAGATTGTAAAGCTTGTTGTTTCAGATTCCAGTTCCAGTTCAAAAGAAATTGACAAAATATTGACAAAATCTAATACCCCAACAAACAAATCCAACACATGTTTGCTATTGTAAAGTTGAAAAATAAACAAATGAAACTCGGAACTTGCACTTCAATTTGAAGACAAAAAAAAATGGCACAACATCTCCCAGCAGAGCTCATCAATCTGATCATGGAATTTTGTGATCAGTATGAAATTATTCACTTTACAGCGGTCTGTAGATGTTGGCATGAATGCATAGAGGTGAGACAGTTAAAGTTTAGCTCCAGATTAATGATCGATCGGTGGATGGAATGCAGACGATGGTTTAATACATGTTTATCATCATCACATTCATTGGTGTGTGGTTATACATCAAATAGAGTTGGAGTAGCTTTACAAAAAATTACAAAACCTTTTGAAAATTTGAAAATTGTAAAATTATATGGACAGGAGCTACCTTCCCAAGAGAGATTAAATTCTGAAGGTGTTGCTGCATTATTTAACTGTGGAGCTTTTGAGAATGTGGAAGAATGGCACTTGGAATCACAAAATATTAGATCAACATCTTTTCTGAAAGGTCATGAAAAAAAGATTAGAGTGTTGAACTTAAATGACAATGATATTGAAATGTTAGAGTTGGAATATTTTACAAAATTAAAGGAATTACATTTGAGATGCAACAATTTACATTCACCTTCCATCATTCAACAAATATCGGAATGTAAATCACAATTGACATGTTTGGATTTATCAATGAATAGCTTTAGTTTGCAGCATGTTGAATTAATAGCAGCCAATGAAACCTTGAATCACAGTTTGAGAAAGTTAAATCTTTCTGGAAGTGAATTTTCTGGTCCAGTTTTGAAATTACTAAGCAGATTTACAAATCTTACTCACCTCACCTTAAAGTGGATGTATTGCACTAATCCAACTGATGTTAATCTCTCCAGTGATGTTGCAAAATTCGTTGCATGTTTGGCCAAATTAACAAGTTTGAACTTTGCCAACAACAAAACAATGCTAACCAGAATTTTGAAAGCAATATCCAATAGCTCTTCAATGAAGAATTTGACCTATTTGAATTTGAGTTCTTCAGGAGTGAAGGAAGAGGACCTAATAGAGTTGAGTTCTTCCTCTTATGTGAAAAATTTGACATTTCTTGACCTATCTGTAAATTGTTTAGGATTTCGAGGTATCAATTCACTTGCCAAAAGTCAAAATATGACAAATCTGACCTATCTGGATGTATCTTGTAATTTGTTTGGATATGAAGGAAGACAGGCAATTGCTGAAAGTGAAGTTTTAAATAATTTAAAGTACTTGTACATTATTGCACCATCCTCTTCGTACATTGATGCCATAAAATATACCAAGAAAACAGGTGAAATTGTTTATCAGCGAAGGTCCTATGACAGGTACTGATTAACTTATTAATCGGTTTCTCCGTAATATATATTCTCATTGAACCCATCTCGTTCCTTCTCTTTATAATTTTGATAATGTTCAAATCTTGTCATATTCAGCAAATCACCAACAAGGGATCCCTTATAGAAATAACGTTGTAATGAGTTTAAAAAGTCCTCAGTTACTAATTCTCTGTCTAATGAGAAAACTAACCCAGGGGTGTTATTACAAGCAATTTCCAAAAACTCCAAATCTTGGTTATAGGGAGAAAAGTCTGAATCCAAGATGAAATTTGTTGATTCTGATTCCTTCCAGCAGTATAATATAAAATCCCTATCTTGTTTCAATTCCTCACTCAAAATCTTGAAAATGTTAAATCTCTTTTTAATAGCAGCCTTGATTACATCTATATCTTTTTTCAAGTGTTCTGGAAGCACATTAAAGGCCTTTAAAGCGTCAATTTGGTGTCCATTGAATAGCTTCAAAGCTACCTCCTTCGAATCAAATGTGAAAAGGTGTTCCTTTTTCAAATTAAATAAAAATGCTGGACATAGCCGAAAGATGGCTTCGAGAACTTGTGGAGTCTGTAGATTGGAATCTCCCTTAATTTCTTGTTTAACATCATAATTATTTTCGAGAAAATGGATGGCAAGCTCTGGTGTTCTCAATTCTTCTGGCACATTCCAAAAATGTTTGAAATAATGAACTAATTCGCTATCAACTAGCTCGTCTGGAAAATCATTTGCGCTAAGATATCGTGAGAGTTTGCAATATTTCAAAGCCAGCTCTTTATCTTTTAAAGAGTGATGCGCATGATAAAAATTGGTAATATCCAACGAACATGCCAAATCAAATAATTCCTTATCTTTTTTCAAACGATCAGACACACTTCTGTAAATACGTGGTCTCCTCATGATTAGTTCTCTGATAAAATTAATATCATCACGTATAATCTCAGGCATATATCCAAATGCTTCAGGATTGGCAACAACAAGCTTTTTCATCAATTCCAAATCATTCTTGAATTTATCAGGTAAGCACGAAAGAATATCGCTATGATATCTGGAGATTTTCACTAGGTCAGAAAAATTCTCACTCAATTTTTCCATGTCGAATGGATTATAGGATTCATACATGTTGCTAGTCATTTTCAAATAGCCCTTCCATCCTCCATCTATCGTATCAGTAGTTCCATAGGTTGAAATATCCATAGCCATCCAACCCTGTTCCAAATTTATGTAAATTTGTGTTGGCTCATAATCATCGAAGACTCCACCAATAATTACTTTTCCAAAAAGACCAAGACTCCACGATTTGAATGGTCTCAATGAATTTGTATAATGTAAATTTGTCAAATCTTGTGAATGGGCAGGTCTTCCATCAATAATCTTGATAAATTCTCGTAAATGAAAAGGAAATTTCTGGCCCATTCTCTCCTCTACCAACTGAATATCTTCCTCTCTGACACCCTGTGAAGATGATGAGGACAAGAATAAAGGATGTTTCAAATATTTAGATTCCAACTCTAATTGTTCTCTAATCTTTCTCTTCTCCATCCGAATACAAAGCTCTCGGAATGAGAGACAAACCCTTTCAAATTTACTACAATCACATTCCAAGCCATTGTCATCATCTAGAAAGTGATAAATTTCTTCCCACAACTCTGGCAAAATCGCATCAAAAGGTTCCTTCATCTTCTTCAAAATATTATTTTTCTATTTATCTTAATCAAATCATCAACAAGCTTAACGGTAATATTTTTTTAAAATTTTATTACAATTTCATTTGATGACGCACTTTCCATGTCATGAAGATTTTTCATCATAGAGGAAATATTAAAACTCCGAGATTGCATCCTCATCATTATTCGCATCATCGTAACAGATAATTTTCAAATAATAATCAAAAGGAAGAAATTCTTTAATTAAAAAATGTTCACCAGCTTTCGTGCAATGGTGTCCAACACCATCAACAGTCCCACTTCCTTAGGAGGTAGTAGTAATAGACTTTCAGGTTTAATGTCCTCTCCAAACTCTGTTTCCTCTCCACAGGGAACGATTCGTCAATCATTTGAGAATATTTTGCAATTTGTTGGTAATAATCGGAAATTGATCGAGTTGAAGGATGCTTGTGTATTAGTAGTTGGTTTGTATTTATTATATCTTCATTGATTAATAATATTATATTTAAATAATCATTTATTTAATATATTACGGAATTTCAAATCATCATTACCATCATCAACAATAACAATGAATATGGAATATTGAAAATTAATAGAACATTTGAAAGTTTGTGAGAATAACTTTGAAGTAGAACGAGATTTAATTCAAAATCCGAACATGTACTTTAAAGTATTGAATTTGAGTTGTAAAACAAAACAAGCAAATATTATCATGATTGCCTTGGATTTATTACAACAATTCATGGAAAAGAATTATATCAATTTTTATACAAAATTTGATGAAAACTTGTTGATTACCGATGTCATGATGAGAACTCTCTCTGAATGTGTTGATATTTCTAATCAGGATGAAAGTTTGCAATTGCAATTTTTGAAAACTATTCTTACTGCAATTAGTTCATGTCATTTGAGTGGAAAGAGTTTGTTGATTGGAGTTAAAGTTTGTTTGAGTGTTCACTTTGTTTCAAAGAATGAAACTAATACCTTCTCTGTTTTGAAACAAGTACTTCATATGGTGATTAATAGAATGGATGAAGGAGCTGAGAATCCAATTGCTCATATCAGTGATTTGGTTGATGCAATGCTTTTGGAATTTGCCAATGAAACTGGTTCAGATGTAAAGGATGAAGATCGTCACACTCATAAGGAATTGACTGAACTTACTCAAAAACAAAGAGATGCCATTCTTGTTTTTAAATATCTTTCTGCATCAGTTTCTAAAGATTTTACAAATGGGTGAGTTTTTTATTTCAATAATATCAAATCTAATACTTTAATTTATGATGGAATAGCCCATTTGATGAAAAGGCAAAATTGACCTATATTGACTTATTAACAGATGTCTTTAAGAATTGTGGAAGAAAGTTACTCTCTCATCAAAGAGTTTTTGAACAAGTCAAATCCATTGTTTGCCAAACATTATTAATTAACTTGGTGCATTGTAAATCTACTCAAATAGTACTTTCAGCATTGGGTCTCTATCAATTATTAATGGAAAATTTCCTCGCAGAAATGCAATATGAAATTTACATTCTCTTCTTCAATTTGATTAGAATGATCAAGAGTAAGACCCTCAGTCCAACATTCAAGAATCTTGTACTTTCATTCTTGAAGAATATTACCTCAAATGGCGAATTGATTATGAGATTATATGTAAATTTTGATTGTAAGGTTGAAAAGAGAAATATTTTGGAAAGATTAATGAATGCCCTTGTTTGGATGGTTCAAGAATATACCATTCAAAACGATGTCAATCAAACTATGGCTATCAAAAAATCTGCCTTGACCATTTTCAATTCCATGCTTGGCTCTTTGGTTAATGTTAAAGAAAAAGAAAACATCAAACCAAACACAACACTTACAGAAAGAAAAAAGCTCAAAAGGGGTGTTGAATTATTCAATGAAAATCTCAAGAAGGGATTGGAATATTTCCACCAGATTGGGCGCCTACCAGACAAGTCATTGGATATCACTCAATATGAATTGGAACTTGCAACATTGTTCAATACTATACCAGGATTTTCTAAACACAAAGTTGGTGAATATTTTGCTTCTCCAAAGAATTTTGGTGTTTTGAAAAAGTACATTGATATGCAATCATTTTCTGGAATTTTATTTGAAAAGGCTCTCAGAAAAACTCTTGATCTATTCATGCTTCCAAAGGAAAGTCAAGAAATTAACAGAGTAATTGAATGTTTTGCTGAAAAGTATCAGAATGATAACCCAGATTTGCTGGAAACTGAATTTAAAAATCCATCAGCTTGCTTTGTGTTTACCATTTCTGTAGTCATGCTCAATACAGAAATACACAATGCTGCCATGAAGGCCCTTTGTAATTCTACTGTAGAGTCGTTCGTTGAGAGAAATAGTCTCACTGATGCTAGTTGCATTAGCAGAGAATATCAGGAAAGAGTTTACAAAAACTTGCAAGATAATGAAATCAAATTAAGTGAAGATACTTTGGCCATATTTGATGAGGCAGATGCTGAAATTGATGCTGTAGAGCAAGGAATTATAAAGTCCATGAAAAAGTACACATCAGAACCATTCATCATTGAAGAAGATTTTGGACATAATACAATTATTAGCTTAATGTTGGAATCCTTCAGTTCAACCATCATCAATTTGGTCAAGTCTGTTTTCGATAATGAAAAGTTGAGTGGTGAGATGCATGAGCTTGTTTTAAAGATTTTGCTCAACGCCACCAAATGCTCCTTCAATGTTGATTCACCACTGAGAAAGGCATTGATTGGATGTCTTACTGAATGCACTGGACTCAAGAGTCAATTACGGGCAAGACATGTCGAAGCATTGAAACTCTTGTTAGAATTGGCAGAGACAGAAGGAAACAATATCAAAGATGCCTGGAGTGATATCATTGACATTATTGCAGAAATTGATAGATTGCACATTTTTGATACTGTCGATAAAACCCCAATGCTCAAAGCCATAGATCCTGACATTGTCGATAGAATTGTGTTTAATTGTGAAAAATTGAGTGAGGAATCTCTTACCTTCTACATTGAAGGATTGTGTAAGAAGAAGAGTACCAATCTCATCTTTTACTTGAAGAAAGTTATTGAGAGCTTGTATTTGAACATGCACCGTATCAATACCATTTTGGATACCTTGTGGGAGAGTCATATTTGTCCATTCATTTCACAAATTGCCAGCTCCAAGAATACCACCCTTGCTCTTTATTGTATTGACTCATTGTGCAAGTTGTGCATGAAACTTTTAGAACAAGAGTCCATCATTGATTACCAACAACAATTCTTGCAACCATTCACTCGTATCTATCAAACTTGTTTGGATAAGGAAGTTAGAAAATTAGTCACTCAATCCGTTCATCAAATTGTGCTTGTCAGATCTTCATTTATCAAACCAGGTTGGAAGGAATTGTTCGGCATGCTCTCCATGACAGCTGGCTTTGCAGCCACTGAAAATGAAGCTTTCAATGTCCTTCGTTGTATTGTGCAAGAAGGTGAACATTTTGAAAATGTTCAAAAGAATAATGCATTCAGTAACTTGATCAATTGCCTCAGTCAATTTGCCAGTGAAGTAACCTGCAAGTTGTCTGTAGAAGCTATTGAACTCATTCAGAAATCTAGCGAGAAGATGGAGGAGGTTGATTTCTTGGGACAGTGGTACCAAATTCTTTCAAGCTATGCAACTGTTGTCTCTAATGATAATAGAGAGGAAGTACAAATTAAAGCATTTAAAGCTTTGCATGCAGCTCTCCTCGAAACTGCCCTTCCTTCTAAATTGTCAAAAGAGAATTGGAATGTAATTTTCAAAGGAGTTTTATTACCAATATTCGACCAATTCAAGGATGATAATACCAATAATGTTTGGGTACAAAGAGTTGGTGATGACTCTATCAAGTTATTGATAACAGCTTTTACTTCTTACTTTTCTGATAATAGTGCAGCTTTGAAATCCATTTTTGAAATTTTACCAACCTGTTTCAGAAAGGAAAGCAAAGAATTCAAGAGCTTGAAATTAGTTACAGTTGGCTGTTCAAATTTACTCTTATTCATTGACTTGTTTGGAGAAAATTTTACTGAGGAATGCTGGATGAATGTTTGTGAAATAATCAAGAATCTTTTAACAGAAAATGTAAACTCATTATGTGGAGAGATTTCAGATAGCAATTTGTGTAGAAGTGAAGTAATCAAGACTGTCAAATCTATCAAGGATTATCTACTCAAAAACAACAAGATTGACTCTATTGTTCAACATTTGATTGATAGTCTCACCTCATGTTATACTGATTATCATTCCTACAATGTTGAAAAATCTACAAACTGCAGTATTGATGTAGAAATTCAATCCTTGACACTTGTATTCGAATCCTACTTTACCATTTATCATTCCATCAATGAGAAGGAGGAAGGATTCATTTCCACCATTAATACCATCTTCCAACAATACTCCTCTCTCATTGTGAAATCTCCATCCGATTACTATTTCACAACTTTTAACGATCTTGTCGATATTCTCTTGGAAAGATATACTGAACTAAAGGATGAACAATTCCTAAAACATTGGAAGATCCTCCACGTGTCCTTCTGTAGCATGATTATGAGCAAGAATGAAAAAACCAGAACATTAACACAAGCACTCTTCCTCAAGTTTAGTAAATTGGTTATTTAATCTTCGTATTCACCATAATAATGTTTATTAGAAATTATTTCCAACGTCCTTGCACTTTTCCACCATTCGAATTGCTGCCTTATCTGTAGGATCTTTCATCGCATGTTGACTAAACTTTTCCAAAGCCAATTCGAAATCTCCTTCCAAGAAATGCTCAACTCCCTGATTATACAGTGTCCACTTTTGTTTCTTCTCCTTCTCTTGCAATTCGTATAACCATTCATCATCTTGAACATGATTGGAAACTCCCAACTCGTGCACAGAACCTCTCGTCATACAATTAACCATCTCATCATTGTTACTATTTCTATTAGTGGCTGAGCTTGACATGACGAGTGAATCATTGAGAAATTGTTGGAAATCCAAAAATCTTGTCTGGAATGAAACGTCAATCTTTTCCTTGATTTTGTCAGAACAAACAATTGAAATGTCAAGAGAATCGGCAAGTTCAATCATTTCGGATAGATTGGTCTTGCCACTTCCAAGTATGGTGAAGGCCTTACTGTCATTCGTTCCAATATTACCAACGTGACTTTGAACAGAGTGGATGGCCATTCGAAAGGTCAAATCTTCCAGTAAGAATGGTTTCTTCTTGAAACTTTCCAAATTTTTCCATTTCGAATACTTGAGTTTGAGTAATCTTTCTTCTAAGGCTCGAGAAAGAGTAGCTGCCTTCTCTTCATGATTCGTCTGATTGGATGAAGCGTTAATGGAAATGTAAATATTGTCATTTTCCAAACCAGAAACATGAACACCATATAGCTTACTGCTCACAGTAATAGTTTCGAATATTTCACTTAGAATCTTGGTAACATTTTCGTATTCTGTATTTCCCAACAATTCGTTAAGGCCTTTTATCCTTAATTGAATAACAGTAAAAGTTCTCTTTTCCAAATAAAGAGCAAATCGATTAATATCTTTCGAATATCTCTTTCTTGACGATTGATTCGATGAGTGCTTTGATGAATGAGCACCCATCCTTGATTCTTTCGAATTTCCACTTTCCATCGAGTTTCGTTCAGAGCTAGATCTCATACTTTCCTCCACCTTTCCTGAAGCAGCTTTAACTCCTCCAACTTTCTCCTCCTCATTACCTGAATCCAATTCTGACAATATATGAGCAGGAATGAAAGATCGATAGAGTTTAATCTGTTTGACCATGTTGACGAAATGTTTCTGCAAAGATTTAACTTCGGAGAAATAACTTGGAATCACTTCAATGTTATCCAAATCCATATTGGCCACACTTTCGAATAGATCCATCAAATTTCTGAATGGCTTAACAATCTTTATGGACACAACAATTCCCAATACGATTCCAATAGTTACGATTAGTAAACTTCCAATTAAGGAAGTGATGACAGCAATGATTGTTGATCCAATGTATTTCCATTGAGGAATGGACAAGACAATGATCCAATCAATGTTTGTATCTGTACATAGTCTATAAACAGAGATGTAATCTGTTGATGAGGTTGAAACTTCGATTTCATTGCATTTGAAATCTTTCCATTTTTGATGAAAGTTTCGTGTAGTGGCAGTAATCGAATTAATAGACGAATCTGATACAGTAAGAGCTGTTTCTCTCACCAATGCACCATCACTTCCCCATCTTGAAATAGACACTGAATTATCAACTGCAATCAAATAATCAGACGAAGTTTCGACAATGAAACTTCTCGATCCTTCCAAAGTTTCAACTTTCTTTTGTAAAAATTCAGAAATTGAACCCGTAGTCAAATCATTTCCGTAATAATACCAAAATTTGTTGGTAACTGGATTAGCCACACAATTAATCAATGAAATAAAGACATATTGAGGCATGGCTGGGTCAGCATAACTTGGCGTGTAGGAAATGACAGTTGGCGTGTCCTTGCATTGAGCGATAATGACACTTAAATCAAAAGAAGCTGCAATCTCATCTGGAGTTGAACTTGAATTACAAAAAAGTGTTTCTTCCCAATTGTCGCAATAGTAAATTTTTTGGTCAACTTTGGTAATGTTAAAGATTGCAGAGCCATTGCCCCAATTGATTGTTCCAAAACAGTAATTGTTTGGATCACCAACATAGCTCGATATTATCATTCCATCATGATTTTTCTTAACACTCTATATTTGGAAATATTACAATATTACAATTTTTGTAAAAGATTACAATTAAATACTAACCTTATATCCACTAAATGTCTTTTGTCGAGTCACCTTCTCATCATACGGATCAATCCCATCCCCAACCATTTGCTGTTTAATATTCACCGAAGACATGACCAATTCTTTAAAAGTTGTTTCAATATAATTAATGATTGATTTCAATTCGGAATCTCTTTCAGCATTGGATGATTTTGTAATGGCTGGAGCAAAACTTGCTAACCATGTGCCAGAGAGGACGAGAACACTCAAGATAACTAGTCCACTAATTAGGAAGATTAGGCAGAATTTGATGGATTGAGCATTGAAGGAAGAGGTGTGATCGGATAAAACTGAGTCTGTTTCTGATTTGACTGCTTGGTGAGGGTTGTCATCTTGGTCGTCAGAGTTTACAGGATGTATGGAAGCTACCATTCTTGTTGTTGTGTTTTCTGATAGTTTCTTCTATGTTTCTAATAAAAAATGTTGTACAGTATTTTTGCTTCAATGTGCCTTATACAAAAGATGTGTGATTCCGAATAAGAATCGATTGAGGTTTTTGATTTCTTTTGTTTTTTGAAAAGTCTTTTAATGTCGTGCGGCTAACAACAAAACTTCAGTCAATAACATCATGAAACCTCAAAACTAATAAAAGCAACCGTAGTATTCTAATTTGCTAGAGATGTTCCAATAACCGTCATGTTGATATATTGGAAACCTATATTGGACTTTCCCGCACGTTCAATACGAATCTCAATCAAAGATAAACCTCTCAATAGATATCATGTTTATATGTTTTTAGTTGTACTCTTTCCATTATTTGAAATCAATCGATCCAATAGCGTTGCATAATGTCTTCTCTTATACAATGTCTTGTATAACCACAAAGTTCTCTTGTGTAAAATTAAGGAAATAATCAGGGCAACACAACCAAGAAGAGATAAAATGTAGAAAGTTGCTTCATAGCAAGGTCTACCATGACATGTTAGAGTTCTTGGTTTTTCAATATTAACTTGATACAAATAGCCGGCCAATCCAGTTGAGAATGCATAGGATCCTAAACTTGCTGCCATTGATTGAATTGTAGAATTCATACCAAAATATTTAGCTCCAAATCTTTCACTGTTGAATGTTGGTGTCAGTGCATATGTTCCTCCATAACAAATCTGGAAAGTTATGAGACAAATTTGAATGAATTGATTGGTGTTCACGTTTGATTTACAATTTTTTGTAAAATTTAGTAAAACTTACACCCAAGAAAATGATAAGTGGATAAAAACCTTCAAGAGGCATCACGGCAAATAAGAATTGAATGACTGTCATCATGACAATACAAATGGAAAGGAATGTAATTCTAGTGATACCTCTCTTTGGAGAAAGTAACTTGTCACTCAAGATACCAAAAAGTAATCTTCCCAAACAATTACAAATTGAAAAGACAATCACCATCATGTTTTGTTGGCCATTGTATCCACCATAGGCCAATACGAGTGATCCTAAATTGTTAATGACAGTAATTCCTGATCCAACAACCTATTATATTAGAGGTAAATTATAAAAATATATTGTTAAATCTAAAATTTCACACACTTACAATGAAAATAACCAAAAAAGCAAGCCAGAAATCAAGTGAAATGAGCATCTTCAAAGAGTTAACATTTGGAATTTCCAATTGTTGTAATTTTTCCCTGAGTTCATCTTCTTCATAGGTTTGAGTATCCTCTTCCATCATTGTTGTAGATTCCAAAGTTTGTTCTGCAGGTAGCTCACCAGTGCTTGGATCCACAACTATTGGCTTTCCTTCCTCAGAGGTGGTGGTGGCTTCTTGTTGAGATGAATTAATGGTATTGGCAGTAGATACCTTCTTCCCAGCATCATTTTTATCGGCTGAAGACTTTCCATCCAAAAATACAGTTCCCAAAATCAAGACAACTATTCCTCCCAAAACGGCACAAAATATCATGTAAGGTTGTAATTGCAATTGGAAAATATACTGATATGAGCCAGAATAAATGGCACTACTGATACCAAAGAATGAGGCAAGAACACCAACTACTAATCCTCTATTTCTTTCAGGAAAATTTTTCACACTTGTTGTCATGGCAGCTGCAAATAATAAATTCAAAAAGCTCAATACGAAACCTACCTGTATAAGCTCCACCACTACTATTACCCATAATAAACATGAATGCAGAAAGTGCAATATAATTCTCTGCTCCTGGAATAGCTCCAGAAACTGTCAATGCCATCAGAAAATAAGATCCAAACAAGAAGGCACCAGAAACAAAACTACAAGAACGAGCTCCAAGAAAATCATTCACCAAAGAAAAGAGAAAACTGAAATTAGTTCCCAAATTTGCTGCTGTTCCAATAGTATTCACCTCCGTTTGAGTCAAATCAAATCGTCTATTTTAATATTCCAATGATTAATAATTAAAATAATTATTACTAGGTAAATATATTGATCTTTTTCACACAACTTACTTTTTCAAAGAAGGACTAATCGATGAAAATGCATACTGTGTTCCAGCAGCAATCATCATGGCAGCACCAATAACAAATGCAATCCATCTCCGAACTTTTCTCAACTTTTCCGATTGATAGAATTGTTTAAATTGCAAAAACTTGACAATGATAGGATGTCGTTGTTTCTTATACACTCCATAATCCTCCTCAATCAGGGTGGGAGTTGACGTGTTATTATTATAAGAAGATGATTCCTCATGATCGGCAGCAGCATGTTGATTTGATGTTGATGATGATGAAGTAACGAGTGGTGAAGATTCTTCTTGCATTTTTTTCAACTATCGGAGAATCAACTTCCTATTCGTCATGTGTTTCACTATCAAGTGTAAACAACTCCAAATAACATGTTAATTGTGTGATGAGTAATGGTTTATTGTCCGAGGCTTTTAAATCGAACAATTTTTTTGTAATCTTTAGTGCTTCTTCAAATTAGAAGAACAAGTTTTGAAGGTTCTTATGGGGTTAGGAATATTGATCTACTTGTAATGACATTCAGATTATTAATGCAATAATATTAATAATAATATTTAAAGATCATGATGATGATGGAAAGATTAATGGTCATTGAGTGACAACTAAAGTTGGCGCCAAAATTTGAAAAAAAAATCAAAAACAACAACCCTTACTGTTTTTCGTGTAGACCCCACAAGCACCATCTCCCAATAATAACTCTCTTACGGTAATGTCCATGAAAGGATACTTTTCAGCTCATCATGATAGAAGAAACAATGTTTCGGGGAATGGCTCAATGTTTAAATTAACCCTAGCAGTTGCATCAATAGTGTTGATAATATGTTCAGGGTTTATTTCAGCACAACATCAAAACAACAAACAATTAGCCAAATGCCACAGACAATTAGCAAAGAATATAATATTTGATAGGGTGGTTTCGTTATATAGGAATGAGAACAACTCTGACAAGATAACAGAATTGTTAGAGCTTCAAATTGCGAGTGTAAATAAGGAATGCTTTGGAATACCATTAATGTTTAACCCTAGTGACCTCAAAGCATACAAGGTCAGATTTAGTACTGAAGTTGAAGAATTGAAAAAGAGAGAAACACTGGAGAATGCAATCAAAGAATTAGAAGCAGTGCCTCACTGCTCCGATATAATTGTTGAAATGATAATAGCAAAACAAGTTGTTTCATTCGTCGAGAATAGACTCCAAACGAAGGATTCAAAAGTGAGAAATAGTCTTAAGGAAACTCTGGACAAATGTGGACAATTATCGGTCGATATATTTAAAAAATTGGATAGTGGTCTTAATAAGGAATCCAAATTGGAATTGACTGAACTCTTTGAAGTTCAAACAATACATTCCTCACTCGTTACAGTGGAGCAACCAAGAGCAGGTCAAGTTGCACTGGCTCAAATGTTTTCCGCTCAAACTCCAGTAGTTTTGAGTTTGACATCGGCTGTTTCCATACTCTTACTTGCAATTTGCTCCATCCTGTTGTGCCTATCTAAGAGATCTTTAAAAAACCTGAGAGGAGAAATAGACCACCTCATTGAAGATAAGAAGGAAACTGTTAAAAAGTTTGAGGAGAAGGAAGTAAAACTGTTGGATGACATTAAAAATTTATCAAACTCTCTCGATGAGAAGGAGAAACAAGTTTCTGATGTTAGAGCAGGCTTGGAAAAAACACTTGAGGCAGAACGAATCAAAATTTCAGATCTTGAACATGAAATTTCCAACTCTAAGGAAGGTTCAACAGAGGAAAAGAAGAAATTACTCTCTCAATTGAAAGAAAAAGAAGGCATTGTCATGCAACTTGAGGAGGCTCTTGAGCAAGTTCTGAATTTGAGACAGGAAATAGAAGAAGAAAAATTGGCTTTGCAAAAAAAATCAGAATTGCTCGACAACAGTCTCAAAATTACAGCTGAGGAGTTGGAAGAAATGAATGAGCAATATGATAGAGTGAGTAATGAACTTTCAAAGAAAATGTTCGATATTGATCTCTTGCAGCAGAAGAATATAGGATTACAAAAGTCATTAGTGGAAGGTCAAGACGAATGTAAAAAGGTAAAAAGTGTACTCGACACCATTTCTGATAAGGTTCTTGCTCTCAACAAGGAAAAGGAGAGTATTGAGGAAGATCTCAGATATCTCCAAATGGAAAAGCAAGCTTGGCAAGAGGAGAAGATGAAACTAACAACTCAAGTCGAATTGTTGCAAAACAGAAGCTCATTTGGTGAGGGGTCAATTGTCAAGGAGAGGTATAGACTCGTTTCTCTCATGCAACAAATTGAAAAGGCCATATTTCTCCTCGAAAAGTCTCTCCTAGTAACTTTGGGTGGGATCTATTTCGAGAGAGACTCTGAAGTTCTCACCAAAATTCTAGAACTGAAAACATTTGTTAAAGAGGTCATTCAGAGAGCAGAGAGGAGCGCCAATAAGCATAATCAAGCTAATGATGTCACTCTCCCAAGTTTTGATGCTCAATCGCCCAGAAGATCAATGAATAATTCTTTGGATGAGAGTTTTGATAAAATCTCCCCAATTAGATCACCAACTACACCTAGGAAAACAGTTAACTCACCAAGAATAAAATAACTTTTTCAAGAACATTATTGGAAATGAATTTATTGAGTATAAGACAAGAATACGAGGAAGATCTACCACATTTAGATGTCGAGTGAATCATTTAGATCGGGTACTTTGTATCAAACTTGATTCTCATCCAAGAATCTCGAAACCAATCTCCAATATTTATTTGCAACCACTTAATGACCATTGACAGAACCTGTTGTAAATATACCGTTCAAAGCACATCCATAATTAACAGTTGAATCTAGTTGAATCTCTAATCACCTGGTCTCAAATAAACACATTAAACCCGTTCAAATGTTTTATTTGACCTGGCTTGATGTTGTACTGTGTGGTGCTTATTGAGAGAGAGGAGGCACCAACAAAAAGATTGGTCCTAAGGAACTTGGAGATACAAACACAAATAAAAAATGAGTAACGCAGAAGAACTCTTGCAGGAATTGATGAATAGTAAGAAGAAGGCCAGACCAAGGTTGGGCTCAGTGAAGGGTGTTGATATGGAAAACTCTTCTCCAAACCAAACATCAAATGGTGGAAATGTTCTCAAGGAATCATCAAGGAATTTGAAATGTAAGTTGTATTTCTCTTAATTAATTATCAACCAATTTTCCAATTTTCCATCCAACAATAGTAACTCCATCTAATATGAAGGTTTTGTTGGCAAGTTTTAAAAAGAGCAGTGATAGTAAGGGTAGACTAAGCAAGCCACAATTTGAACAAGTTGTGGTCAAAACTCTAGGTTCTCATTCCGAAAGTGATTTAGTTTCGATAGATAAGATCTTTGATGTATTTGATGCTGATAAGAGTGGTTACGTAGATTTTGTAGAATTAGCTACTGGTTTGAGTGGTACTCTCTTTACCGATAAGAAGGAATTATTGAAATGTAAGTTGTTCAATTATTATACAACTTTTAATTGATTGCGATTGATTCATCAATATGATCTTGTTCATTCAATTTTACATAATAATGATCATGTACATTATAGTCGTTTACAACTTGATTGATATCAACAATGATGGAACTGTTGAAAAGAATGAATTATTATCCTTCTTTAAGAGATTCTATGTTGGTCAAGCTAAAATGAACGGTTATAGATTGAGTTCTGAAAGATGGCATACTCTCGAAAAGCACTTGTCAGTTGCCTTCGATAGAATGGATTTGGATGGAAGTGGAGCTATTGACTATGAAGAGTTTATGGTTGCAGTTGAAGATCCAGATACTGCCCTAGGATATGCTTTCTACAATTGTATGAAATTCTAAATGTAAATAAATGTATTATCTAATTAAATATTAAATTGAATAAACATTTCTCCCTTCAACTCACACAGAAACTGGATTGTGTTTCCATAATCTGGTTGAACAACTAATAATTTGGCTTTCACTTTTCCCGCCAATACAAAAAAACTAATTCAAAAAAATTTAAAAAAAAATGTCAAAGGAGTTTTCTCACATATTTCTCGGTAGATCCTTCACTCAAGGTTCTATTATTGTTGATGCAAAGAATGAAGAAATGTTTGTTTGGAAATCTGTTGGGAACGAATCGATCATTTCAGCCGTTAAAAAAAGTGAAATTTCATCAATTGATTGGTTATACACACCTAGAGGATACGAGTTGAGACTTTGGAAAGCTGATGACGATTTTGTTAGCTACCTAGGATTCAAAGAAGCCGATTATGAACAGTTGGAATCACAAATTGTTCAAGTCCAAGTCGAAAGTGATATTCCTTTCAACAAGGTAGAAACTTGTATGAAGGGTGTTAACTGGGGAAAACCTGTCATTAAAGGTAGTCATATGATGATGTACTTTGAAGACAAGGAATTATTTTCAATTTCACTTGCTGATGATATTAAAAATTGCCAAAAGATACCAAAGAACTCCGAATTACTTTTGGAATTTAGAGATGATGAACATACAGATAAGAATTCAATCCAATTGACAGAAATTCGTTTTGTTTGTCCTGAAACATCCGAACCAGCAGAAGATCAGGATGAAGAGGAACAAGAAGAAAAGAATCTAGCAATCAAAGATATGACAGCAGATGCTTTACATGAAAAGATTTCACAAAAAGCTGATCTTTCTAAAGATTTGGGAACACCTGTTGCATCATTTTCACAAATGCCAGTTCTCATTCCTAGAGGTAAATACAATGTTGACTTATTCAAGAGCCATCTCAGGCTCTATGGTAGAACCTATGTACACAAGATTACATACAAACAAATTTCCACACTCTTCCTTCTTCCAAAACCTGGTGACCAACACATGTACCTTGTCATTAGTTTAGATACACCATTCAGACAAGGACAAAAATCACACTTCCACATTGTATTCCAAATTGAAAAACACAAAACATTGGATGAACCACTTTCTATTAAATTAGAAAAGAATGAAATGGGAGATTTGACTCCTAAGATGAATGGAAAGATCTATGAAGTTTTTGCTAAAGTTTTGAGATCACTAACTAAGAAGAAACTTATCGGATCTGGTAAATATGTTACACATGGAAATGATAAGGCATTGAAATGTTCACTTAAGGCCAACGAAGGTCAATTATTCTTCCTTGAAAAATCAGTCTTTTTCTTACACAAACCAGTTATTTATATAAGACATGATGAAATCAAATTAATCAAATTCCTTAGAGCTTCTAGTGGTAATAGATTCTTTGATTTGTCAATTATTTTGAAGAATGGCAAGAGTCACACCTTTTTGAATATTGATCAAAATGAAAGTGAACTATTGTCAGAATTCTTAAAGAGTAAGGACCTCAAAACAGAAAAAGATATCAGAGATGATAAGATTAAAATGGATCAAATTATGGGAGATGATGATGAAGAAGATGATGAAGACTTTGTTGGCAAATCTGATGAAGAAGACGAAGATGCCAGTGATGAAGATGAAGATGATTTGGAGTCAGAAACTGCTGCTCTTCTGAAGGAAGCTGGATTGGATGCTAAGGATGATGGAACTACAAGAAAACGAAAGAAGTCATCAGGAGATTCGGAAAAACCATCTAAAAAGACTAAATAAATTGTATCATGATGATCTTTGTAATATTATTATTCACTCATATTAGGTTTATGGATTGAGAAGAAATGCATGTGGCAGGTCAATCACGTTAAATTTCCAAATGTAATAATCAAATTGATCAATGTATGCAGCTTCATTGTTGCTAATGATACTTCATACATGATGATGAATGAAAATATTAATTAGTTATGATAATCGACATGGTTGCAAAAAGGTCCTTTCTAATTAATTTTTGTGTGTACAGGTCAATGAAGAAGTTGCTATGGTTCGTGGTTGGATATTGTAAACAGAGCTGGACGGAAGGCTTTTTGCGATACGTGGCAAAAACACAAAGAAAAAACCTCCTGTGATCATATTGATGGAGCAACAATAAAATATTTATTTTTCACTCTTAAAAAAAATCCAAAACCCTCCTTGACTCCATAAGGTATATCTGCTTTGTGGAATCTCATCATCACTCTTTATTTTTCTGTTTAGTAGTCTTTTGTTTTGATACTATTTAGCTTTTTAGCTACAAAGTATATTACTGTGTTTTAAAAATCCCACCATTATTTAATCGGTGTTTAAGTTTATAAAAAAATGTCTATGGAAGGTATCGTCAAAGCAGTCCTTGGTGGTAACACTATTAAAATCTGCCATCCACAATTCTACGATAGAGAAAAGACTTTAATCCTTGCTGATGTTAAAGCACCACGTTTAGGTACAAAAGATGGAGAAGATGAAGTAAGTATTTCTTTGTGAAAATCATTGATAACTAGAACAATAATCTAATTCACACACATTTGTTGTGTTTAATTTACTTTACAACAATAATAGCCTTGGGCTTTTGAAGCAAGAGAATTCTTGAGAAAGAAACTCATTGGTAAAACCATTAGATTCAGAGTCGATTACACTGTCAAGGAAACAGGAATGAACTATGCTACAATCTTCTTGGATGATGAAAATATTAATGAATCTGTTGTTGAAGCTGGTTGGGGTAAAGTCAAGGATATTAAGAATCAATCTGATGATTATAAGAAATTGATTGCTCTCCAAAAAGCTGCTGAAGAACAAAAGATTGGTGTTTGGTCAAATAGCGAGAAATATGCCAAACAAGCCAAGACTGAAGATCCACAAGCTTTGTTGAAATCATTCAAGGGTAAGACTGTTGATGTTATTGTTGAATATGTCATTAGCGGTACTGCTTTGAAGGTTAGACTCCCAACTAATGAAGTTGTTTTCATGAATTTGACTGGTGTTTATTGCCCAAGTACAACCAAGGGTAAAGAAACTCAACAAAAGGTTGCTCAACCATTCTCAAAGGAAGCCAAGACTCATACTGAAGTTCGTTTGTTGAACAGAGATGTTACTGTCTTGTTCGAAGGTATTGATACTCCAAAGAAGGATAAATCAAAGGATGGCAAGGATGCTAAGGAACAAAAGGAAAAGACAAGCAATTTGCACGGAAGTATTATTATTTCTGTTGATGAAAATAGTGACAAGCCATTCACTTATCAAGAAGAACTCTTGATGATCGGATATGTTTCTGTTGATGAAAGAAGCGCTCCAAAGTCTAAGTATGCTCCAAGATTCAGAAGTGCTGAACAAAAAGCTAAGAATGAAAGAAAGAATTTGTGGGTTGATTATGAACCACCAAAACAATCATTACATCAATCTGACACTGGTTTCACTGCTAGAGTTTTGGAAGTTCTTTCAGGTGATACTTTGAAGATTGTCAAGAATGATGGACAAGAAGAAAAGATTTCTCTCTCAAACATTAGAACCAAGAAATTCATTTCATACACAAAGAAGCCAGAAAAGAAGGAAGCTTCCAAGCAAGCTGAACAGAAGCCAGAATCTGAACAATGGGCTTGGGAAGCTAGAGAATTGTTGAGAAGCAAGGTTGCTGGAAAGGAAATTCAAGTTGAAGTTGACTATAGAAGAGAATTAGGTACTGAAAAGAAGGAACTTAGAAGATTCTGTACTGTTCTTGTCAATAAGAAATCTGTTGCTGTTGAATTGGTCAGAGAAGGTTATGCTGAAGTTATGAAGCTTAAGGCTGATGAAGAAAGATCATCTGCTTTTGATAGTCTCATTTTGGCTGAAAATGAAGCCATCAAGAGACAAAAGGGTCTCCACGGAAAGAAGAGAGCTCCACAACATCCATATACTGTTGTTTCTGGTGATGCTGCTGGTAAATTGAACAAGCTTTTGACTGGTAAGTCTGGTAACACTAAGGCTGTTGTTGAAAAGATTCTTTCTGCTTCTAAATTCGTTTTGAGTCTTCCAAATGATGCCTCTGTTGTCACTTTCTCATTGGCTGGTATTGCTATTCCATCATCTGATAAACCACTCGGTAAGGATTTGGCTGAAGAAGCTAAGCAACTTACTTTGATCTCTACTTCATGCAGAGATGTTGAACTCGTTCTTGAAGCTGAAGTTGATAAGGCTAGCTCACTCACTGGTCAAATGTTGATCAATGGTAAGAATTATACTAACACTTTGTTGGAAGCTGGTCTTGCTATTGTTCAACCATATGCTAAGAGATTGAAGATCTTTGAAGAATTGAATGAAGCTGAAGGTAAGGCTAAGAAGGCCAAGAAGGGTGTTTGGAAATTGGAAGATCACACTGTTGCTTTCCCAGAAAGAAAGAAGAGAGAACAACCAGAACAAGAACAAAAATCCAAGCCAGTTGCTCAATCATTCTCTGTTTCTCACTCTAGAAAGACACAAACTATCAGAGTTACCGATTTTGAAGATCCAATTACTTTCTACTACCAAGGTTCTGATGTTGTCGAAAAGTTGAAGACTGTTGAAAAGTTGATTGCTGAACTTAACGTTGCTCAACTTGAAGCTCTTGCTTCAGCAACTGTTGGTTCAGTCTGTCTTGCCCAATTCACTGAAGATAATTCTTGGTACAGAGCTAAGGTTATTTCTGTCAATAATGCTAATGCTGTTGTTTTATATTCTGATTTTGGTAACAGCGAAGAAGTTGCCATTTCAACTCTCAAGACTATTCCAGCCGGTAATCAACTCCTCACTATTCCAGAATGTGCTCAAAAGGCTCGTTTGGCTTTCGTTAAGGATCACGAAAATCTTAGATTTGAATTGGAAACCTTTTTGAGAGAAACTTTGATGGAAGGTGAATGGCAATTAACTGTTGAATATTCTGATGCAGGTGTAAACTATGTCACCCTTGTCCAAAATGGTGCCAAGCAAGAAGATAACTTGAATAAGCAAATGATCCGTAGTGGATTAGTTTTTGCTGATAAGAAGCTCCTTTTGTCTGAATTCAAGTCAGTTGCCAAGTCCTATCTCGAAGAACAAGATTTTGCCATTAGCCGTCGTTTGAATTTGTGGGAATTGGGCGAAATCTATGGATCTGATGATGATGAATATTAAACCTGTACAAACCTGTATTAACTCTTCATAAAAAAACAAAAACTATTAATTATTAACTTGACCTGTTTTGAATAATTTATTATTCTAGAAGATCTAAACACAATAATGAATGTTTAGAATTGACATAATAGATCCAGGAAAATTCACAACTGTATTTCAGTAAAGTATGGCAAATTTAATTCCTTTTAAGGGACTCAATAGAAAGTATGGTAAGTGATTTGACAAATTGGCTAAGGAAAAAAGTGAACAATAATGCCTTCGCACAAAAAAGAGGACCACGGTGTTGAGGTCCTTCCTCAAACAAGCTTCATCATCACACAAGAAGTGTCATCTTTATTACACACTGAACTGTTGTTGATGGCACAATCTTTCAAGTTGCTTTGTTGCACAAAAGAAAAAAATGTTAATACTTCTTGGCTGCATTGCCATCTCTCTATTGGGACTCTACTTGCTTTATTGGAGTGATTTGATTTTCTACTGGTCAGATCCAGTGAAATGTCCTCCAACTGAATTTCCATTCCACTACGATAGAAGCAAGTATGATGAAATTTTCAGTGATGCTCCATTCGAAAAGACTGGTATGTTTTCAAACTATAATCAATTTATCAATATTAATATATTTTCATGATCCGATGATGATTTGATGATTTGATGATTTAAATTAATTTAGAAAACAAATTTTTAATTGTTGGTTGTGGATTCAGTGGTTTGGGAAGTAGTGCCACATTGACTCGTTATGGTATTCCTTTTGATATTGTCGGTAGGTTTCTAATTATTATTATCGAATAATTTTATTCACACACGAATGTTAATCTTTTTAAATTTCATGGAAAAATTAACTCTGTTCATTAGATACTAATAATGTTATCGGAGGTAATTGGAGTGTTGGAGTTTATGAATCGACACACATCATTAGTAGTAGATTGACAACTGAATTCAAAGATTATCCAATGCCTTCTTCATTCCCTCAATTCCCATCCTGTCGTCAAATGATGGAATATTTCCATGATTATTGTAAACATTACAGAATTGCTGAAAGATTATCATTGGAAACTACTGTTAATAGTATTGAACCTGTTGAGAATAAGGATTCTGAATATAAGGTTGAATTTGAAAAGAATGGTCAAAAATTCACACGTATCTATAAGGGTGTTATTATTAATAATGGTCACCATTGGTGTAGAAGAATGCCATCTTATGAAGGTCAATCCAAATTTACTGGACTCTTAATTCACAGTAAGGATTATAAGGAACCTTCAATCTTTAAGGATAAACGTGTTTTGGTCATTGGTGGAGGAAACAGTGCTTGTGATGTTGCTGTTGAAGCTGCAAGATATGGTAAGGAAAGTCACATTTCTATCAGAAGAGGTTATTACTTTTTACCAAGAACTTTATTTGGTAAACCATCTGTTGAATTGATCATTCCTTATTTGCCACTCCGTCTTCAACAAATAATCTTTACATTGATTTTGAAAATTACAACTGGTTTGGACTATGAAAAGGACTATGGTATTCCAACACCAACTCACAGACTCTTTGAAACTCACCCAACTATTAACTCTGAATTGTTGCAATATTTAAAGTTAGGTGAAATTCATCCACACGGAGATATCAAATGTTTCAAAGGAGGAAATAAGGTTGAATTCAAGAATGGTGAAGAGAGGGAATTTGATGTTATCGTTTGTTGTACTGGTTACTTTACATCAGTACCATTGTTGGATAATTTTGTTACAAAGACTGAATTTGGATATCCAAAGTTAATTCATGGTATCTTTGTTCCAAATAGAAAGAATTTGATTTATATTGGATTGGGTCAACCACGTTATGGTGCAGGTAAGTATTTATGAATATTTAATACTTAATATGATTATTATTAAGGTTGCTTAATTACAAGTAGTTGTGATATGGTTGTTAAATTGCTCAAATACCAAGAAAAGACCAGACATCCAGTTGGTGATATTTTAGGAGCTGCAACTGGTGTCAACTTCCCAAGACCAAAGAAACCACACATTTCGAAGGATATTTTGGTGGATCCTCATGATGCTTGGAAGAAGACTAGAATGTTCTCTCTCATTCTTATTCACATGATGCCGCTACTGGAAAAGTTTGCAGAATGGAAGGGCAAACTTCCTTTAAAGATTCTTGACAAATAAACACATTTATTGTTCGAATGATTGATTCCACCAACAAGAGGGAACACTAGATTATTTGGCCTTGCTGCTTTGTTATTGAGACACCTTGGAGTTCTTTTCTACAAATTCCTTAACATGATCTCTTGGTGTGAAATAAAGTGGATACTTTTCAGAATCAATATAAAGCAAGGATTGATCAAAAGAAGATGGTGGGAATGATGCTAGATTATTGTTGCACAACTGGAAATGTCTGACAGCATTGATAATTCCAATGAGCAGTTCTGTGGTTGCTACACGTGAACCAGGACACTTACGAGCTCCAACTCCAAATCTTTCATATTAGAAAATTATTGGGATATTCCACAACAAACTACTACTTACGGTAGCGAAACAAAATTATTGACTGGTGCTAATGGAGAACCCTTTTCATGACGTTCTGGAATGAATTCTTCTCCACGAGGAACAAATTCATCTTTGAGAGTTGCCCATCTTTGCATTGCAAGAATCATTGTGTCCTTTGGAATCATATATCCTCCAATTTCGGTATCCTGATCCAATTTTCTTCCCATGGTGAGATAACCAAATGCATTCAATCTTAATACCTCATCAATAAAGTGTTTGGTATACTTGAGCTTTTTGTACTGCTCCAAATTGATAGAAAGTCCATCTTCAGATGTAACTTCTTCCAATGATGGTTCACCAAAAACTGCTACAGATTCCTTATAAATCTTTTCTTGGCATTCAGGATGGTGAGCTAATCTATGGAAGCAATTATTCATAATTCTAACAGTGATATCGACACCACCTTGTAAAAATTGCATCAAGACGCTTTCAACTCTTTCATCTGGTCTATCTTGATCTTTAGCTCTTTCCTCAATCAATTCTAATAATCTGGCGTTTTGAGATGGATTGGTTTTGAATCTTTGAATGCAATATCTTGCATATTCTGATGATTTATCCATTAAATTTTCAAAACTTTTATACTCTTGAGTCCTGTAATATTTGTACATTGGGAATTTGGTTGTCAATCTAACAGCAACATCAGTGGCATGGACAGTATAATTGACAAATTCATTAATATCGAATGGAAGAGTGCTTGTCACTTCATCTGTCATTTTCACACCCTACATTATTTCAATTAGTATTAAAATATAAATATTTAAATATTTTGGAATAGAACTTACAAGAAAGACCTTCATGACAACATCAAAGGCATATCTTGAATTAGTTTCTGAACTGTTGACATATTTGAATGCTTCACTTCCTTTGACAGATTGCAAACTCTTAATCAATCTTCTCATGAAGTCTCCATTCAATTCAGATAATTGAGGAAGTGTAATGGTTTCTTGATATTCTGGTTTCATTGCAATGTTATAAAGCTGACGAATAGAATACCAATCTTCATCATATCTCATTTCAACTGGAGTAAGAATTTGACCCTTCTTCAATTTGTAATGTCTAAAACTGTCAACTTCATTTCTTCTTTCTTCCTTTTTATATAATTCTCCTAATAAATGTGGATTAGCAATCATCAACATGTTAAAATTAAAAACAGTCAATTTAACTAAATCTCCATATTGTTTACATAGTGTCATTAAATATTCTGACATGTTTTTAGAATTGGTTTGAACTTGAATCAAATTACCAATCAGTGGCAATGGCTTTGGTCCTGGCACTTCAGTCCATGGTTGAGGTTTTACTTCTTCCTTGTTGGAAGTTGCATCCTTTTGATGATAAGGACATGAAGATGGAATTGTTTGTTCCGATGATGATGATGATGACGCAGGTGAGGTTGTATTAGTAGCCGATCGACTGGTCGTTTGTTGAGAACCTCCATTCAATAATAGTAATTTTGTTGGTGAGGCTCTGGTAGAGTTGGAGAATGAACCTTTGGATTTTACGACAAGTCTTGTTAGAGAAGCAGCAGCAACAATAGTTGCTCTTGTGTTGAACATGATGTTGTAATCTTCTTTTGTGTTGCTTTTATTTTTTCTGTTGATCAACTAATATTCAAGCATCATTGGTTCAAAAAAAAGAAAATGAGTCTCGTTGGTGAAACTGGTCATTTAATTCATACTATTGTGGAGCGTGTGCATTACTATCGGAATATCTTCAACTCCATCTTCCAGGATGATGAAGAAAATTATATTGATTGTGTTCTTTTGAAAGGTTTATGTTAACAAAATATGAGTTTTAAATTTCATATATTTATTAATATTATAAAAAATTCAAAAGAGACATTTCACAATAATTAAAATGGCATCAAAGTGGCCGATTTTAGTATTCATTCCCATAAATTGTTCAACTGCCAAGTCTTGGTAATAACGGTTAACAAAACAAGATGCTGTCCAAAAGGAGATGGAAACATGTTTCATCTAAGGGTTCTTATGAAGAACACTCCACATGAATAAGGCTAGGTTTAATAATAGATACGTGCCCGCCATGATTGAATGTGCAACAATTAAGGACCCTTGCAAAAAAACAAAAAACGCAACAACGTAGAAACGTAAAAAACGCTTAATTTTATTAACGATACTAATAATAATAATAACAATAACTAAGAAAACGTACTCAAAATGAGCGGAATCAACACCTCATTATTTATTAAGTGTGTTGTGTTAGTAACGCTCTTAGTAGTTTTTTCAACTAAGTGTGTACAAGCCTTTACCTGTAATTCGTTGGATTCAACCGATCTATTGGTTTGCTCAGGTAACGGAACTTGTATAGCTGATGAGACTTGTAGTTGCCTTACAGGATATTCAGGCAACAATTGTGAATATATAGAATGCTTGGAATATCCACAAATCAATCCGTTAATATTGTCAGGACATGGTTGCCAATCACCAGATAATTGTTTGTGTGATAGTGGTTATTATGGTCCTTTATGTTCTGTTTTTGAATGTAATGAACTTCTAAGTAATGACTCTAGAGTTTGCTCTGGTAATGGCGCTTGTGTAGATTTAAATAATTGTCAATGTAGTTCCAATTATTTTGGAGATGATTGCCAAGTTACTCAATGCTTTGGTGTATTGTCAAACTCCTCACTGGTATGTAGTAGCCAAGGAAATTGCACAGCCTTAGACAAATGCTTGTGCACTGATGGATACTCTGGTAACAATTGTGATGAAGAGATTTTCACCGTTCATTGGTGTTATGGTATAGGATCAAACGATTCAACTGTTTGCTCTGGTAATGGCGCTTGTGTAGATTTAAATAATTGCCAATGTAGTTCCAATTATTTTGGAAATGATTGCCAAGTTACCCAATGCTTTGGTGTATTGTCAAACTCCTCACTGGTATGTAATGGCCAAGGAAATTGCACAGCCTTAGATAAATGCTCGTGCACTGATGGATACTCTGGTAACAATTGTGATGAAGAGATTTTCACCGTTCATTGGTGTTATGGTATAGGATCAAACGATTCAACTGTTTGCTCTGGTAATGGCGCTTGTGTAGATTTAAATAATTGTCAATGTAGTTCCAATTATTTTGGAAATGATTGCCAAGTTACTCAATGCTTTGGTGTATTGTCAAACTCCTCACTGGTATGTAATGGCCAAGGAAATTGCACAGCCTTAGACAAATGCTTGTGCACTGATGGATACTCTGGTAACAATTGTGATGAAGAGATTTTCACCGTTCATTGGTGTTATGGTATAGGATCAAACGATTCAACTGTTTGCTCTGGTAACGGTGACTGTATTGGTTCTGATAACTGTAATTGTCTGTATGGATATTATGGTGATAAGTGCCAACATTGGAATTGTTCTGGTGTGCATTTCTCTAATGCTTCTGTTTGTACCTCACTAGGTAACTGTACTGCTCCTGACTCTTGCTCTTGTGTAGATAATTATTTTGGCTCTAATTGTGAATTGACACAATGTTTCAGTGATGATTCTAATTCTCCTTTAGTTTGTTCTGGACACGGTACTTGTATTTCATACAACAATTGTACTTGCCAAACTGGTTTCATTGGTGAGGCTTGTGCTGTAGATATATTTGCTGGCTACAAACTTATCAGTTCCAAACCTATTATGATTGCCAGAAACTCTAAAAAGGAATTACAGGCAAGTTTCGCCTTACCTGACATTCAGGTTTCTCATGCCTACTCACCAACAACTCCAGTCATGTACGAACCAAGTGGAAATGATGTTGTCATTTCAAAACCTCAAAATGATCCGATGACAGAGTTGATTATTCAAGAAATGGAAAAGAAATCCATGGAATTATTGTACATGGATTGTACACATACCATTAATAGTCAAGATGAATTACAGAATATTACTGTTATCAAGCATGGTGGTGTGTATTGTTTCCCTAATGGTATCACAATTAAGGATCATATTTTTATTATCCATGGTCTTGAGCCTGTTGTTTTTAAGGCTCCATACGTCAATTATTATAATGCCGTTTTTTACTATCTGTTATGTGCCTCCTATAGAAATGTCTTTTGGTTGACTTGGGACTATGGTAGAAATGGTAATTTTTTCTCTGGAAATGTTCACGGTACAGTGGTAGGAATGGCTCCATACCATCAAATTGAAATTTATGATACTATTCAGGGCGCTTTATGGTTTATGGGTGGTACACAGATGCTATTATTCGATGTAACATTCACTCCTCCAATCACATTCAACGGATACGAACCATACATTAATGAGCAATGTTTACTTACATTCTGTTTCAATTCCAAATCAATTGTTGAAGATGGATGCTCAAATAATGGTTACTGTATAGGTAACAATACTTGCTTGTGTTTACCAGATCAATACGGCCAAGATTGTTCTATTGCCATGTGTAACGGTACTCTAGGTACTGAATCATCAGTTTGTAGCAATGGTCATGGCGCTTGTATTGCAAAGGATACATGTAGCTGTTATCCTAATTATAATGGAACTTGGTGTGAATGGACAACTTGCGCCGATATTGAATACAACTCTCCAGATGTCTGTAGTGGACGTGGTTCTTGTGATTTTTATAATAACTGCACATGTAATAGTACATTTGGATATGGAGGCTTTAACTGTGAAATTCCAATCTGTAATGGACTTACTGGCGTATGTACTAAGGATAGACGTGGTATTTGTTACCGTCCAGATCTTTGTAATTGTACCGAAAACTATTATGGTG